CTGCCATCCCTGCTGCAACACCCTGCCCTGCAGGCGGTGACTGGGCTTGGAACCTGATAGAATACATTTAAACTGGCAATTCTACGGCAGTTCTAAGGTCTTATATTGCCAATTTAAATGGGTTTTCTGTTACAGAAAACAATTTCTGGCAGTTCTAACGTTGTATGCTATTCTTGGGCCTAGTTTCAGACCAATCCTCATGATGGTGCAAGACGTAATTGTTTTTTGTCCAACCACAAGAACCAAAGTTTGATCATGTCACGATCATGTCCACTGTTGCCGATGCTTCTATAGCCAACAAAATTGGTTGCTCTGAGTATCTACGCATAACATTGTACAAGGTCAAGAACAATTGAGCTATACCAAGCCACGTTGGGCTATTTGGCATTGGCTGTCGCAGACGAAATCCAGTATCCAGCAAAGCTTCACAACACCGGTCACATGGCTGCCATGCTAAGCCAATGCTGTCGGATACATCCTCGACGCTCAAGATCGACCCTATCCCCATTATATCCCCACTATTATATATATATATTGTACAATATATAATGACATATTATTAAACACATTTTATATATAGTATATTATATATAATAATAAATTAGATATACTATATATTCTAGAATCTATATTATTATATATACATATTGTATTGTATTATATTATTATATTGTATTATATTATATTACATTATACTATTGTTATTTTTATAATATATTATGTATGAAATATTTGCTATATAATATATATATATGATATATAATTATATATATGTATATTGTTATACAATATAATATTGTATTATATTAGATTAGATTATATATATATTAATATATTATGATCTATTATTAATAATATAGTATATATAGTAAGATTTATATAATAAAATAAATTTGATATACTATATATTCTATAATATATATATTATAATATATATATTCTATAATATATATATATATTATATATAATATAATGTTATATTATATATTATTTATTTATTATATATATATATATATCATATCATATTATATTATATTATATTATGTTATATTTTATTATATTATAATATATATTATATTATTTATTATATATTGTATATTATATTATATTATATATTTTATTATGTATATATATATATTGTAATATATTATAATATAATATATTATATTTTATTATATTATATATATATATGTATATCGACCATTTCTTCTCCCATTAATCCATGTTTGTTGGTAATGCTTCGCCATGAGATCTGATCCTGGTGCCATGACTCTCGCCGAGGACTGGAATCTTGGTCCAGGCGACTTGGCGCAGGGCGAGAGGGCGATTTACTGGGGGATTGCCAGTGATTTTAATCGGTAAAAACCGGTACAACATCACTGAATCAGTGATTTGTACCAGTGGTTTTAACATGTTTTAACCATTATGGTTCATGCGGTAAGCCCAGTAATCAACATAATAAACCATCCCCAGGTACTTGGGGATGCGATTTCAACCGTGTAGGTTTATGGCAGGTTGCCCACATCAATGTTTATATTTGATACTTTTGGATACAACCATGAAGATCACAGTTTGTTTTCAGACGTGGGGCTCGATTTTGTTTGTTTTCCCCAAAAATGATCAAACATGCCTCAAGTTGGTGATGGTGACATGTTGATACTTGGGTAACCAGGCAGCCCAGGCTTGTCATTTCTGCATGTTGAAAATTCTTCGAAACCAGAAACCTGGATCTGAGGTGAGGATGTTGAAACCGCTTTGCAACTTCAGCCGGTTCAATCTGACTGACGACCTCACGTGAACTTCAACATCGTTCAAGACATCGAGGAGCGTTTAACCGATTCGCTCCCCATGTGTTTAAAAAGGGGAGAGGATAGCTATTATCAAAGTTCTTTGAAGGCATTTTGGAGTCATGGGTTTTCTTTGCTGCTGGTGGACTATCAAAACAGATGCTTCACACATCCTCAGAATTGTTGAACACTACGAGCATTACCCAAACAAGATCTGGATGAGTATATGAGCTATGGTCAATACTCATGGTTAATAACCATTAAAAACGGGGCTAGTCATCCAATGGTTCATAGGGATGACCATCAACCATATAGTGAGTATTGACCATGGCTCATATGAGTTTGTCCAAAAAAATGTAATATCACACATCCGGTTAAACCTCATGGCTGATCGTTATTTTGTTATTTTCCCGATGCAAATTGATAGAAGTGGTACATTGGCGCATTGTCGGACACACCCATGTACACAAGATATATATATATGTATGTATAATATATATATATATATGTATAATATATGAATCAAAATTGTTGACCTCCATAAAAGTGCTAACGTTTTTTTGTTCATTGGAAACAAAACCATCTTGAGCCCTGGTTCGGGATGGTGAGCTATTTAGATGTTCACCAGTTTTCCAGGGTGTATATGTTTGATGATATTCATGGCCATCTATGACAATGATCATCAATTATCATCAATTATCATCAATTATCATCAATTATCCAACATATATCCAACATATATCCAACATATATCCAACAAGTATCCAACATATATCCAACATATCCAACGTACCCGTTCTTGGTGCTTGCACCCAAATGCACCCTGTGCTCCCGAAGATTGGATGTCTCGCAGGAGCAGCCCGCCGCCCACCACAAGTGTCAGCCGAGCAATGCGCGCTTGGGGATGCTGATGCGAAGGACAGAGAGAAGGACGACGAGATGATGAGTGGAGCGAGAAGAGTTGGAAACGACGGCCTGGTGGTTTCAAATTGCACCACGATGGTTTCTAAACTCCCATAATGTTGGGATATAATGGGATATAAAATTCAATAGCCCATATAACATCCTATAACTATATGATTATATGAATTATATATGGAGGTTTCCGTTTTGTCATGGGGGTACTGCCAGTTATCATCCAGTCGTCATGGAGGACCATGACTTAGTATAGGTTAACAACCATGGTGACGACTGGGGATGACTTAAGAACCCCCCCTCTATGGAAGCCAAGGCCCATTTGGTCCGATGTTGTACCCTTCTTGAAAATGGTGGATTTTCTACAGTTACTTTAAATTGCCAAAGGGCTGTAAACCTCCCATAAATGTTTAATGTGGGATTGACTCAGTGCTTTTTGAACCTCCCATAAATGGATAAATGGGATCGTTTTACAAGGCATTGATGGTAATTTTGGAGACGGTTCATTATTGGATTTGCCACATTCTTATACAATCTTACACATATGTTTACAGTGTTGTGTTTTATTTCAAACCGTAAGAAAACATGGTGATTTCAATTAATTAGTTGCTGAAGCAATCAGTTCAGGTTCACCCAATAAACTTGGCATATTGCCAAGTTGATCTACAAGACCGGGTCGTTTCTGGAGCACTTTTCTCATAGACAAGCCTGGCTAGGTTTTGAACAGGATCACGATCTAGATTTTCTAGGGAATTTTCATTGCCAAGCTACATTATATGACATATGATGGTAGTGCTTTGATTAACAAACAATCATTCCATGAATCTCACAACAAGAATGCAGATATGTTTTTGTCCACAAAAACATGTTTGACAGCAATCTGGTCAGCAAAAAAAACGCTCCGAAAGAAGGCGTTGGTTTCATTTTTGTTTGTCCCTTGAGGAACATCCAACAGGAATTTGAAACCACCAGCAGCTAGAATCCGTGGCAGCTCTCCTCACTGTACAAGGCTGCTGTGGGGGGAATCGCCCGACGCAATTTGTGTATTCGACGATTCTTAGCGGAATGGGAATTGCAATATGCTCAGAATGAAAAAATGGGTACGGTTATACGATTTGCTTTGATGGGAATTGTATGGAATTGCTATACAATGTTATAATATATATATATTATATAATATCTTATTATCCAATATTGGCACTTTTTTAAACCAACCAAAAGCTACATACCGGAATGACAGAGTTTTGGGATGTTTGGGGCACTGTTCGAATGTGGTTGGGACATGCTTTGGAATGCTGCTAGTTTTGAGTCTTTGAGTTTAGAATTGAAGAGGTATACGCTGCATGCTCGTAAAGCCTATCAGATTCTCCAAAAAGGCGTAGACGCATTGATCATCAAGCTGTGAAAATTGTAAGTTGTCATGAAGTGTTGGATTGAACTAAAATGTGCCATGGTCAAGATTTGGTGAAATTGCCTATCTTGGGCTGGTCATGAATTGATCGATTTTCAAACATGGGGGTTTCTCAACATGGCGGATCCATGTGGCACATTCGAGTGGTGCGCAATGCAGCATCTGATAAAATGATATTACTTATTCATGGATCATTTGATCATTATCTTAATATTATATTATGATCAATGAATTATATATATATTCATCAATGAGCAGTCAATATTCATTCATATCCATGTTCAACGCAGCCAAGAGAAGTGATACCCACTGGGTTTTTTGTTGCAGCCAATTGGCCGGGATGTGCTGGGTTGATCTGACAGTTGCAGCCACTTGGGTGCCGACTTAAGAGAAATAGCTAAAACAGCAACAACCAAAGCCGCTAGTAGCTAGTACTAACGACAAATACAGTTACAAGTTACAAGCATATCTGACATATCGTCTTAAGGTACATCTTGGTTGGGCATGAACAAAGCTGTTGTTTTATCGCAATTTTGGTGTTGGAATAGCACAATGCCCTGCTTTTCACGCTCAGAGCTTAGCTTGACATTTTTATGTGGGTCAACCTTGGATGGGTCATCATTTGTGCTTCAAATCTTTTGCTAAACAGAAATCTACTGGTTGGTGGTTTGGAACACGACTTTTATGACATTTAAATATATAGAGAATAATAATCCCAACTGACGAACTTATATTTTTCAGAGGGGTTGACACCACCAACCAGTCTAAATCATTTAAGTTAGCTGAACATATAATTTAGGTATCAGGGTATCTAAAAAGTCCTGGCCTGACTTCGTTGTAGGGCTCCATATCATCTTTTTGAGCACCGTGCCGCCTCACAGTGCCCCATGCTCAGCGCCCGCGCGCAACGCGTCAGCGTTTTGGATGAGTTGTTCCTGTGGTCGGTCACGCAACCAGCTGGCCCACTGAAGGAGCCCCTGGTCAAAAAAAGAATTTGAGTTCGCCAAGTCGCCAAGACTGGAATATTAGAGTATGCACTGTGTTCTTCACATACCCTCTGGTAATGACTAACAGTTTGCTATTGAAAATGGCCATAGAAATAGTGGATTTTCCCATTAAAAATGGTGGATCTTTCCATTGCAAACTGTTAGTTTACCAGAGGGCACACAACAGTCTGGAAAACTTTTCGAGTCGGACGTGTCAGTTTATGTGTTGGGGCCAAGTTACCAAGTTTTTGGGCCTTTGGACCAAGTTCTTTTCTGCAGAGCATATTCGGTTGATTCTCAACATGGAGAGCATAATATATAGCATAGTGGATTTTATGTGTATTTCACTTGGATTTTACGTGGATTTTATGGTTGGAACAAAAACACTGTTTTTGGCTTCCTCCAGGAAAAAAAGTACCAATTGATCAATTGGTTCTTGTGAAAGGACCACCTTCCGATCACAGCTCCGCTTATTCGAAACGCTGTCAGGACCCCTCCTTGCCCAGCAGCAGGGAATTGGATGCCATGTTCCGAGCGAGCCTTTGGTAAAGCACAACGGGCGGTAACTAGGTGATCGGGATGTAAGAAGTTTGGGGGCTAAACAACCACCAAAAATAGGGGACTTTACAAGCAAAAATCGTGCTGCAGCTGCTGCATTCAGAAATTTAAGCAGCCACAAAGATGCGGAAATTGACCGGCAATTTAGTGGCGGTTTGAAGCTGGAAAAGCGGACATGCAATTCAAGAACCTGTGGATTCCACTGGCAGAAATGGTTGTTTTTGTCATAGCTAAGGATTGAAGGAAGAAACATTCGAAAATTCAATAAATTTCATATACATGATATGTCTATTTATCCAGGGGTGTGGTTATTGGATCAACATCCAAAATTCGGCCGTCAGATTGGCTGGACATGGAATATCATGGAATCAGTGGAATCGCAACTCCGATTGAACAACTGATTGCAGTCATATCTGGGTGCGATTTTTGTTGGCTTCTTCAATGGATTGGTTTTGTTGGGAAAATCTACAGGAAACCATGGTTTTTACCGTCAAATATTAATGGGTTTCCTGTAAAATTTTCCCCTCATCCAATTCTATGACTTCTGGTATGCCATTCTATTGGTTTGGTCGCACCTCTATCGGTTGGACTGGTCCGTCTTTTCTGAGATCTCCGCTGCAACTGAGGAATCTGCTGGCGAAACCAGAGGCGCGAGGGTCTCGAAGAGCAATTCCTGCAATGGGCCATGGGAGACTTCTTCATTATCTACCAACCTGTCCTTGACCAAATGGTTCAATGGGAAAGAGGCTGGGATTTGCATATCATATACACATGGAGGTTTCCTAAAATGGTGGTACCCCTAAATAATTCATTTTAACAGGATTTTCCATTATATATATACATCATCAAGCTATTGCGGATCCCCCATTTATGGAACCCCCATATATATAATATTGATTAATATTGTATAACTCTATATATATATATATGATATAAACTACATATAATATATATATATATATACACAATGATATACTCATCTTGGTACACCCCATGGGCGAGGCACCGCCATCGGTTTCGCGCGGCCGATCAGGTCCAGCGGCGGGGCAGTAAGTGTCTTAAATCTGACAGCAAGTTATCACCATCAATTAGTAGTAAAAGTATTCATAAATTAATAGATTTGCCAATTTACTAATCCTGGGTTGAGATAAATCTAACATAGCCATGGAAAATGGTAATGGAAGTATTTAATAGGTATAAGCCATGAATATGTTGAGTTACCAGAGGATATATATATATAATTAAATGTATAATGTAATATATATATATATAACTACACAATGGGAACTTACTTCGGGTACATGTTGAACATTTGAACACGGGAATATAAGTGGGGCTTTAGATTCTTTGACCTGCAACATTGTTGGGAGTGTGTTTGCTGAGTGCCTTCCGTTGTTTTTGCTGTTTCGTTACTTTCTGCTAGTCAAACATTGCGAAAGAACATCAGGATTTTGGATGGTGAAAATCAGCTATAAGCAGCAGATATCAATTGGGAGATTTTCCATTGCCAGGATAGATTCTCAGAGGATAGGTCTTTGACATAGTAACAGTAACATATGTATATATATATAATATATATATATATATATATGATAATCATAGCAAAAATAATGATAATAATACTAATTAATGATAATAATCATAACAATAATAATCACATGTAATAACAATAGTAATACATATATATATATATATCAATATTTAATACTAGTAATAACAATAGTAAATAGTAATAATGATAACATCATTTCTTGAAATACATGGTTGCATGTTCCAGCCCTGCTTTGGGTCCATGATCTCATTTGCAGGTGAGAGGCAGCCAAGGACAGGCTCCCGACCCAAGATCCCGGCTATCTGCTGGTAGCCAATTAAATTAATTTTAAAGCACTGGATTTGTGTTATTTGGAGGTTAATCCTATGGATGCAACTGGTAAGTGGGATTACATCCCAGCTATGACTAGGATCATCCAGTTAGCAAAAAATCAGGCTTACTAAGCAATTGCGATTTGTGGGATCCTCCAAGCTCCTGATTTTAGGAGCTGCAGAACGCCACGGAAGGCCGTGGGTGGCTACGCTCTCAGACCCGATGGCTTCAACGTGTTGAGGTACTGAACCCCTGGCTTTTCACCCAAAAGATTATGGAAAAGGCTTTCCCAAAAGAAACATATGTTAACCACAAGATTATGAACAAGCACTTTCTTGTTTTATCCCAAGGCTTTTTGAATTTTGCCCAGAGCCGTATGTTTGCATTTCTACACTTCTATATTCTATACGAGTGTTGTTTCTGCTATACTCATCATTTTGGCGCAATTGGTTATACAAGGTGGCACCGTGATCAACTGGATAGGGGTCGGGTATATCAGCTGCTGGTAAAAACTTCCACTTTGAGGCTAGCACACATGATGTATCCCTGCTTGCCTTGGTTCAACAACAACACTTTGGGGGTTCCTGAACTGGGGAGACCCCCAGTCATCCATGTGATATCCATATGATTTTCGGATCCATGAAATAAACCATCCAGCTATTGGGGTACCCCTCGGTTTTACCGGTTTTGAGTTCCAGTCTCAGGTCAGCCTCCAGCTGGAACTTCTTGTTGCAAGGAGGCTATGCTGCCCCATCATCATCATCATCATCATCATCATCATCATCATCATCATGATCGGTGCACCGTAACTGTCTATAAACATCTCTAGACAATTGACACCACGAATTATAATTTATGAAAACATATACAACATAATGATTGATTTATAATGATAAATATAAGGTTATATAAGTGCATAAATTGGAGATGAATGATAGTGTATGATAGTGTAATAATCTCGGCAAATTATGGTTACCTCACTACGACCGAACCGGAATCATGGTTAGAATTCGGCTAATCATCCCTACATGATCCCAAATGGCCTCAAAAATCAGGTTAGTGAAATACTAGGACAACTTCCCAGAATGATATATCATTGATACATTAAAAACATATCAACATTAGCAATGACTTGTCAACAATGATACAGTATCATAATTATCATATTTGTCAATAATGAGATCATAAATATTTACAACAATAGCAATCATGCCTCATAATTTGTCAACAATAGCAATGCCAATTTGTCAATCATATATCAACAGCAATTGATCTTTGTCAATACCCATAAGATCCATGTATGGTATATATACTAACATTTGGGGTATATTGATGGTAAATGTCACCATATATCGCAGCACCATGGATCCTATGGGATATATCAACAATCATATCATCATGGATCATCAATTTGTCAATCTCTCATCGGACTCTCCAGGCGAAACCGCAACGGACCTGGCGCTCTGCTCCCGGAGTTGCTGGCCCCGGAGATTCGTACTCCGTTACAACACCGTTGTTCTGCGTTGCGTCAAAAACGGTGCACCCCATGACATTGCATTGCATCAGATACACATTATATGTCGTTATATATATATATAATTAATATAGACATATCGAGTGTTTGGCTTGGCTTTGTGTGTATATATGCAAACATACCTTTGCCTTTGTTGATCTATGTTCCTGTTGAAACAGTGGAAGTCCATCCTGACTTTCGTTTGTGGGGTGCAGATCCAGCAACATTGGCTGAGCAGGGAAGTTCGCAGAAGAAAACACATAAGTCCTGACAAAAGACACAGCACTTTTTCTGCCTTCCCTCACCACCATATAATGCATCACTTCAAGACTTCATTAAGATTACTTACAGGGAACATATATACACCAGAATTCTTGTTCATCAACATTATGGGATGACAGTTTATGAGAGTCATGTTGTTAATAACACCCATTATCACTACATAATATGGGGGCATGTTCTCGAGTTTTTTTTTCCCCAGACTAATCGAAGCACCGCTTGGTTTTCCACCAAGGTCCGTGCATGGACCGTGGGTGACGAGAGTCGCCAGAAGGATGACGCGAAACGCGACCGTTTGGTCACTGAGCGCTTTGTAGCAGAGCATCCGCGTCGCGTCGGTGTGGGTTTGAGGGACTTGGATTTATAGAAGCGGAAAAGGGAGATCCTAAATGTGGTTACCCTCTGGTAAACTAACATAGCTATGGAAAATCACCATTTTTAATGGGTAAATCCATGATGGTTCAGCCAGATATTTGTGGACTATAGTGGACTGGACAGATCATGGGGATATGGGAATATTAATTAAAATTCTACCAGATTGGAAGTCAATCTCAACCAGAAATGCGTTTGATATCGTGTGATAAATATTCGTAAAATTAGTAATTATGACGATATAGTACGATATAATATATGTTGTAAAAGTAAAATGTTTTATATAGATAAATGTAAATGTTGATGTAACTCTCCAAATGTTATTCCTTATTATAGTGTTGGCATGTGATGCCCGCAGTGATGAATTGCCGATGTTCGATGGTTACATTGGTTACATCCTGCTGGATCTCCTTTTTGTGTTTGTTTTTTAGATTCCCGCAGCATGCTCAAAGTCAGCATGTTTGTGACGGTTTCACCTGCCAAATGTTCGCCACTGTGCAGCAGAAAAAAACGATGAACCTTTGGTGAGGTCAGTCTGCCGATTCCAGAGCGAAAAGCTTGGTTTAGCCGCCCAGGGTTGATGATTTAAAGTTCAAATGATGTTGATTTTATTCATAAAACCATATATGAAATCATATTCTATCATATATAGTGACAATTTATAGTGAGTGTTCCCATTAAAAATGGTGATGTTCCATAGTTATGTTAGTTTACCAGAGGGTATCATATTCTATCATATATGGTACACATCCATTTTTCACGGTGAACTCCCGAACTCACCCCATCTTTTTATCTCGGCGTTGGGCTCAGTTGGGTGGCACGTTGTGCCCCCGTCACCGCGGCGCACGCGGATTCACCCCGGTGAGCTCAGCGGAGTGTGAAGCTGGGGCATTTTTGGGAGTTGGAGCTTGGAAAAGGAGCTTGGAAAATTGCCGGAATGGAAATTCAGATTAGAGTTTTTTTTATGTTTTTTTCAGGGTTATGATATGTTATGATACTTGCCCATAGAGAAAATTCACTATAAATATTTGTGGCCATGAGTTGGCTCTAATGTGGATGATCCCCTTGGGGTGGTGGCTATTGTTTCGTTATCTATCCGAAATGATGTGAGAAAGAATCGTGCATGGAGCTACCTGCAACCCAAATGAAACTTGTTGTGGATGGTTATCTCTCGGTTCGTTGGTCAGACCTCAAAATCAGGAGCATTTCAGTTTCAGATATAATTAATTAATACGTATGAAAACAATGTGATATCAACCCCAGATAAATAAACCCCTAGGCTGTCAAATTTCCCAGGGGGTTCAACTTACTGTAGTATGAAATTCATCACCATCTTGGGGGAGCCAAGAATCACTTGTCCGCCCTGGATTTGGTATGGAAATGTATGGAACCCAATCCTTCACGCCATATTCAGCAGTTATTTTCTAGTAAGATACCCTCTGGTTATTTAACATAGCCATGGAAAATGGCCCATTTATAGATGGATTACCTGGATTACCTATTAAAAATGGTGATTTTCCATGGCTATGTTAGTCATAACCAGAGGGTAATATGTTTGACCACGTTGTTCCGGCACCAACAGGATTTTCTTGGTTTCCTGGGTCGACAGGTGTCACAATGAAGTTTTGCCGAGCAATGCTTGGCTTTTCAGTCCCTTGGTGCTCGAAGTGGTCTGCAGGGTGCCACGGATCTATTCAGAACCCAAAATGGATCAGCATGGATTGTTTAACAATGAATAAGTAGCTACAATGTGAGGCCCCCAAGATAGCTAAGTTGGTTTATAACTCCAATAACTATGGTTTATGGTACTTATAACTATAGTTACTGGGGCTTATAAACCAACTTAGCTATCTTGGGGGCCTCACATTGTAAGTAATAGCAACCATGCATGCAAGACTCACAAAACGGATGATGGAAAAGATGGGAATGATATCAATTTTTCTGAGTCCAGGAAGGCCCTAGTTTCTTCACTTGGAACCTACAACAATGGGCACCTAGAAGAAATACCTAGGAGAAATACTAAGGTTTACCAAATGAATGTATATCAGATACATATCACAATGCAACTGGGCTTACCAGTTCGCTACTTTGTCCTGACAGAATCTATATCGATTTCACTCTCCCTGTAGTGATACTCACTATAACATTTCAACATCTCAACCTTAGCAGAAAATCACCAAAAAGGCTCTTCATCTTATTCAGCGACGAGTTTCTTCCAATAATGATAGTGTGGTAGTCCCAGCCAGCCACAAACATCATTAAACCATCCCCGAACGGGTGGGCTTTGTGACTGGCTGGGTTTCCCAGAGCTATCCCATTGGCTTATCCCACTGGGTTATCCCATTGTAAAGTTTCTTCCTATCCCAGAGATTCCCACATGATGACGCAATTTTTGTCACTTCCCCACGGCTGATCATACGAACCGGCTAGCTCAAATATTCTACTAGTGCTCCAATTTTTTCCCCACTTTCCCTGGAGCTCAAATATTCTATTACTGAATTCATGATGTAATTTGCCAAATATTATCCAGTTATCCCCATATGATCCCAAATATTCCCACATGATTCTTGTCAACCCTGGATTAATAAACCCCTAGGCTGTTTAATTGGGGGGGTACCATTTAAGTATCAGTTGATGATTATTGGGGAAGTACATCTCTAATTAATAAACTATGGTTTATTAATCCCGGGTTGACATATGTTGACATTACTTAATCTATTCACTGAATTCATGATGTAATTTCCCATATTAATCCAGTTATCGCCATGTTGATCCCAGATCTTCCCATGTTGACATTACTTAATCTATGATATATTCCCTGATGCTCATATCTTCACAGCCTGTGAGTTGCCCAGGCCTTGACAGTGGGGCGTGGGATCTCAGGGATCTCAGGGATGATTCCAAGATTCGGGTGATGACGGATGGTATTTACTCTAAAGATCTATATAAATAGTAAACCATCATTATAATATGTCAATATTAAAGATCTATAATTATATATAATTATTAATTATCACCTGTGAACTCCATAAAGCATCAAGGGATTCCAATCATATGTCACCTTCTTGGGAAACAGCTTACGTTTTTGTAAGCGATGAACAGCTTGGAGATAGGGAGACTTTGCCACTGACAAAAAAAATCGTCAGTGGACGTTTTTGTTGAAAAGGCACCAGTAATGATTAAAAAAACAAGATACATCACATCATTACATCTATCTAATATATCTCTATATCATTATATCATATTATATCTATATCTCTATGTCTATACACATGGTGATGACTTACTTCTGACGTCTTGGAGCGATCCGGACCTTGGTTGAGGCAGAGCATCTCCTATCAGATGGACTATGCCAGCGAGGTCTCGCCTGTGCAGAAGGTGATTCAACTCATGCCTGCCCGGCGCGTCTCCGTTGGTAGGGGCTTGGGGAAGTGATGAACAGCTCCCAGAAGTCGTGCTTTTTTCAGGGTTCATTGTGGTTAACTATGGTGAAGCGTGGTGAAGCGTGGTGAACTATGCTTAACTAGGGTTTATGGTAGATATATCTGTAGTGAATGGGGTGTTATATCAAAATCATAGGAGAAAGAAAATCACAGGAGAATCCGTTGATGGGCCATGGAGTCTGTAACGCATCCATTGGTTCATCATGATTATCCCCATTTCAATGGCAAATGGGGGGTGTTTTTGCATAGTTTCATCTATTTTCAGGCCCCAATCCCATCTAAATATAAGGGATTTTCACAAAAGTTAGTATATCTGAAAACACCAAACATGTTGAAACCACTAATTTTCCTGAAAGTTCCTTATATTGTATCTAACATCTTTCTTTTTCATCCTTTTTCCACTATCCCAGTGACAGAAAGTGTTTAGATTCTAGAGATCTCTAGGCCGTGGACTGCAGACCCCAGGATCACCCGGTCGCCAGGCAGAATATGGTCTCACAGGGCGAGAAGGAGATGCAAGATGAGAAGGTTCCTGGTGACTCCCAGCGGATGGGTATGTCATGGAGGTGCACTTCGACTTAGAAGTGGATCTATAATCGCATAGTATATCACATTTATATATATATATATTAGGATGTTTCAATGAATGTTCATCGCATGTATTGGAATTGTGATAGGGATTATAAGGTTCTCTAACCCCAACTTGTGGGGCTTAGTACTACAATTTCTAGCCGCGAAGAATCCTGCACCCAATAAAAAATCCCCCAAGTATGTCATGATGCAGTCAAGCCCTATATCTTTTGGCATTTTCCCAGGGAAGCCACTAGAAATGGCTGGGTCCTTCTTAGCAAATCCAAGGAAAAATGATGCAAAGATAGGCGATGATGATGGTGACTTAAGATACTTCAGCAACGCTTCGATAGAGTATAGAATCAAGAATAGTGTAGAGATGTTCGGGGATGATTTTTATATGCCAAAATCTAGGATTTCTTGTAAAAGAGGCCCTAACAAGATTCGGGAAAGGCGAAGATCACCATGTTAGAACTGGATGTTGTGTTTCGCATCTTTTTGGCTGTTACTATGCGAGAACATGGGCATACCTTCAAAGTTGCCATTTAATAACTATATATATATGTATAATAATGGCGGTTAACAATACTTAATTAATATATTGGGGACATTAATGATACACCATCAGATTTGGGAGTGTATAGCCCCATTTTTTGACAAACCCAGGTGAAGTTCAGTGATTCAAAGCAGGTGATTTTTGGAGATCCGTGTCTGGCAGCCAAATGATGATCGCAACTGACTCATGTTGAGTAGATTGAAAGCAGCAACCAGACATGTGTACGCAGGAAATGTATCACATGTAACAGGTAACATATATCATATTATATATACAACATAACAATACAATACATAACATAACATATATATATATTTGCATTATATTAATTATATATTTATAACACATACATATATGTTACGGGTGTATACATATATATATATATAATGCGCATAACACACACACACACATATATATATATATATATTATACAGGTTATATAGGTAACAGTACACAACATAATATATATACACTAGTTTGCTTTGCTCCTCCCTTCCACCAGGTTCAGTTCGCCAGCTACTCGCAGTGGTGTACCATGACCCAGGACCCTGTCAGGTTACTGAAATAATGGCTTAATAGGTTTGAGATATCCACAGTGTCAGCTCAATCATAGTTAATACTGGGATATTGAATGGAATATTTTCCATGGAATAGCGGAATAGCCTCCTGTCCTCCTGTTGTAGATCATTTTTTGGGGAGATGGGAAAACTCCAGATCTATATTAGTTTACCCATGTGGGTCCTAGTGTATCTTCTGGATTCACCATTGTTGGTTGGATCTGTGAAAAAAATCTGGCGTAAACGCAGCAGGATGTGGAACATACCAACTGGTAGGCTTGTGATGCACATTTTCCCGGTTTTGGATGGTTTCGGGAGCCAAGTCACTTGTTGTTCCTCTATCGTAACCCCCCAAACCAAATAGAACACTGCAGTATATAGACTTACCCAGATATTTTTTAGGAAAGTGAACATGCTATTTGCTGTATGTTTCGAACATCTTTTTGGTACTTAGACGTTGTCAGAATTAGCGATTCGTGCTTAGTGTTTGAGGGTTACAACCTCTCAACAAGCTGGGATGTATGAGGATATACCCCAGTCGCTATCATCATACTATAAGCATCATGAATTAATATGCAGTATGAACGCATCATAAACCATATACTGGTTGTTAGATGCTGTTTTTCATGATTCACAACTACCAATGTATCTTATGGTTTTCCCATAGACTTCCCATAGACTTCCCAGGGTTTTCTCATTGAGATTTCCCGTATCACGAGGACAAGAAGACGCAGGTCGTGGCCGATGCGGCCGATGCCATCGAGTCGATGCAGGTGCCTTTGTTTTAACCATGGGAAATGGCCCATAGAAATAGATGGTTTACCGAACTTAAAAATGGGTGGATTTTCCATGGCAAACTGTTAAATAACCAGATGGTAGTGATGAATAACAATGTTTCATATTTTTTTTAAAATTAATAGTGATTATAGTGATATATTGTTTATCTACAGTGATTAACAATGGGATGATATAATATCTATATGTTATAAATTGTTATAATGTCTCAACTTATTATAGATTATTATGTAATATAATGTTCATACTGTATTGTATTATTGAAATTCAATATATTATTATCTAATCAATTATTATTACAGTGTGTAGTATAGTGTATATTTTGTGTCCAATGCAAGTGTACAAATCATTCGGAGCGCATTCATATTAAGAAAGCCCTTCATATGATTATGGGTAAAGACTGCGTCTTATATAGGTACATAATAACATACACATATAATATGAGCCCTAGAAATTGGAGATAAGTCCATGGCCGTAATGTCGTTCCATGGCCAGGCTGATGTTGACAAAGTCACAGCCAACATCGAAAGGCTGGCATCGGAGATATCAGGCGCGCAGAGTTAAGCTGTGGGTCTTGAGAAAAGGATAATTTACGTTGAGTGGATTGTCAACCATAGATAGATAGATAGATAGATAGATAGATAGATAGATAGATAGATAGGGTGTCAATCAATCAATCAATCAATCAAATCAAATCAACTCAAATCAGATCAAATCAAATCAAATCAAATCAACACACATCAACACACATCAACACACACATCAACACACACATCAACACATATCAACACACATCAACACACACACACATCAACACAAATCAAATCAAATCAAATCAAATCAAATCAAATCAAATCAATCCATCCATCCATCCATCAATCAATCAATCATACACAGTATGAGCGACAAATAAGATAGAAATACATACACCGGATGTACTGGGATGTGCTGATTATAGTTGGACAGTAATTTGAGACCTAGGCTCCCTGCCCCGTGGGTCCCACGAGGTGTTAATCATGGTGGTGTTTTAGCCCCAAAAAATGCTGTGTTGTCTGGATTAACCAAGTGGTAATTCGGAAGAGGTGTTGTGTTCTGCTATCAATTCACAGGCTTTCTGGTTGGTGGTTTGGATCAGTTTTTATTTTCCCCAATGGGATGATGATCCAATCTGACTAATATTTTTCAAAGGGGTTGAATCCACCAACCAGAGAGGCTTTAATTACATATCCAACTGAAAAGAAATCATACTTGTATCTAAAGTTCACGCAGTGATTGAAGTGTTTTGGAATGGCTTTGGTCAAAATGTCTGTGTATTGGTGGCTGTGTGGCAGTTGTCTGGCTTTCTGCAGGTTTTATCCTGCTTCTCATCACCTATTACAATGTGAGGCCCCCCAGTGATGTTAGTTGGTTTAGATTCGCCCCAGTAACTATAGTTATAAGTACCATTAACCATAGTGAAATTGGAGTTATAAACCAACTGAACGCTATCTTGGGGGCCTCAAATTGTAATAGCCTATGGTGGTAATTCCCAGCTACATTACATCCATCTACCAAGAAGCAGCAAATTGCTCGCATGGCGGATTGGAGGTTACCGACTGCCACCAATGGTCAAGTCGTGCACACGGGTTTTACGTGCCTTTTGGAAACATCAGCGGAGTTTTTTGAAGCATTTTCAAGTGTGTTTTCTGGTCCATTATTTGTCCAGATTTTTCCTAATATCTACCTCTATAGATTGCCTTGGGTTGTTTTGGGTCGAAACCAGCATCCATCATCCAGATCATAGGTATCAATAAACAGTTGACCTGCTGCACCCCCTTGGTTTGTCCGCCAGTCATCCTGAGAATGTTTGCATACTGCAGAACCACCGAAGGAAACTTTGAAACCTGAAACCTCCTGTCAAATCCCCTGAAGCCCTGAAACCTAAACGCTAAAACTTAAGCCTAAATGAACAAAGGCAAACAGAACACTATGTTTTCCACGGGAAATACGCTTGACATAGCTGGAGATGTGGACTTTCGTCCTTGAGTATTTCTCTCTTTGTGTGGGTGAGGGAACCAGGGGGATGCAGGGTTCCGGTACACGGTGTCATGTTCCATCTACGTACTGGAAAATCATTCAGCCAAAGCCACATTCCAAAAGTTCAATGAACTGCCAGATTGAACATATACATCATGTTGGTCATATTTGGTCGATTATGGGATTATTGGATTTAATCAAGTTAAATCCAACAATGTCCAATTTTGTTTAGCTAAAATGTGCTTAAATGTGGTTGATTCCCAATACTTTCCACTGTCTCCCAGCGGAAAAATGTCGGCATGTCTGGCTTTTCCCGCCAGGGCACCAGAAGGAGATCGAAGCCTTGTCCTTGGAGCAGGACAATATCACACAGGCGCGCGGCGCCATGATATTATCTATGCATAATTTTATATCCAGAAGATGTTGCTTTCTGAAGATCCATAATTGGGAATATATTGAGAATATACTTGACATCTTTAGTATATAGATACCTGAAATTGATAGAAACGACAGGTTAAAGTCCCAGGTCTTTGGGTTGAACATGAGTGGATGGCTGGAATATGGTTTCAAATGTCAGAACAGAACGGATGATTGCCCTCTGGATGTCCAACCTCGCCGTATAAAGCTGCTTTCCCCTTGAAACATGAGGAATGCAAAAGAAGAACCCTTTGGATCCCGTTGGTAATTTAACATAGCTATGGAAACTGGCCCATTTGTAGCTGATTTACCGATTTACCTATTACTGTAAAGTGGTGATGTTCTAGTTATGCTAGAGGGTATAGGGATACTGTTTAAGACCTACAAGTAGGGCCCAAGTGACGACTACTGCGAGATTGGCAATTTTCGGGCCTGGAATATTTGAGCATTTCTTGGTCAATTTCGTGGACTGGACTTTGCTCTTGGATGAATTTTGCCTGCTGTAGACTGTCCGCAGCGGCGGGAAAATAACAGAGAAGGGGATGATACTGAAGTGCAGAGGCTGTTTACCTTCTTTACCTTCCGGGTTTTTTTGTGTAAGCAAGGAACTTGCTCGGATGTAGCTTCTGCTTTGATTTCATTTGATTTCCTATAGTGCTTAGTGGACTTGACATTCTTAGCTTATGCAAGCTTCTTTCATAGCTTCAATCCACTGGATTGCGCTAGCAATTGCAAGAGTTTTTTGGGTTTTGGATGGTTTCGGTTTGTATACCCATAGCATCCATGTATGGTATACATGCTAACATGACTGGGGTATATTGATGGTAAATGTCACCATATATAGCAGCACCATGGATCCTATGGGATAGTATATTCCTTCCCAATCCAGCTCTGCACGTTTCCCCAGTTTTAAGGGGAATACACACCACTTGCTACCTCGCTGCACCATGGGGTGGTTATCGATTTGGTTGTGGCTACACAGCGCCTTTTCCATTCATGTTGTGTTACCTCTATACAAGTACTATGTTTTCGTTAACACACAGGTGCAGTTAGAGACCAACGTGAAACTAATGTATCGGCCTCCACAGGTTGAACCATCTTTTCAGGGGATATTGCTGGGTCGACAGGAAGCACGATGAATGCTTGAGACTGCGGCATAGAGTGAGACTTCCCCAACATGATCTTGGATATCCTCACCATTGAACTATCTCATACGTCATACCACTTGCATAGTTGGTGGTTTCAAACATTTTTGTTTTTCCATTATGGGATAATCCTTCCCATTGACTTTCATATTTTTCAGAGGGGTAGATCAACCACCAACCAGATATCATTTTCATCATCCTTTCATCCAACCGCCGGCATTTCACGGCTTTCGCCGCCATGGTGCAATCCCCAAGCACCTCCAGCTGCCGCGCCATCAGCACGTGGAACGTCTGGGGCGTGCCCTTCGCCGCACCGTTGGTCTTCCACCGCGCCACGCGCTGGCGCCACTTCCACGACCAACAGCTGCGGGAGCTGCTGAAGGCGCCAAGCCGGACATGAGACTTTTTGAGTGATATACCCTCTGGTAAACATACAAAAAGCTATTGAACATGGCCATTGATAGTTGATTTTCCCATTAAAAATGGTGATTTTCCATAGTTATGTAAACGTTTACCAGAGGGTATGTGGATATGTGGTAGAACATGGGAATATCACCTGGTGAAACCAAACTTGTTTTAAAGGAAGGTCACAGTATACTGTACCTATGCACTTTCTTCCGTACACTGACTTACAAGGTGGTGCCCCGGTCGGTTATATATATATATATACATAGAGCTTACTAAGCTGATTTGCAAGTAGCCTAACTACTAGTAGTTTTTTTTTTTTCGTAGAGATATCTCCAGCTAGGAGGGATATACAGTAACTGATATAACCAACTTAGAAGTGGAAGGCACCACATTGTAGTGGTGCTATCGGTTATATATATATATTTAGAATTTGGGGAAACCAACCATTTTGGTTGGAATATAACTTAATCGGTTATGAGTTCATATGAGTTCATATGAGTTCATAGACCGACCCGACCTTGGACGATAGAACTACCCAAGGGTTTCCTGGGCCCCCGATCTATTGACACGTTGGGGATGAATCAGTGGGGTTTTAAGGGTACCTAGCTAGGAGCTGGCTCGTGCCATAGTTCACAACTATGGCTGGTACAGTAGTCTTTGGATGGCTTGATGTTTTCTTGCAATCTGTATTGGAGCAACCACCCAGTAGATGGAAAAACAAAAATCGAACCTAGAGTTCATCAATTACCCATAGGATCCATGGTGCTGCTATATATGGTGACATGGATCCCATCAATATACCCCAGTCATGTTAGCATATATACCAGCACCATGGATGCTATGGGTTATCATATATATATATATATCAGATCCTACTATCGATAATACTATGGATTATGCTACATGATTATCATTATCTACAATCTATGGGTTTCTACTATAATATCCTACATATGGGTCTGAAAATGGGGTATATCTCCAAATGGCCCATTAATAATGGGGAAGAATGGGGAAAATGATGATAATCCAATGGATTTTTGGTACACTATCGATTCTGCTTCCAGGACGGGGGGTTGAGCCTTGCTCCAGGATCCCGGCATTGATCCAGAGCGCGACTTGGTGGTCTGCTGCTTTCAGGAAGTGTCCTGGAGTGCAGAAAACCCGGTTGGGGATTAAGAGTTTAAGAGCTACAGATATCATCAGATATATCATCAGATATATAAGGTTCTGCATGTGGTGAAGTTGATCTTGGATGGCCACATCAGCAAATCCAAGGTATTCAGCTTTCCGAAAGGTCCTCTGATGGATTGCATTTCAAGATTTGATGCCAGAGGAGTGACGCCTTTCTGGGAAAGGTCTGTTCTGTCCCTTGGAATTTTGTGCCGCCCATTGTCTTGTTGCGTGTGGGACCAAGCGCAAAAGTTGCATGATGGTTCTCACCTGGATCCTTGCATTGAGTATGCCGCGGTGGTGGGAAAGGGTGGCATGTCGTTGCCTTGGAATTCCCTTGTGGACTCTGGTCTTTGCATCCTTTCCACCCGAGAGCCTACCGAAAAGGGCTTTGTGGCCTACAAGAACTACCCAGCTGGGTGGCATGAAGAGAGGCTGGCCAACAAAGGCCACTGGTTCGTGGTTTCAAATAGGTTCGTCTGAAAATAGGAAGCACCCAGAAGCACCCCAGAATGGCAAATTGAATTTGGAAGAAATCATGTGGTAATAAACCATAGGGCTTTCTGGGCACCCACGTTTTCAGACCAGCCTAGATTCTACCAGATATGTTCCATCATGTTCCATCCTCAAAAATGGGAGGATGATCCAAAAGACCCTTCCAAAAAATAAGGGTTTATATCCTCTGGTAATTTAACATAGCTATTGAAAATGGCCATAGAAATAGTGGATTTACCCATTGAAAATGGTGATTTTCCATAGTTATGTTAGTTTACCAGAGGGTATCAGGGTTCTGGAGACTTCACCAAAAAAGGTCTCATGTGGGCCTACTGGTCTTGTAGCGTCGGCCGGGGCGTGCTGGTGGTGAACACCCATTTGTCCAGTCAGCGAAAAGTGCGGCCAGACCAGCTGGAAGAGCTTGGCGACAGGTTGGAGGTGGCTGGGCTGAATGTGGGGTAGATTAGTCGATTGGTGGATGGAAATCTGGAGGGCACCATTTTTTCTTACTGAACACATTTCTTGGGGGTTCTTGACGGTTCTTGTTGTGTTTTTGCGTTCTAGTTTTGGGATTGTTGGATCTGGTGTTATCAAGGCAAGAGCTGAATTCTGGGAGTAAGTTGGGACAAACAGTCATGACCAGAAAAATGTGGCAATGAAAGACTATCAATAAAATGTTCAATATGTCATCCAGCACCAAGAGTTGTAATTATTTATATAGTCCTTCTTGACAGGTAGCTAATAATTTCTTAAAAAGGAACCACCATTAATGGGAGAGAAGGCTGTGACCTTTCCCATACTTCTGAGAAGGTATGGGTCAAGCAGATGCAGGCTGCAAACTTCGAAGTTGTGATCTCCCACGGATGGAAATGGATGCAGCCAAAATGGGCATATCATCCCAGCCACAAATAGATATCACTCACCCAAGCGTGTCTGGGTTGGTCGAAGCTTCGAAGACCTTCCCAGGTTTGGGCTACGGCTACAAGTCCCGGTCCAGACAGGCATACCATCCTATACCCAGAGGGGTGCAATTTCTTAATGCTAGTGCTACATAAATGTGGATATGAGATATGAACATGTACGGTACCAACAGGTGGAATCATTTTCATTGAACAAAAAACACAAAAAAGTACTGCAACGCAAGAGTCCACAAAAAGCAGGCTGAGTCGAAACATGGCAGGGCTGCCCCAGGTGCTACGCGAAGAGTTTCGTGTGAAAGCGCCGAGCCTGCTGGAAGTCTACGTCTGTGGAGATTTCAACCTAGACCCAGAGAGAGAAGCTGCGCTATATGGGACGGTGTGGAACGTTTAAACATGGTTTACCCACAAAAAATGCATTTTTTTAGTGGGAAATAATTATAGTATTGATATTGATTCTAATTGGAAAATTAGGGTTTATCTATCCGCTCTCAGATACGTTGTTATTGTGGGCCGATTTTGGGACGGATACAAGGTGGGGCATCAGTTTCGATAGCCAAGTTGCTTTGTTTCTCTGGGTTAGCTAAGGTTTTTGGTGTACATATCTTCAGTTAACATTAGTCAACGGGGATATAACGCAACTTATAGCTGGGGGGCGCCACCCTGTGCTAACTTTGTAATTTAATGAGTGGTAGTGTAGTGGCTTGTAAATGTGTGCCATTCCTATTTGGAATAACTGATTGAATGCCGACTCTGTGATATTTGTGTGGCGGGTTGTAGCAGGCAACTACTACAGTAAGAAATTTCAATTGTGCAAGGACTATGTTTGGACTTGCTGGATTCACTGAGTATTCCACGTTCTTGTTGGTAAATCACGTCGTCCAATCAACAGGGTCAGATATCTTCTGTCTTCTCTTCCGCAACCAGCAAGTGATTCCCCCGATTTGCATCGATTTGCTACTACCCATAGGATCCATGTATGCTATATATGGTAACATTTACCATCAATATACCCCAAATGTTAGCATATATACATATATATATATACCATACATGGATATAATACGTTGATTGGTGGTGATTGTCAACTTTTGTATCCGGAGGTTTGATTCATTTCCCTACAATGAGCCCCTGACCCCAAAATCATGGGATGATAGTAGCGATCATATTTACGCATGGATCCAATGGGGCCAGAACGTATGTAGCTTCGCGAAAAACACTTCAAGCTGACAGGGTTGGGCCTGCCGGGCCTGCCACAGTCTTTGAAACAAAGATCTCCCAATTTGTCATATTTCTCCAAATCGCTGAGGACGAGTTCTTTGAAACCTGGTATCAACACCTTGGATTGACTCTGCTCACCAGTGGCGCTGTTACGAACGCATCGCTCTCAGTGGCTTTGGATCACGTCTTCGCCTGGCGTTCGGATGGCCGAAGTGTCAGGGCCGTCAGCTGCCCGCCCATCAAGCCCTGGAAGGATGGACCCTGTGATCGGTCCAGGGATGCTCGCCAGGGCGCTGGTTGGGGCTGGTGGTTTCAAACGAGCCGTGGGTCAGGGTTGCTGCAACCTATTCATATCGGTAAAGGGTGGACAATTCACCATATGTCACATGTCTATATTGCCCATGGCCCATGTTTCATCTGAGCTAGTTACGTTTTTTCCAGATGATGGAATATAGATTGAAGAGGAACTCACATCATTCATGCGTAGGCTATTCTGCTTGGTGAGTAGGTCCTGCGTAGGCATGTGGCATTATATGGCGTAGGAGAACGTAGGAGAGACTGCGTAGGCAGTCTCGCGTAGCCGCTTGTTTAGATGTTCTATAGATTGTTTGTTTCTGACCTCGGACTCTTGTTTTTCTTCGTGGGTTACAATGATTTCGTATGCAAACTGGATTGTGTGATTCATATGTTTAGCTGGAAGAAAGGGAGACTGAAGAAACAATCGCTTTTTCATAAAAAAAGCAGTGCCAAGCTTTCAGAAATCCATTTTTGGTTCCGACTTTTGCGTAGGCTCCGCGTAGGCCCTCGCATAGGAAACGCGTAGGCCCTACAGGTCAAATTGTGGCCCGTAGCCCCATCCAAAGCTTTTCCAAGGTCAATATCTGACTATCTTCCATTGTTCCCAAGGCTCAACTCGTCTTACCGTTTCACTTTTCACATGTTTCCATGAGTTCATCATGACTGCCGATCACATCATGGCAAAGTGCTCCACTCTTGATGAGGCTTCCGCCTTCCACAAGTCACCCAAAGAATCGCCATCTTCCAATTCTTCTTTTTCCTCATCTGAACCAGAATCATGACCACATCACGTCAAGCAAAGAGATCGTTGCAGCAACTTGCGCGGAGGCAACCGCGTAGGCACTTCTTGAAATGTAACCCTCGTGTAGGCAGTTTCGCATGTGAGGAGTGGTTTACGTAGGCCCCGCGTAATTAGGTGTCCCAATTTGTGTATTGCAGTTTAGCAAGGAAAAAAACACAACTGAATCTGTGTGTGGGGGTGTTGGGAGCAACTCTGTCAATGGTGATGTTTTCTTGCGGGCAAACTACTGGAACTGGGCCACACTCCAACTTGCCCAGTTAAGCCCACCTCCATCACCTCCATGAATAGATCCAATAGGCAGCCAGGATTTCAACAGGGTATCTCATACCCAAGTCACTGAGAGGCTCTATGGGAGGAAAGGCCAGCATCAACCAGCCAAGATCAGCTAAGCAACAGTTTTTTTTGGTGTAGATGTTCTCTGACCACAAATGTCCATCTCAATCATCGCTACCACTTCTGGGTTCGACGCAACTCGTGAAAAGTTGGATCAGGCAGTTCCAAGTGAAAGAGACCCAAGGGACAACGACAGAACAAGCAAAACTATGGAACCGATCCAACGAAATCCTGTAGATTTCAGGTTTCAAAGCAAGTCTCCAGTTGGAGACATATCAGTTGTCACACTGATAAGAACATGATCTATAGCCCCTTGAAATTATTGAAATGTATTGAAATGTATAGATAGCCTGATATATATATATATATATATATATAGTCACTGGAAATGTATAGATAGCCTGATAGGCGATGTAGCCAAGAAATTGGATGGTTTGACTCCAGGGCAAGGCCGGACAAGGCTTTTTTTAGCACCAGCCAGGATGCGATATCAGATCATTGCTGGCAAGGAATCGTATTTGAGAACGTCAACTTGACCAGTGAACCAGTGAACCAGTGAACCCAGAGAGAGAGAGAGAGAGAGAGAGAATGAAGACTCCTGAAATTTCAGGATGTTGTATCTAAAGAATATAGAAGTATATTTTATGGAATGGCCGGAATGTGGAAACACATTATATAATTATCCTCGAATCGAATTGGCTGGATGTGTTTTGCGTGGCTTCCAAGTCGAACTTCAGGATTCTTCAGCCAGAACATGTTTTAATGAGAGAGCAGCGATGCCAAAGTGCGTTGCCATGCCGACAGGACAGGCTGATTTGCAGCAGAAAAGCAAAAATTCGCCATGCTCCAGCACATTTTTTTCGGAATTTCTGTTTGTCCGGGGTCATGTCAACTGCACTGAACGGGTCATGGCACTGAATTTCTGTTTGCCGCTTTGAGACTGGGACATCCACCCACTGAACGCCCAAAGATGTGGTATCAGTGTCATTTTGGCTGGGTCTTGATCTTTCTGAAAACCCCAATTGAAACGGTCACTGCTTGAGGTGACAAATCTTTGTTGGCCCTTTGAAGTGATTGCCGGTCAAGATGACCCGAAGAATGGGAACTCTGGGTGTGACATTCATCACTTAACCAGGTTTGTTTCGGTGTCATACAGCCTGTTAGTTGCAACCTGTTCTGCTGTCCTGGAATTTTCTGAGTCGATGCTTTTTTGCATTTTCCCAATTGGAAGTCCACTACTTGGGGAGTCTATAGGGATTTTTTACGTTTAATATGTTTTTTGGGATTCCTTAAGCAGATCCAAGTTGTGGTTACATAACTGGGATTTCAGAGATTTCAATCAATGGATCCTTCCGCAACTCTGAAGCTTAATGATATGATATTTTCCGTGTGTTTTTTCTCAAAGATGTTCTCACTTCATGGACATTTTTTCTTCGAGAAGTGTATCATGTTCTGTTTCAGATGCCATTTGGTGATCGCCAGGTGCGCAGCGCGGAGAATGCTGACTACAAAGTGGCCAAGAAGGCTGGGCCTTGAAATAACACGAATGTGCGAGACGCGAAGAGCTGCGGTTTCCCGCATGTATTGTTTGCAGTTTGATGCAGTTTGTGTAAAATCTGAATGCAGGTATTCACCTTCACTCGGCCCTCCCTTTCTGAAATTGATTGAATATCTAACTCCAAAATTGGCTCAAAGTGTGGCAAAGACTGTCAAGGGTAACCCTAGTTACCAGTTTCATGATGAACTTCCATTTGATCGTATATCCTGAAGTAGATAGAAAATGGGAATTTCCAAGATATTTCACTGTTGGTGGTGTTTTTTTTTGACATGTCCAGATTCTATCTACTCCAGGATGACTAATGTCAAACTGGATTAATAATTCCCTAGGCTATTAAATTGGCTGGGGTACCAATTAAGTATCATAGTATCATATAAACACATTATTATTATTTGGATGGTACCCCTGTTAAGTATCATATTATCATATATTATCATATATTATCGCCGTCATATTACTACTTATATTTATATAGTATCATATTATCATATTATCATATGATCATATTATCATATAGTTTATGAATTTGGGGTTGACTACTTCTAGAACCTGCATCGAAAAAAAAAAGCGTTTCTTAGACGCATCGAAAAAGGACTACGTGGAGTCCATTGACGCCTTGGACCGAGCTGTGGCCACGTTGAAGAAACAGGTGAGACTCGTGCCATGGTCATAGGGCTTGGCTTCCCCATATTGGGGGATAGTCAAGTTTCATAGGGATTTACCATGTTTTAATATGATTTTAATGATTTTATATGATTTTATATTATCAATTATGGGATGATATCCATTTTCATAGGGATTTACTATGTAATATGAGTTTATATCTCAATTATCATCAAGATATCACAGAGATTCCAACTATTGGACGGACAACCACATGCCACGTTTTGACGATGGATCGTTGTGTTTTTTTGGGGCGGGGTGGGGAGCAACCCTGATTGTTCATTGTGTCTTGTCTTTTACTAAGATGCTGTGCTATATCTTATTATACTATATTATATCTCATTATATTATATTATATTACATTGCATTATATCATATTATATTGTAATATATTATACTTATTATATTATATTATATTGTAATATCATATACTAAATAATTTATATTATAATATGTTTTGTTTTTCTATTATATTTTATCACATTATACTATATTATGTTATAGTGTGTTTTATTTTATTATATTATATTAGATTAAACTATATTATATGCTGGCGGGTTCAACTGCCGATTGTGGAGGTTAAACTTCAACGCATTTGCTCATCATTAAATAGTAGAATCACGCAACATAATGTAATGTAATGTAATAAAATTGAATATAACGCAATACAATGCAATATCATGCAATGAAACAAAATATAACATAACGTAATATAATTTAGTTTAATGCAATATATTCGTATGTGCATCGATATAATAATATATATATATACAGTATGATATAATAAATATGATTTAATTTAATGAACAATTCCATTTAGTAAAAGACAATATCTATCATATAGTACATATATATATATAACCATTGTAAGTTAGTTTAATATAACAAATTAAATATCATATTAAATGTGCCATGCATTAATATAATATAGTCTAATTTAACAAAAATCATAGTACAATATGATGCAATTTGATAAACTATAATGTAATGTAATATGATATGATAAAACGTAAATCTAATCTAATCTAATCAAATCCAATCTAATCTTGTCTAGTCTAATCTATATAATATAATATTTTATGATATGCGATATAATATACTATAGTATAATATACTATAATATATAGTATAAGGTGACTATCTCACACCTTTGTGGGTAACAAGTAGCAAGTTTGACCCCAACCTATTTGGGCACCGTTCTTCGCCCTGGCTAGGCCTATGACCGGAAGCAGGTGGAGATCCTGTTGGTTTGAAGCGCCAGATTTTGTGACAGTTTGTGGGTGAAAGCCACTAACCACTCTCAAACCTTGTTGCTTCTAATCATTAATCAGTCTTTAGTCCTTGTTGGTTCGGCAGGATGGTGATTACATCTTGAGGTCCACGAATCTTAGGGATGATTTGTATTTTGATACTGTGTCGCTTCAGCATTTTGACGACATCCATGTAAAAGATCTTGTTCTGGCAGGTCAATGGGTCACTAGGTAAATCAGTTTGTGTTCCAGCGTATCTATTTTTTTTTTTTTGCGAACACATTTATATTGTAATATCCACTGATATCTACATGTTTTTTTTGCCGCACATCTGAGAACTTCTTTTTGAACAAAAACATGATATTCCAGTGGCTTCGCAGGCCTCGGGTGACGAGGAAGCTTCGCTCTTGGAGATGCTGCTTGGATTCCATGGTCCATTCGTGGGATCTCATGGGATCTCAATGGGATTTACCCCTCGAGTAATGACTAACGCTTTGCCATGGTATAGATGGCCCATAGAAATAGATGGTTTACCGAACTCAAAAATGGGTGGATTTTCCATGGCAAACTGTTAAATAACCAGATCGTAATGGATTTTTGAATGAGATTAAAGTATGAACTAATAATGGGATTCAATCTGGTTGTTTCAAACATTTGGATTATTTTCCATAATATATGGGATGTCATCCTTCCCATTGACTTTCATATTTTTCAGAGGGGTGGGTCAACCACCAACCAGCAATGGAATTTAGAATGATTTCAGCACAGAGTCTCTTTGACTGCTTTGATCCATAGCCACAGGCATTCTTGATCTAACCCCCTGAGGGGTTATCCTCCACATCCAGAGGATGAATGAAAACACTGGCTATACGCAGTGATTTTGACTTTAGGTTTTCAGGATTTCGGGTTTTGATATTAGGGTTTGAGGTTTTAGGGTTTTAGGTTTTACTGGGCCGCTTGTAGGGTTTTAGGGTTTGTTGTTTTGGAAATTCAAACAACTTAAACCCTACGCAGGGATTTGAGCATGTCAAAGGATATGCGGGATTCGCCGCGGGCAAACCTGGCGTTTGCAGCGATGTTCTTGTAACGTTGGCCACCCAATGTGATACACCAGAAATTATAGACCACCCAGTTATGGTGATTTTGCGGATAGTTTATTATTGGGTTTACAACATTCTACCCTCTGGTAAACTAACATAGCTATGGAAAATCACAATTTTTAATGGGAAAATCAACACTATAAATGGGCCATTTTCAATAGCTATGTTAAATTACCAGAGGGTATATCCCAGTAAATCCCACTAGATACCAATTAAGTCACCATTATATAAATCCCATTTAGTGATGTTAAAGTCCCATTAATAATGGTGATTTTCTATAGCTACGTTAGTTTACCAGAGGGTATACCCTTAAACTACCTTTAGATCAATCCACTGACAGTTCGGAAGTTTCCTGTGGATTTCCCCAGGCCCGAAGTGTCTGGAATTTCCCAGCGTCACAGCAAGGAGGCTGGGTAAAAACCTTGGTGAATGGGGTGGATGGGTTGATGTTTACCTATAAGAACCGGGGAATATGTACATACATATCATATGTATATATATATGTATGATGAATATAGTATATATATAGATCAAAATATATATATATATATGTATGAATATTAATATGATACATATATATATATACACATATGTATTGGTTGGAAATCGACACTTCAGGTTCACACTTGCCCAACCCTTGAATCTATGGAGAATCCGAAGGGTCTTGGCTCGCCTTGCCACGCTGGTGTGGAACAGGACTTTCCACACATCAATGGATTGGTTTAAGGGAAAATTTAGGAAAACCCCATATTTAGTGGGAAAATCTATGGTTTCCTGTAGATTTTCCCTTAAACCAATCCATTGAATACAGGAAGTGGTGAAAGGTGCGTCTGCATAGAGCCGCTTTCATTCGGTGAAACAACCCCCAAAGTGCCTAGTCGGAGTTCCTTCGGGAAACAATTTGCTGGATTTTATGTGCACTCAATCTCTTGCTATTGAGTGTATTGAGGGTATACCCAGCAGTGATTGGAGATGCAGCATTTTGTCATCCGAAAAGAGTTGATTTCCAACCATTGTTGGACCGACACCTATGCTGTCGAGGGTCTTCTCCAGGTTTGCAATGCTCACCACAATGGAAATATGAGATAGTTGTAACTTGTAACCATAGTGATTGACTCTATAGGACTACATTTCTTGAACATAGCCAATATGTACTATTGTTTGGGGCTGCAAGCCACCAGTAAGATCTCCGGTAGAAATTGCAAGTTTGTTTCACTTCCGCGATACTTGCCTGATCCTGGAACATAATCTCGGGCAGAATATATAAGTCATTATAATTCACAACCAACCCCCATTTCTTGAAGGCTATGAATAGTCAAAAGCTGGATTCTATATGATATACCCACATCGGATCAATGTTGGGGGACGGTATTACCTGCATTAAAAAAAAAAAATCGAATGGCCACAAGTTTAGGATTCCCAATCTTATGGGTGGATGATCACAAGCCATAACCTTTTTTTTGAAATTATCCAATATATTTGATAATATTACATGTATGCATATATACATATACATACATATGCAAATACATATGCATATACATACATAACATATATATATATATACATGTATAAATATAATTATATATATATATTGATATATACATATGCATATATATATATATACATATATATATATATATTATACATATAATATATATATATATGTGCATGTACCTATTATATAAATCGTAATCACCATGTGTTAACGATCGATCGTCGCCCCATCAGTCCAGGTCAAAGAGTCGATCAATGCATTCATCCAGTCCAGCAAGAATCCAGAGGCGATTAGTGCCCGTTGAGCCTACCTGCGACCCGCCTATGGCTGGTGCTTTTGGAATATGGGGGGTTCCAAAGTCTTGGAGAATTTAACATAGCTGGAGGGTTGATTTCATGGAAAATCCGAACATGAAATGGATGATGGGGGTACCCCCAGTTCAGGAAACGTCCATATGAATGAATGCAACGCGGGACAAACAATGCCATAAACCAGACATGAATGGGAATAGTTTGTACATACCACCTATAAAAATGGTGATTACTGGGGGATGGTTTATTGAAACTGTTTTAACCACATTATTCCATTTGGATTTAAGTCATGATCCAAAAATCCGAACGATACCCCGGCATATTTGCCCAACATTGCTGGAAAAATGGTGATGAACCCCTTTATTTGGGGTATTTTCAGAGAAGCCTCCTTGGGAACAGAACTTCTTGGTCAAGTGCCCCTTGACCTCTCAGGAGCCAGGGGAAACGGGCGCTGAGCCCATGATGAACTGCCTGATTGTGGATGTGTCAAATTCTGTTCGCATAATATGGCGAGAATCAGAAAACATCACATGTGTCTCAGGTTGGCTGAAATGATTCCTGATTTTATATGGTTCCTGATTGGTTTGTTTCGATGGGACCGTCCCTGATGGAATCCCTTCCAGTGATGCAGGTTGCTGGATACGAGTTCCAATCGGAAGGCACGGTCGTATCGATCGTAGTGTGGTGAAGCATGTATCAATGGGTTAACTGATGTTGATTGATGTTGGTTGATGTTGATTAGCTTGTGACTTGAAGAGTCTTCTGCATCAGTTTTTGCGAATACTCTCTGGTAAGCTGAGATAGATTTTGAAAAGTGTCCATTTGTACATGACGTACTTATTAAACAGTGTAGCTGTGTCAAATTACCAGAGGATACCAGAGGGTTTTAATTGGTTGCGGGCCAGAGTTCCCGTGAATTTGAACCAGAATACCGAATAAAAACATGAGATAAATATATACAATGTGGTTAAAACAATAATAAACCACCCATTTGGGAATGGTTTATACCACCTATTTATAGTGGTCTGCGGGCTGGTTTATTATTGTTTTAACCACGTTATATATGAAATCGCACATGATTCCAACAGCAAGACGTCAATGGAAACTGGATCTTTCAGATCCTGCCGGTAGAGATGCTCTGTCCAGGGGTGCTGAGCATGCTGTCTGACTTGCAAGACAAGTTTGTGCTTGAGAAGGCTCCAAGCTGCCAAAAATCAGCGGTGGCTGAGATAGGATTCATTTTTATGAGCCCTATCACATATTGGGCTTCTACAGAAGCGCAGAGAAGAAAGAAAAACAACGTTTGAGGAGAATGTACTTACTGTAGTCATTGCCCTCTTGTAATCAAACATGCCAAGATGGGAAACTGCTTCATTGAGTTTGATGTTTTTCCATGATTGTCCCATTTCAATGCCTGGTTGGTGGTTTCAAACATTTTGTATTTTCCATATATGGGATGTCATCCTTCCCATTGACGAACTCCATCATTGTTCAGAGGGGTAGGTCAACCAGCAACCAGATGCATCCAGATGCACATGACTGGGATTTCCAAGCCCGCCATGGAATTCCAGGGATAATCATCTGGCTAATGAATTAGTGACCTCACTGTGACCGAACATTGGAATGATGGTAAGGGGAATCATCCCCAATAAAGATATATATCTATATATGTACATATAATCATATATATATACAAACATATATATATATATATATATTATATGTATGCATATTATATATGTATCATATTATATATGTATCCTTCTTGCAGCTTAGTGAATCATTCCATTTTACCCCGAATCATATGACACTACCCGAGTTCGGCCCTATCTCAGTCTCCAGGCCGAGCTGGATAAGATCGAGTTCGAGAAGAAAGCGGTCGCTCGGACGTGGTTTTTTCCGGCGGATGGTTACCCTTTGCTCAACATACCCGGCCTGGTAAACTAACAGTTTGCGACATAGAAAATGGTGATTTATAGTGGATTTACCCATTAAAAAATGTGATTTACCAATTTTTTTATTGAACATGACCATAGAAATAGTTGATTTACCCATTAAAAATGGCAATTTTCCATATTTATATTAGTTTACCAGAGGGTAATGAGCTATAGACTCTATAGATCATCACCATGTTTAACAGGCAAAGGGGCAATTTTCATAACGCTAGTTTATTGGAGGGTACCGTTCTTTTTTCGGACTCGAAGATAGTAAACATACGTAAAACTAGCAGTGATTTCACAGCGACACCAGGATAAGGATGACATCTTCCATGATATGTCATGATATTCTCATGTCAGAAGTGCATAATTTTCATCAATATCTTCGAACGGATCTTGGGAACGACATAGATCAACTGAAACCGAAATCACACTCATTTGGTATAATTAGGGATTGTGCAAGACATTTTAACAATGCATTAAAACCACCAATACAGTATCTACATTTACGATGTTTCTTGTTATTATTATTATTGCTACTATTGTTATTATTGTTTTTACTACTAATTATTATTGTTACTGGCATTGTGACTATGTTTAACTATTATTATGGAGGTGTTTCCAACTTTACTAATTCTTCCACTTATGGTCGCAGATCGTCGCAGATCCCCCATTTCTACATCTCTGAGGCCTACGAACGCACCCTGGCCGGCTCAGATGCTCAGAGATGCAGCGCAGGAAATGGGCGAAATTGGGAAGCAGGACCCACACATAGCATAGCAAAGATGAAAACATGGTGGTTTAAGCAACTAAATTGTATCAACATATATAAAACTACAAACATTTTTGAAATTCTGGGTCTTGTTGATGGTTTTGCTCAAACAAATCTTCAAGTTGTACTACCATTTAACTCTCTGTCACACTTCTCAATGGGACAATGATTCCAGACTCCCCATATGACTTTCACATTTCACATAGGGGACTGGAGCCACATATCAATCATGATTTGTTGAACAACCATCCCCTTTATAAGGTTTACCATTGGACATACATACGTTACATACCGTTCTAAAAGGGATGATTACTATAGTTGACCCCCAACTATAGTTGGTTAATGAGATGCTGTTTCTCCTGGTGAACTCCCATGATCCAAATCGGGACTTGGGGAGCCCCACTGGATTGAAGTAGGGCTATTGCTATTGCTGTGCCACAGATCCATCCCCTGGTATCTCATAAAATGTTACAACATGTTCCAAACTGAGTCTTCCAGTGTCGCAATTGATTCCTCTTTGCCCAATTCGAGTTCTGTTTAGAGGTCTGAAGAACGAAGAGGATTCAGAACAGAAGGCCCTTGGCCCCTTGGCCCCTTGAGGACCTGTTTCTGTTGGGGATGCAGGGTCAACATAATGAGAAGATCAGCAGCAAGGCCCTTGTATATGACACCATGATACACCATGTAGATCGCTTTTTTTCCAGAGATGCCTCGGAATCTCTCAGCATTTGCGGGATCGACCGGTCGTGCCAGGGATTGGACAAGAAGACAGCCTTGAAAAGCAAAAAGATGCAGCAGAAGGCTCGGTCAGGTCGCATGTCGCAGAAAATGGATGGCCCCGAGGGCCTCAACGAGAGAAATACCGGCGAAAATCATGGGAGTTTCCAGCAAGCCGGGTCAGAGTCGATCACCGCGATTACCGCAGCAACAAAATCTGAGATAAGAGCAGAAAGCATCGGATAAATAAAAGAAATGTAAATAATTTCCAAGAAAATTGACTTGTGTGGCTTTATAAAAGTCTATTTTAGATCTGTTTAGAGTGCCATTCTGGATTTGGGGGTCGATTTCTGCTGATGATCATGTCAAAGCGATGAGCTCTCCGATTCTAAGAGAGAACCCTCCGGTGTTTATGTCCATGTTTTCCCATCAGCTTTGACACAGACGCACAGTTTTTGTAACAATTCAAAGCTTTTCAGAAGTGGATGACGTTCATATTTTCATATATTTTCATATATTTTCATATATTTTCATATATTTTCATATATTTTCATATATTTTCATAGTATACCCCAACCATCCTTGAAGCCAGGTTTTTTCGATGTGGCAGCGCCAGGCACAGTTGCAAGACAACTTGGAAAGCACCAAGAGCACCAAAACCGCCGACGAGCGCGGGACCCTGGGGTGGGAGCTAGTCACCGGGACACGGGGGTTCCAGTTGATACGCCGAACTGGCACGACAATTTAAAAGGATGTAGACTTGGCTGCTTGAATTCTCAATTTAGCTAGGACATAAGTTGATGATACTAGGTCACTAGGTACCTCTACTTGGATGTGCATCCCACTTAGATCCACTTAGTAAATTTAGTGAGTGGTTTCACCGGGGTTTATGATACTGGTTGGTGGTTTGGAACATGAATTTTATTTTCCCATATATTGGGAATTCATCATCCCAACTGACTGACGAACTCATATTTTTCAGAGGGGTAGGTCAACCACCAGCTCATCCCTGCAGGGAGTACTTGAAAGACACCAGCACCACCTGCCAGCAGAAGGCCATCTGGGGATCTGGGCAGAAGTTACATTGAATCAGCTTGGTGAGTCGCATGGCACAACCTGGTAAGTAGAAACAATACTTGATACTTATATGATCTTATATAATTCTATAATTATATATAATTTATATTTCATTGTACTGTAGAAAACATCTACCCTTGGCGGGGTTGGTTTTCATGATAGATTAGCCATTTTGACTATGTCGGGTAGTACCATCAACCCCAGCTGATTCATCGCAGGCCTCGGATTTCGAGGAGCGCCAGAAGCTTCGCGTGGAGGAGCGAGCGAGTTGTTGGCTTTCACAAAGCTGGGGGGAAAGGTCAGCTCGAAAAAACAGAGGTGAGGTTAACATAAGCATACATAATCCAACTAACATACACAAAAACGATGATATGAGTGATTTTGGGCTGAATCATCCATGGTGAAATTGGCTCAGAGCAACGCGCAAATCCCAAATTTCCATCCTAGTGGCTGGATTAATAGTTGGCAGCAACTTGTAGGGGAAATAATCTACAAAAGTCGGGAGTTGTTGAACCAACAAAAGTACTGATTCAGAATTGACAAAATGTATCTCTGAATGACAAAAGGATAACGGTGGATTTTCCATGCATTTACATGACTTATGTTCGTTTGTAGGATCATCTCGGGGCTTCCCTGGCGGGGCTCCGAAATGACAGAACGGTGATGAACAGTTCCTACGAAAACAGTGATAATCTACTTCTATGTTATTGTTTTTTTTAATGTTATCATTCTAAATGATTTTAGATGAACTAATAAGAACTTACTCATACATGAGTACCCTTGAAACATAAAAATTGTCCAGACGGCTTAAATGAGTTTTAACGTTTCATTCTGTTCCATCCCTACTGGCAGAACGTTTCTTAATATGTGACACATATTGATTGGGTGTTTACTGGTTGAATTCCTGGTTGGCTTGGGACATCCCTGTTGTTCACCACATCAAAAAATGGCACATGCCTTCTGGCTTGATCCCACTGCATATTTTGATAGATATTCCCATCCCTTAATATAGAATCATTTTTGGATATCATGTCCAAAAAAAAATCCCCTAAAATTTTTTTGGCCAATGCCAATGAAATCTGAAATTTTAGGGGATATCTATATGATGCCATAGATAATGACCTCGTCAATGCCAGTCATCTCAGCAAAGCCATGGAGATCCCATGGAGATCCCCAGGAGTTGGAAGCCGTGAAGAAGGTCGAGTTGGGACAAAAAAAATGGTGATCTAGTTGGGATGGTTTGTGGCATTGGGATTACCAAATTATATATATATGGTATATATATATGGTGTATATATATGGTATATATATGGTATATATATATATGATCATATTTTTTCACTATATGCATATTACATATACAGATAGGACGATCAATATTTAGATGAACTTAGATTGGAATTTTATAGATAGGTCATGATCAGCTTCGCTTGGATTGGAGCTGGCAGCAGACGTTCAGAGTTTCAGCCCTTCTTGTGAATGGCTACAGTATATTGGAAACCGCCTCAACTACGTTGATGCAAACTAAGCCAGAGCTTTCCATGTCTACTTGCAAGGAATCTGTCTTGGGGATCCAGATGTTCATGTTGTTCAGCTTATGACACATTCAAAACATGACAAGCACATAATTTGTTGAAAGTGTGTGTACCATACGTCTGGAAGTAGATTCGTATGATGTTGCAGTACACAAATACATGTGAACATCTGGAACGCATATGAAGCCTATTTCAACCATCCACAACAGGTTCCATCTTAGGTGCCAATCAGGAATACAACATGTCATGGCCATGTGAAAGGAGAAAAAAAGTGTTCAAACCTTGGATGAGTTTCCGGTTTGTAATGCCGTTTATACCTTGTAGATCATTTTCTCAACACAACCTCCTTTTATATATAAGATTTTTCCGTTAACCATTCCATCTATATTTGATATTGATTGCCTTCCTAGAAAAAAAATCATTGTGAATGCCATTCATAGAGGATTTTCATGGATTTTCCTACCAACAACACTGAGCCTTTTCCAGCCACGTTTCATTACCAAAGCCTTCCCGCAAGGCCATTGATGTCATGAGCTCCTCATCCGTCTCCGGGCCCGGGGCACCCTGCTGATCTTTGGCATTTGGTGCATGATGAGGCATGCATGTATAAATAGACAGTATCATATATTCATTTAGCATATTTAGCATGTAGATACACAAAATACCTGAATATCGTAGTACATAATATATGATAAAATATACAATAATATACATATAAACATATATATATATAATATACATTTATATACATGTATATTACAGTATTTCACATTGCTATGTTTTGTTTTGGAGTTGAGTGTTGAGTGGGGCGCATTCCGCATTCCTCAGTCTGAGATTTGATGGATTGGTTTTTAGTGGCATGTTAACAATGTTGGCTAAGATAGTAGGTCCCAAGTCATTTTGGAAATGGATAATGCTACATATGGCTACATATATCCATGATTTTGGGAAGAAACAGAGATAATTTTGTTATCTCAGTGATACGTGTCCTGACTATTGCCAGATGCATATCCCATAGGATCCATGTATGGTATATATACTAACATCGGGGGTATATTGATGGTAAATGTTACCATATATAGCATACATGGATCCTATGGGTATGCTGGAAGATCATCGGGAGATTCTGGTCCTTCTTTGGTCGTTTTGCAGGAACGAGAAGAAACACCTCGCGAAGAGTTTCGTTCAGGTGGGCCGCAGGGTGTCCAGGCGGAAAGGCCTTAACAGGAACCACCTCTAGAGGTCCATGGTGGTCCTGTCCATCTGGCTTTGTCCTGAACTGGGGGATACCTTTCATGGCGAAGTGATATTCTAAACCATGGTTTTTTTTTGGGGGGGGGTGGTGCATAGCCCATATCCTCTTTGGAAGGACTGCCAAAGAATGAGTTGGCATCTAATGTGGGATTCAGGAATGCCATAAACCTACCATGTGCGGATGGTTTATGATGGTTTACAGCATCGATAAAAATGGTGATTCTGGAGATGGTTTACAGTTGGGTTTCCCACATTAGATAACAGTGGGATGTAAGCATCATTTGGGTGTGTCTGAAAATGGCACGGAATGGACCCGCACCAATTGTTGAAGGTAAATCATGTTGAGCCTCGGGGGTTTAACGCTAAAAATGGGGATATCATCGATGAATGATTGATTAGTTATTACAGTAAATGTTATTAAACAGTATGGGCCAACAATACGATCGGATTGGACCGATTGGAGATGGTTGGGTTTCCATGGATAGCATTTTTTTTCGTTGATGCATCCAACGTGCTCGGTGAGAAGTTGAGCCAGTCCCGGACATGCTAAATTGGCATCCCACTTCGTAATTTTGCTTTGCACCCAGAATTTCTATATGTTTTTAGAGATAGTCCGTAGTCCCTAATTTCGGCAAGCCGGTCACAAGTTTTAGGCACAGGTACGAGCCACTTCTTGTTCTCTCGGCCAGGGCCTACTTAACCAGTGTTAGGGGATTTAACTCATCATGCTATCAACCAGTAACAGTACCCATGTTTTTATTTTTGCATCTCCATGTTTGTCGCTCATATTCCCCACTGCTCATACTTGGAGGATCATCCCACTTATTATTAATAATCACTGATTAGTAGGTGGGGCCTATAATTATAGAGCCACTTATTTATATGGGATAACTCTACGAATCGGGGACTTACTAACCAGACAAAATTGCTAAGTTGGCCAAGCATCCCCCGATCTAAAAAACCGATCTCCACCGATCTCCATGTCGATGTCGAAACCTTTCGGCCTGGCTCCAGGTGAGTCGTTCGACATCTTTGGCCTCACTGCGGAGGCACATCAAGAAGGAAGTTCAGGACGCACATGGAGTAATTTTTGTGAGCAAAATGATTCGAAACCAGGGCTGAGTTTTTTGGGGTTGCCGAAATTTGTGCATCTATGAATTTTCGACAAAGCCAAATGGGCAATTTGCCAAGCAAATCGATTAAGGACCGTGAGAATAGGAGTTTGGCTCCCATGTTTCTGTGACAAGAAATAAACCATCTCGTGTTTGAGCATCCGCTCTTCACCCAGACCCACACATATATCAAGAGATATCGGTAAAAAGATGTCAAACACACACACACACAGCACCTCTTACCAGGATATATGAATTATGAACGTGGCAGCATGATTCATTCGATCATGTTGCATGTTGTTATTGTTTGTCATGGCACTAGACTGTTGGGCGAATACTCATCCAAACTCATCCATGTCCCATAAAGGCTTTCCGTATCAGGTGCCGGACTGCAGCAATTCTTTGGGTTTGGTATCGCACTTCAACTACGTTGTCAAATTATATCTTAAATCACATTAATATCACCATCAACCCATTACACCACCATTATTATCATCCTCACCACCATCATCATCGTCATAATTTATCATCACCCTCATCATCCTCCTCCTCATATTTTGTTTTGTCGTGAACAAAATCCTTCGCATCACCATTCTCATCCTCATCTGCCTTGATTTCAGCAATATGTTGGTCATTCGCCTTGATTTCAGCAATATGTTGGAACAGAGAAATCATATGAAATAATATGAAAATAATACGAAATAATATGAAATAATATGAAAATAATATGTAGTCACAACATGCCTTAAAGTTTTCACAACATTTGGAGTCCGGTTTTGTGCGTTTTCTCAATGGTTCCAGATGGTTCCATCAGGACAAGCTGGTGGCCTTCTTGCAAAGCGAGGTGGTTCCCGGAGAACGTGTTGGGAGAAGCCGGGAGAAGCAGAGCTTAGCACCAGAATTTCTGAACATGGCCATAAAATGATTGGAGGATTTGGAGGGAAGACACAGTGGACACACCATATGGACACATGTGGACACCTATAGCAAATTCTGTTGTCGTGGTATGTCAATTTGTGTCACAACTTTTTTTTCTTAGTTATGTCTTTTGGAAGAGATGTTGATTCACTAGGGTACAAAACCATACAAGACCTATGTTTGCATCCAAAACTGAACCGGGACCCAAGTATGGAGATTGCCTCATCAATTGACCATGAAAGGATGAAAGGTATGTGCAGAACAAGGTAGAACAAGTATGTTCAAGGTAGAGACAATCGCTGTCCTAAAGAAACCATACAGATAGACTATGTTTACATATCTATGCAAGATTCATGAAGACGCAAGAGAGAACTTGGTAAGAAATGAATAGACATGGCTAAAACCCCCTTAGTGCTACCATCCATACTGGATGCTGCAGGCAAGGAATACCTGGATCATAGCGCCAGATTGGACTTGGATGTGTCTCACTGGCTAATTTAGTTCAACCTTTAGCACCCCAGCAGAAATTGCAGGGAAATCTATTTGGGAAACCGGGGCCCAGACGGCCTTGAAAATCCTATGATTTACTGATGTTTATTGTGCTTACTGGAAGGTTTTTGTTGAGCGTTTTCCAAAGATGTGATCAGTGATGGCCTTCAAAAGGTCCACTCAGATTAGACTTAGAGCAACCGAAGGATAAGTGAAATTCTTAATTTTCCCATCCACTTATATAAATCTCTTCGGTTCATGAAAAGTTCGAGCCGGAGATTCTCCTTGCGAGGCAGATCGTCTTCAAAGCAAAGTTCTGGCAAAATTGGTCGCTCAGATGCAGCTGGTTCGGCAAATGTCTGGTGTTTGGATAGATTAGATATTAATGATGATAGATGCTGCTTTTTTGTAAATGATAGCAAGAAATCATAAAGTATCCAGTGGGTCAACGGGTCAATGTAGCCTGTTCTCAAGAGTCAACATCGTTTTTTTTGTGCATTGAACGATTTTTGGGCAGTGGTGAGAATAGATAACACTATTGCCACTTTTCGTGCTATTCCTGCTGTTTGGATAAAACAGGTTAGCGCTGACCCGTAGTTGATCCTGCTTGGCATCATTGTTTTTTCCTTGTTTTTTCCGGCTCCATTATCTACAAAGGCATGACCATCACTACCAGACTAACATTCTCCAACTAATCAGCAGGGTTTATCAATCTCCGCCCGACACTGGAAAAAATCGAGATGTTGGCCCCGGTTGATGTCCAAGCGCACGACTTGAACTCGCACGACTTGAGCGCACGACTTGAAGATGTTTGTTTGATCTTCTTTGTAGCTCCCTGTCTTCGCTTGCAAAACCAGAAGACCGCAGATTTTGCTCGCGCAGTTTGGTGCCCTTAGTTTATGACCCCCATGTAACATATATATCATCCATCCCCTTTAAACTGCTTCGATGGCACCACCTTCTGGCATTGGCCCCGGCAGCAAAGGTGGCCCCAACCGCTGCTTCTGCCGCGATGGTAAGCATCAAGGATATGCTGCAGGTTCCAAAGTTGGTTTTGCTGAGTTTCTGCGACGAAAGCGGAGGGTTGACCCACAAAAATCAGGAACTAATAGGTAGATTTAATTAAGCGGCACAAATTTGGGGGGTCACTGTGGTAATAATTGAGGATAATTGAGGTATAAGGTGAATTCAGGCGGTATATAATCTGGTAAAAATGCAGGTTTCACCGGAGCAAACAGTCAGGTAATTATGGCATGCGCGGAAGGGGGGCCACTATGAGTTGGTTGGGATTGCAACCCCATTCATTTCATAGTCTATAGGCTACTCCGAGTTTATGCTGTGGACCTGGATTATGGCCATTTATGGCCCCAAAAGGCGTCACTGATCTAACATGTGAAACTCTTGCCCGTTGAGAAATGGGTTTCTGTGAAAATAGGGTACCCATAAATTGCCATAAATCCATCATACTCCATCATAATCCGTTATAATGCATTGATTGCTCACCATTTTCCCATAGTTTTCCTACGAAACTTGTCATTTGGGGGGTCAGTTCCAGTGCCATCTGCGCCCCCGTGAGTCCTTGCTCGACAAGCTGCAGAATGAAGCGACCCAAGAGCAGACCAAGAAAGGCAACGGCCTGGCCGGCTAAAAGGTCCACCCTTTTGAGGATGCTGCGAGTAGATTCAGTGGTGGTGGTGGTGCTGGTGCTGATGGTGATGGTGATGATGATGATGATGATGATGATGATGATTTATACCGAGTACGCACATTTAAAATTTACCAATGGAATGGGTGTGTGTTGCCCCAACATGCTGGTTTTATCTGCAGGCCTCCAACATTCCATCGATAGTGTGATGCTTCCAACTCCACGTTCGTTACCCAAACCTCCGACACACTCCGAGCCCCGTGCAGATCATTGCAACAAAGAGATCAAGACCAACAAAGCCACACGGGCTGCACGGGGCCTCGACCACCGACATCCGAGTTGGGGTGAACCTCTGGTGAAATCCATGTCTTTGTTGGCTAAGTGACTGTGGCTGGTGAATCCCTGGGGTTTTGTTGCAGAAAACGTTTTTTTTGGATTAAACCCAGCATGTAGCTGACAGTTTTCATTGGACTCGCATTTTTGTTCCTGAATCCCACCCTGTTGATGGCTGAAATGATCTGAAATTTTGCTGGTCAAATCCGTATATTTTCTGAATGTCTATCTTTAACTTTGCTGCCTTAAATATTCTGTAAATCATGACTTTAGTACATCCCATTTAAAGTCTTTAATTCCAGCATTTAAATTGTTTTTGGTGAACTCATGTTGCTTTCGCCCTCAGACACTCTCATGTTCGGCACGCCCGACACGAATCTCTTCAGGAGAAGACAGCTTCTATTGATGAGTTGCAAGCAGACATTGACATGCTCGAGGCCCACAGGAAGTGAGGGCCAGGTTTGAAGCCGAATCTGTAGGAGCCTCCAAATTTACAGCCAACGTTGACATAACATATAGATGGGGGAAAATCCACCATGAACTGATAAGAAATTTACATCACATAGATGGGGGAAAACCATGGGAAAACCCATGAAAACCCATGCAATATCCCCCCACCCTTAGATAATGATCATGTTCCGAACGGGAAACCAAAAAACGGCCTTTCCCAAGTGGCAACTGGCTGAAGCCGCGCCTCAGGCGTCGGTGAAGCAGCTGAAGGAGGTGTGCCGAAACAGTCGAAGTCGGGCGGAGCTGTGTGGCATGGGGTGCTTGGTTCAACATCTGACATAACTCATGTGGGTATGGGTCAATACCTATAGATACATTATGATACATTTTTAGGGGGATGAACATCCATAAATCCCAGCTATTTTGGGGTTCACTAGGTACCAGGGTTTTGACCCATCCCCATGTGGCAAAGCCAGTTATAAACCTACCACCTGGGGATTGTTTTTTACAGGTTAAAAAACCATCCACATCCATCCATCCATGGTGATTTGATCGATTGTTTATTGGGTAAAGCCCAGAGGGGTTCTTTTTCTGGTCCCCAACATTTCCTGTTTGGGATTCTCAGGCCCTGGGGGTTTGGGGGAGATGTTCAAATCAATCCCAGATGCGAACCATGACTCAATGGTGCTGGAATATTGACCTACATTTACCCCAAACATGGCCCAGATTTTGTAGATGAAATATTCCAGCACCATGGTTCGCATCTGGGAATCTTGTCACATCTTTTGAAGATGTTTTGGATATAAATTATGAATAATTATGATTTATTATTACTATGATATACCGTTTGATGTTTTTTTTTCACATCTTTGTAAACCCTGGGGTCTCAGTTTCTCCAGTTTCGACTTGTGGTCGTCTTCGCAGGAAGCTGCTGCCTTGGGTGAAGACATCGGAGAATTGGACACTTGAAGAAAACGCGATGGCGCGATGGGGAACCATGAGTTGATGTGGGATATGTGGGATATGTGTGGAAGGGAACCACTTGAAACAGAAACACATGTTAACTAGGTAGAAATTAGGATGTACTTGTAAGAAGTTGGGGGGATATTGCCAGTCTGCAGATAGTCTAACTGATGCAACTGCGAAAATTGGATGCGAAGTTTTAGTTCGCAAGTCGCTAGATAGCCATAGTCACTATGCCATAGTCTAAGGGCTTATACTGTATATTATAGCATATTATATCATATCCCAACTTATAGATACTTATGGTGGTTACAACCATGGTTAAATCCATTTGTATCCATTTGACGTAGGTGAGCTACGTTGTTGGCCTTTCCAACAAGGATTGGATTCAAATTGGATGGAAGCTGAATGGGTCAGATGATCATATCCTCGTTTCCATCGTCACCATGGTCGTCATCACCATCATCATCACCACCACAATGATGATGATGATGATGAGGAGGAGGAGGGGGAGAAGGAGCAGGAGGAGGAGGATCAGGATGAGGATGAGGATGAGCATGAGCATGAGCATAGGATGATTATGATGAGGATGATATATATTATTATTTATATTATTATTAGTATTATTATAATTATTATAATTATATATTATTTGTTGTGATAATCACCATGATGATTGCAAGATTTGCCGACGGCACGGGCACGATTGTGCTAGGGATCATCCCCAAATGGCGGAAGATATTCAGGTTGGTGAAGTATGACATGATGGCAACCCCCCAAAGCATAGAAAAATATATGAAAAACATGCTAAATCCTGGAAAAAAATAATTAAGATCATCTATACCATCCTGGAGATTTGTCTATTTTTTGGGGGGTTCTTGTATCCAGATGCTTTTATGGAAGTGTTGCATTGACCTTGTCTCCCCCAAACAAGTTGGGCCCAACTGCCCCGTCCACAGATGATCCCCCACATTTGATGGAGAAAAAGATACTGCTTGTCCTACAGGATGGGGCCCTTCAGTTATAAGTTGGTTTAGAACCCCATCTAAATATAGTTATAAGATGTTATAAGTACTATACACTATGGGTATTATAGTTAAAAACCACCTTAGCTAACTATGGGGCCCCATATTGTACCATGTGTCCATGTGTTTCCCTTTAAAGTCAAAGCAGTCCATTGACTCTGTAACTGAGGACCAGTCTGTGGCCAACGTCCGGACAGCCTGGGTCAGCATGGGGCTTTCCGTAGTCATGGGGGTACCCCAATAGCTGGATATAACGGAACATCCGAAAATAACATGGACGATTTGGGGGTACGCATATTTCAGGAGATCCATATACTATTATATATATATATATCCATTATATATATAATTATATATATATGTATATTCAAGTATAAACATATATGTATATATATATATATTATTATATATTATATACTGTATATCATAATATATATATATATTATACATATTCTGTGTGGAATTTTAATTGGATTTTAATGAAAAGTGTTTTCTGCGAAGACTTTGCCGATACACAGAGAGAACGACTGGTCAGTGTGTGAGACTAACAAGATCCAACATATATATATATATATTCCTGATCATTCCCATATGTGTCCAAATATTCCAATATACATATATCCATATATTGTCATAAATTTCCATATATATCCAGATATGTTATACTAGATTATCCTTATATTATCCCAAATATATATATATAATATACATATGTATAATATATATATACATACACGTAAAATATCAATTTTCCTTGGCAGTTTCGACTTCGAAACTCGCGCGTTACTGGTATAAACCCCCAAAAAAAATCGGCGCCAAGGCCACAGAGCTTCGAGGAAAGGAAAAGGCCAAGAACAACGAGACGGTGACCGATGCCAAGGTATCACCAGTGGAAAAAAAGGGCTATGGTAATTTAACATAACTATGGAAAATCCTCATTATTCATGGGAAAATTCACTATAAATGACCATTTTCAATAGCTATGTTAAATTACCAGATTACCAGAGGGTAGGGCTATGGGTCAAAACCCTGGTACCTAGTAAACCTCAAGTCATAGCTGGGATTTATAGCTGTGAATAACCCACTAAAATTGATAGTAATAGTAATAGGTTTTGACCCATTCCCATAGAACTAGAGTTACAGGGGTCAGAAAAATCAACATATACCAACAAAAGTGGGGTTTTATAACCATGGTTTTTTACCCATTTCTAATTTCCAAGGAATCTATAGGTAAAAGGAATAGGTAAATTATGGGTTGTTCGCTTTCAAGCTAATGTCCAACAGACATCGGCCCTGCTTTTTGCACACGGGCTGCGGATCTTTGACATGGTGCCCAGAAAGCATGGGAACAACTTCATGCTGGTCATGGTGGGATGGCTATAAAGCATGTTCGCTCCAACCCTGACGTTGCGCCGCGTCTGACTTCAGGTGGCTATGAAGATAAAGTTGATGTTATTACCCCAATCAACATATTGTTCATAGGGGGTGGCGAATTTTGAACCCTTATAGAGATAAAGTTGATGTTATTACCCCAATCAACATATTGTTCATAGGGGGTGGTGAATTTTGATCCCTTATGAAGATAAAGTTGATGTTATTACCCCAACCAACATATTGTTCATAAGGGGTGGCGAGTTTTGATCCCTCATGGAGATATACTTGATGTTATTACCCCAATCAACATATTGTTCAGAGGGGGTGGCGGAGTTTGACCCCTCATGAAGATAAAGTTGATGTTATTACCCCAGTCAACTCAACCTATTGTTCAGAGAAAGGGGGCAAATTTTAATGTGATGATGATCATGATGTGATGATGTGATGATGTGATGATGTGATGGTGTCATGATGATGATGATGATGATGATGATGATGATGATGATCATCATCACGATTGTAGGTGTGGATCAACGTCTGGGTTGGGGCGGACATGTTTACAAATGTAACTTGACCAGGGTATTGAACATTATTGAACAGGGGGTGATGATTCTGACCTACACCGCCTATATCCATGTTGTCCATGTTTTACACGATGGTTGTGGTGCACGCAACAGCTAGAGTGCCCTCATCTGGAACTGGGAATGCATCTATGTTCAGCGGCTAAGTTTGAGCCATGACCCACACCCCTCGGGCAATGGTTTGATGAATTTGAAGATTTTACGCTGAAGTGGATATTTGGAGTGTCAATAAAAGGCATACTTGGGTATGGGTTCAAGCCCCACTCGGTTTTTTCCACCTCAAAATGGCCAGCTCTTATGGTCATCCCCCTGTACGGTACTTGGTTCAACCACCATTCTTGTTGGTAAAGCATGCTAACACCATTATACCCCATGAATCTTATATATATATATACACTGTATATATATATATATGTATAATATATCCCATGATACACATTACACCACCATTTCTCATGCTTAAGTCACCATTTTTGATGAGTAAGTCACCAGTTTTATATGTTTTTTGGTGGTTTGCTGAAATCCCGAGTTTTGTTGGTGAAACCTGAGCAGCATTGTGCCAGGCTGCACAGGACGCAGTGGCACAAGCACTTTCAGTTCTGAAGGACGGGGGGTCATGGGACCAGCGAAAATGGGGATACGATTAGGATTTAACCGTAAAGAAACAAGGATTTAAGCATCGCAAATTTTAAAAAAATGGGTTTTAAGAATCGATAATTGGGATGTCGCATGATTTAAACAACACAATGGTGGTATAATGGGGATATGATATATAACGATGAGAATGATGAGATATAACGAGAATCTGGATAGTGATTTACAAGCCGGGATACAATGGGACATACTTGGGATTTACCTGTCAATTTAATCTGGATGAATTGTAATGACCTCACTACAATCTTACTAAAAATGATGACGAACATATGTTCCACCGAGGTTGAAACCACCCCAGGGTTCCGAACAGGGGTTTAATAGCCCTCGAATTTTGTTGGGGGAGGTAATCTTTGAGGGGTACCTATAAATGCTGCTGTTTGGATCGTCGTTCTTGGTAATCTGGGTGCGGAAAGGTGATATTTCGCCTCATTTAAGTCTAGAATGACGGAACAGTTCTTGGCTAGACAAAGGTGGGAAACCCATGTTCGCGCAGAATACCATGACCATGTAAAGGGGCTGGACATGGCAATCGGATTGGCCAGAGGCGGGCGGAAGCAGAGACGAGCAAGAAGAACATATCTGTTGTGGCGGATTGATGATTTGATCGTTGGATAGTTGGTAACAATATGATATATATATATGATATATACAAATCAGTTAGGATCTCTTCTCCAAGTGGCATTGACATACCTCGTGGCAGCAGATTTCAAGTGGTGCACACTGAACCAGCCAGGAGTTCTACGAGAAGGCTGGCCAGGTGGAACTCAGAGTTGCGCTTGGTAGATGTGTCGACCCAGATTGAAGTCATGAGGGGACCATATGCTTGGAGTGCTGATATCTCTTCTTGGGGAAAAAACACATTTTGAGATTGGTTAAATCCACATATGTGTCCCTTGAATATGCGAAAACAATCCAAGTTTTGCTAGTTGAAGTATCTCATTTCCCAATCCGCTGGAGAACAACAACCGTATGCAGAGCCACCCAATCAGCGGCAGGCGACAGCCTTGGTGCAGACCAACACACAGTGGCCTGGTGGTGTTTTCGCGGCGGTGCTGGGGAAGTAGGCCATTGTGAAAAATGAACATTGGATGAAGCTTAATGTATGGTGGACATGGGTTGTTACTCATACTCATACTCATTCTTACGTTTGCAAATGTAGAAATGGGAAACACATACAAAGGATTACAAGGGATTATTGGGTTGTTCCTACATGTTCCTACATGTTCGAATGGGTTGTTTATGGACAAATTGTATTGTGTAACAAACAAGCGGTGTTTGAGATGACCCATGTTTGGGCCACCATTATTTGGTCAAGTCACCATTTGATGGTTGGCACCATGATTCATGAGCCAATAGCATTGATGGTCAACTTCAATGACCGTACCATCGTACCATCAAAGTTGCCAGTTTTGACTGGCACGGGTGGCAGGGGATGCTTATTTTATGGATCACAAGCTGGAGTTTCAAGGGACATGCCTATGATCAAACATGAGGGGGTAACCATATTTCTTTGTCAAATGCCTTCTTTGCACATGTCAGAAACTTGTTGTTCACAATGTTCACAATCCATGCCATGGGGTGACTTCTCTCTCAATTTGAACGCATTTAGTTGATAGATTCATGGTCCTGAACGGGTGCGGTTTCAGTCTATTGTTCATGCACCTCATGCACCATTTCAATCCATTTCAATTGAATAATCATGTCAGATCCACCAGTAGTACCGTGCAGTGCCATAATGTACCATACATCTGGTTTAAGCATTCCAGGTAGTAGAATTCTACTGATCCAACCTGGGAATTTTACTGATCCAGGACAGACCATTGACTTCATCTAAAAAGAACAACTCTGTTGATTCGTTATGAAATAGAGGCTTGTACTATGTTATACTAGCTGGTGTTCTTGGGGATTCTTGTATTATTTATATTCACTTATGATTTTATAGTTAAGAATAACGACCTTTCAATAGGGATACCTATTAATCAGCCAGTATTTCATGGGATGTTCAAACTGGATACTGTACTGTATTTGTCATGACTCTGACTCACCCGAAAAACAACCAGCGAGGTCAGACCAACCCGCGATTTTCGATGCGCCTGGATCCTGAGAAGCATCGCTATGGAGTGCCTTTGGTGGTGATTTACCTCGTTAGCTACGTTGATTGAACATGATTTGACCAGGTTCACCGGGGTTTATGATACTGGTTGGTGGGTTGGAACATGAATTCTATTTTTTCATATATATTGGGAATTTCATCATCCCAACTGACGAACTCATATTTTTCAGAGGGTTGAAACCACCAACCAGGATAGATATTTCTGGAGTGAATGGGTGCTGAAAGTTGTGTGTCCCATTCCTTCCACATCTTAAAATCTCATTTTCCCAAGTATTTGATATCCATTTGATCATGGCTGGTCAGGGGTGGCCAAGAAAGGCCTCGTCTAAGAAATATGGTGCTTTTGCACACGCAGATTGGAAGTGGTAAACCTTGATAAACGGTTGGGTCCACAAGGTGGTGCCACCCCAGTTATAAATTGGTTATAAACCAATGAACTAGTTCGATATATCACCTATAAGCCATAGTTATTGGAGTTATGTTCACCAACTTAGCTGTCGAGCGGGGGCACCACCTTGTATTAGCTACTTGAGCCAGAAATGTTCAAACGGGAGGCTGTCTCCCTCTGGTGAGCTGCAATCATAGATCGGTTACGCCCAGTCTGGATCATATAAATATATAAGTCCCCATTGACAATATTGTTAGTTGTTTGAATGTGTATATAATATATAATACATATGTCTATGTATATACACAGCTTATGTATAAATATATATATATAGATGTAATATGTATAACTATATTTTTAATTATATACTATATATACATATAACTATCATACACATGTATGTGTACGTACGTCCCATGATATCTCCAATGATATCTGAGGCCTTACAAGGGCATGGGCGGCGAAAGCGGTGGGGTGCTGGCCTTGTTGGAGGCGCCAGAGCCGGTGATATCTTTTACAATTGGCTAATTACGTAAACCAACTGATTAAAGATAGGGTTACCTGGTAAATTAACCAACAGAACCGGAATTTAATGGTGACTTAATGGGACTTAATTGGTATCTAGTGGGATTTACTGGGATATACCCTCTGGTTATGTCAAAATAGCTATTGAAAATGGTCATAGAAATAGTGGATTTTCCCATTGATAGCATGGTGATTTTCAATAGCTATGTAAACGTTTACCAGAGGGTAACCAACAGAACCGGAATATATCACCGGAGATTTGAGTGGGATAACATGGAGTATAATGTAGTATAATTGGATATACATGGATATGGAGTAAACCAATTACATCCATTAACAGGGAATTACACACCCATTATAACCTTAAGGATTCCCAATATGAGATGGATGACCATAAAACATATACTTTTTTTTTTTACCCCAGCACATATAGGGAGTAAGTACTTTGTATACCTTGATTAGCTGAGCTGATGTCTTTCAACGCTTTCACGATGGGAAATCCACTACTTTTGGAATCTTGAGTTTCTGGAGGTTCCTTAAGCAAATCCAAGCAAATGATTGTGATTTTACCAACACATACGGGGATATCATCGGAATATAGAACATTACCAAGATCATATTTAGGTATGTTTTTTCAACTTGGGTCTGCCCAACAGTTCTGGCCAGCAGTTTCAGACAATCCCAGATATATACGGCCTTTACCATTAGGCCACGGTAATTCCAAAAAGGAATTCTCACTCTGAAGTAAGATATCCCATAGGATCCATGTATGGTATATATACTAACATTGGGGGTATATTGATGGTAAATGTTACCATATATAGCAGCACCATGGATCCTATGCTTATGGAATTGTCAGCCACATCTTCCAGTCATTTTGTGTTCTGTTAAGAAAAGTCAGACGTCCTTTCTTCTCAAGGTGACCAGCAAAATGATGAAGTAGATTTACCATCTGGTAAACTAACATAGCTATGGAAAATGACCATTTATAGTGGATTTACCCATTAAAAATGGTGATTTTCCATAGCTACGTTAGTTTACCAGAGGGTACATACACCTCCTCCAACTATTAACATATAGTGGGTTGAAAGACCACTGTCCGCCAAAAAAACGAGGATTCTGGGCGATTCTCAGAGTCTAAATGAGTAGGAAGGCAAGCGGCTGGTATGCAAAAAAAGAACAGTGGAGATAATGATGGATTTCCAACAGTGGGAGTACAACAGCAACCTTTTTGTGGAGATATAACCGGATGTAATATGTACAACCAACAAACGTATATGAGTCTTGGGTTTGTCCATAACCGAGTCTGTCCCCAAATTGCAATTCTGTTGGGAACACCGATTCAGCTGCCAGCTGACTAGCTAATTGGAATACATCGTGCACTATTGCATATTTGTCAATCACTGGATCTATCTATCTCTGTGTGTGTGTGTCTCCCTTTGCACAGACTCTTTACTGTGCTTGGTGACTAGATTGCCGATCAACTGCTTGAAACACGATCCAAAATCACGATTGCAAAGGCCATCGCTGCCGACTTCGCGAAGCTCGAATCCGAAACAGCGTCAGAGGAGGACCCGTTTTTCACTGTTGAGTCCATTGTTTTTGGTTGTGTTTTGATGCAGGTTTTCTAAAATAGTGGTACTATGTGGTACTACTAGTCGTCACCATTTGAAAAAAGGATGTTCCTGGATGTAAACCATCTGGGGATCCCCCATTTCTGGAGACCAAATGGGAATGATACCATGGGGTATACCCAAAAAAAAAGCGGCTAGTGACCTAGTGGTCAAAACATGTCAAAACGATGGTTATCCAATGGTTTTTGTGAAAGGGTACTCTATTTCCAGACGGACCCAAATCCTGTTGTTTATCCCCGGCTAGTTTTCTCACCAGTGAAATCGAGTTGCTATGTCGCCCGAAGGTGCAATCTATAGCTACAACCAAGAAGTTAACTGTTCTACCCAGCAAAATGCGAACGCAATAAACTAAGAAACATGTCAGCCTGAAGACGGGGTATTAGCCCCAAATGTCCACTTTAGGGATGTAGAGGTATCATATTTTCAGAGCCATGTGGATATCATCATGCTCATCATGCTCTAGATGTTCGCCTCCTTGGTCCTCCGTCAGGAGGACATGGATTGGAACTGGGAAAATGATGGCCCACATCGGGTTGAAGCAACAAATGATGGCCAGTAAACACTCCAGACCTGAATGAATCCGAGGGGTATCCCCATTCTTTTGCTTGAATCTTGCATTTTTGATAGCGTGAAGTCCAATGTTGCGCAATTCCTCATGTCTGTGTAAATCATGGATCCAACATGTCCACGGGCGGAATTTCCTCTGACTTTCTATTTCTGACGAAGGAAGCTGGCGCGGACAGCTACAAGAGCTTCATGCAGGAATCCAAGGTGCCCCCAGAGGGGATGATATCACATGGGGATGGCTATCCTAAGTCATAGCTGGATGATGGATGGTGATTCTCCCAGTCATATGGTACCCTCTGGTAAACTAACATAACTATGGAAAATCACCATTTTTAATGGGAAAACTCACTATAAATGGCCATTTTCAATAGCTATGTTAAATTACCAGAGGGTAATTTCATATAGATTTTGACATATTTTGACCCATACGCAACTGGCTCCATGCTGAGTTGGCCTCAGATTTGGCGCTTTTGGCTTTTGATTGTCACGTATTTCCACATGGTATTGATGTGATATAACATGATGTGATCTGATATCATGTCATCTAATATCATATCATATGATTTAAAAGACTTTGATATAGAGGTTGTCACCAGTTGCATGATGATCATGATGAACATCTGGCATAAATCTCAATTTGAGTGAAAAATCAGCCCACTTCGCCAAGCGAACGCCAGTTGAACAAGAAGCAGATGGAGCTGGACATGAAGCATAAACAGGAGCAGAAGATTTGAGCCTAGGTTAACATATGTTAACATGTGGAAGCCATGGCCCATTGATGGATTCCCAAAGAAAAATGGTGATTTTCTGCATCGCTTGAGTCTTGGAGGATGATTTCTGATATCCCAATGGTTGAGCCTGAGCCGTTCCCTGCGGGAAATTTCCATTCTGAATTGTCGCATTCCAATTCATGATATTCCTGATTACATCAGCATCATACCATCTATGTAATATATATATATATATGTCTAGACTTATTTAGATGTATATGATATTGTAATCTATATATATATATGTAGACTTATTTAGATGTATCTAATATTGCAATATATATATATGTATATTATATATATAGTATAGTATATAGGTTAGATATGGGTAAAATGATGTTGTCCAGTCATGGCAAGTCCGTTTCTCTCGTAGGAGATTGCCACCGAGCAGGCTGCTGATATCCAGGACTTGGCGGTGCTGAACATCACCATTTTTTCAGGGTGGAAGATCCACCAGTTTTAATAGGTACCCGGCCTGGTAAACATAGAAAAAGCTATTGAAAATGGTGATTTATAGTGGATTTTCCCATTAAACATGGTGATTTTCCAGTTAGCTATGTAAACGTTTACCAGAGGGTAAATCATCATGGTGATCATCTTTCGGCCATGGCTTTCATAACTATGTTAGATAACCAGAGTGGGGGCGTTTTTCATTTGAGATGATGATCATGTTTGACCAACAGTTTTGGGAAGCAGATAGGCAGTAGGAGGAGAGCAGTAAGATTCAAAGCGGAATGTCATCAACAAGAAATGAATTGGAACCAAGAGAAAGAAAAAGCAACACGTGGTACTGGTAATGAGCAGGGAACATTGCACAGCAATACGTGCTTAGGCATTTCAACAATGCTAGACCCATGGGTTTTACCAGAATGGGTCTCAAAATTCTAATTTCAATCACTTAAAACACTAGAGTTTCCTATATTTTAAGCTGGGTATACCCCATTTTCAGACACACTCATTACCAGATATTACCAGATTACCATGTGCTTGGTTTGTTTTGTTGGTTAGGTTGTTATGTTCCCAGTCGAATTGTCCCCAGTCTATTCCCATTCTATCCCCATATTTGCTGGTGAATCTCCGATCGACCATCTTTTAGCCTCTGGTTGCACGACGTAGCGAACTGGAAAGTCACAAATCTTCATAGGTAAATCATCATAGTTGATCTATAAATTGGCCATGTTGATCCATTTCCAAAAAAATCACTATGATTAAGATATTGTATCCATTTATATCCCCATCCTTATATCCGGGTTTTTCTCAAGTTCATCACTGAAAAATGAGGCTATACCCCACCATATCCCCACCATCAACATATTCCGCTTTAACCACATATTCCTATGATCTGCCAAAACTCGTTCATCACTGGATGACTAAAGCAGAGTCTCCATTGAGTATTAATCACTATTGATCACTATTGATCACTATGATTAAGATATGATTAATAGATATTGTATTGATATGATATCCCCATGATATTCGGCTTCTAATAATTTCTAAATCTAGTTCATCACTGTAAAATGAGCCAAATCTTTATAAATCGATGGGACTTCCAGGAGAAGAGCAACGAGCTGATGGAAGTCCAAAAGGCCGGGTCCCGGGTTTAACAAAGCTATGGAAGCCATGGCCCATTTATAGATGAATCATGGGAAATCTATGGGAAATCACTTATTAATGGAAATCTATGAATCATTTTTTTTAGAAATCTAGGGGAAATCTATTGAACACGGTCCATTCATAGATGATTTGCGATGATTTACTTATGAAAAAATGGTGATTTTCCAAGGCTATTTTCATTTACCAAAGGATACCCTCCGGAAATCTCAACCTGCCAATGACACTATTTCTTTTTTGCAGGCGCACATTTATTACTTATAAGAACTTATAATTTGTTATACTCTTCAAGATAATGTTTGATTCCCAGACGGGTTCCCCCCCGGTAAATCACAGAAGCATGATGACAAGCCAACAACAATCCCTTGTAGCTACGGGGTTCAACTTGGCTACACTCCCTACATATCAATATCGGATTGTGCTCCATGATATCTACAGACTGTGGTTTATCCATGTTTATCCCACTAAACATCCCTTTTATAAGCCATTTATACCATATTATACCCACATATAAAACGGTTAGTTTTATAGCATCATAGATGTTGGTGAAATCCCATGAGTTTGTACCTCAGGTGCCGTGGTGCCCCCCGGTGAAATCTGTGTTGCAGTAGAGATATATCGACTATAAGCCATCGTGAAACTCGTTATAAACCAGCTTCGCGGCTTCAGAAATGAACTAAGCGTTTATAGATTACATCAAGTTGTTGCTTAAGCATGGCCAGATCCCAACGTTTTTATTGTTTCGGTCCATGTTTCATGGCTAATCCCCGGCCGTTCGTAACTGGGCGCCATTTTTCGCACCTTGGTGAGGAGCTGGATGCCTCCCAGAAAGTCTGGGAGACGCTGCAAGACGAGTGCCTCAACACTGGCAAGTCCTATCAGGATACACGGCGATCAACACCAGAGATATGGCGATCCATGGCTACCCATGACGGATCCTAACGGTGCTGCTATTAATATGGTGTGCCATGGATCCCATCAATATACCCCAGTCATGTTAGCATATATACCAGCACCATGGATCCTATGACGCTATGTTTGTGGGAAAATGATGCTATGTTCGAACCATCAAGTTTTGGGGTGCCCTAGTTTTAGACAAAACCCATGTCTTTGGTTAAAAGAAAGCGACAACAACAGTTGTATGAAAAGGGGGAAGCAGATAGGTGTGTTATACCAACCATAGTAGGAATATTAGGTGTATATATACATATATATATATGATATGGGGAATGTTGACGATAAGTTCATTGGTTATGCTATAATCCATTGGAAATCATATCTAGGATATTCTAGGATCTACATTAGGTGAGAAATGTTCAAGGTTACCCTCGAGTAATCAAGCATGGTAGCGGACAATCTCCCATTTGTATACGAATTTCCCATTGAAAGCATCATTTAGAAGGATTTTTTAAGCCAGCCAAGTTTGATTGCCAGAGGGTACCTTTAAAGAACATATGGGATCCATGTGTTGACTTCATCTCGACAATCTCGAATTAGGCGAACGGTGGCCGCTAAACCCGCGGTCATTCCATGAAATACTGGTTTGTTGTATCCATGGTATACTACATAAAGGGTAGTTTATCCCCACTAATCGTCAACCAAAGGGGTATTGAACACTGCTCAGTCTGGGGGGTATGTGGCGGACGTCGCTCCCGTGCTGAAGTGAACATTTGAGACCCAGGCGACCACGGATGAATTTGTAATTCTTTTTTAGTATTGTATTATATCCCATAGGATCCACATGGTATATGCTAACATTTGGGGTATATTTAATATTGATGGTAAATGCTACCATATATATATATAGCATACATGGATCCTATGGGTAGAATCGTCAATTTTGGGGTACTCCCAACGTTTGACTTTTGATTATGGTTTGATTGGAACATGTTGGGGAAAGTCCCATGTTTGCTGGGAAATTCATGATTGTTTGTGAGTGTCCACTCCAATAAAAAAACGGGCATGGGTCGACATGTAAGACCTGGGGGACCAGAGATTTTAATACATGTGTGTTTGGTATTGTTTGGTATTGTCTGGTATTGCTTAGTGTTAACCATCCAAAGGACCTTTGATGAATATTACTGATTGGTGGTTTCAAACATGGCTTTTATTTTCCATAATATATGGGATATTCCTTCCCATTGACTAATATTTTTCAAGATGGTTAAAGCCACCAACCTGATTAAGTGTTTAGTATTGTTTAGTATCAACCATCCAAAGGTTGGGATACCGAAAAAAATGACCCATACCCCATTGGGATGAGATCATTTGGCAACCCCCTTGGTTGATCCTCAAATAGGACATTTCAACAGCGGATTATCCTGGTTGATAAAATCATCCTGTTTCTTCCTAACAAAAAAAGGCAATCTTGAGATATCTTGAGTAGCTCTCCATCATTTCAAATTCATTTCAAATTCTATATATATATATATATGTATATATATATATATATGTATATATATATAAAATAATATATACACATCCCTTTTATCCATTTCTGGTCCAAGCCATTCAACCAAAAAATCCTGGGTGTCGTCGTCCAAGTAGCCTCAGGAGCAAAAGGAACAGAGAGAGGAGACCATTGAGCACCCGTCTTAGTTGCTCTCTTCTTGGATCATCCCACGAATCATCACTTCTTATATAGTGGGGTTTAACCCACTTATAATTATATCAATGGGAATTCCAGGATCCTAAAATGGAGGTACTGTCCCATATAAGGCCATATTTTGGGGGTATATCCCCTTAGATAGCCCTTACATAGGCCTTATATATGGTAGGTACCTCCAATTTAGGTTCCTGAAATGGCCATTGATTACAGATCATAGCTGGGATAAATCTACAGCAGGGGAAATCGAAAACAACTTGGTGGGCTTGTAAGCCACTGAAATAGATGATAAATGGGATAAAACAGTATGGAGGCGTGCACTGCTTGGCTGCAAAGAACAACATGTGGGATTGACATGTTGTAACATTTCCATACATTCATCGATACTTGTTTTTTTGGATTATAATACAATATAGATAGAATTGATTGACGAGTGGCTCCCTATTTTGATACAGATTCGCACGGTATGTGCATGTTTCCCTGTCGTAAGGACACCAAGGAAGAAGTTGTCTGACGACATGTTTTCACATCCATGCGTTCTTATGCTCCTATAGTGTTGTGTTTGTAAATATGATATATATATATATACACATACACACATTATACAAATCCATGCTAGATAATATACATCTATTATCTCCAAGTACAGTATTAAAGGTAGAGTCACTATATACATATATATATATATAGATATACATATATATATATATAATATATATATACATATATATACATGTGTATATATATATATACATATATATATATACATATATATATATATATACATATACATATATATACATATATATATATATTATACAGTATATATATATATATCTGTCGAGATTTGATGCCATTTTTTTTTAACCCCCAAGGCTTCCTACACTGCAACGCCACATCCCCGGCAGCAGGTCGCTTCAGAAGGCCTTGGATATGCTGAGCCTCTAAGAGTTGTGACCAGCCGGTAGGGTCGACAAAAAGGGCCTGGACCGGCCGTGGCACAGCCGAAAATGGTGTACCCCGATGTATAGCCAGTAAAAAAAGGGTAAGTGATCACTGGTTGGTGGTTTGGAACATTAATTTTATTTTTCCATTCAGTTGGGAATTTCATTATCCCAACTGACTTTCACTCCATCATTTTTCAGAGGGGTAGGTATACCACCAACCAGTTAATATTGGTTAATATTGGTTAACAATGCCATAAACCATCCAAAACTAGTGGTTAATATTGTTTTTTCTAATTGTTAATAGTTGGTCAAAAATGGTTAATAGTTGGAATAATGTGGGTTTTTCACAATGCCATGTTTACCATCCCCAAGTCATCCATAGATATTCCATAGATATTCCCGAAAAATGATTCCCGCTCATGTCCATAGAAAATCATACAGTAATTCACCATCTTTATAGGTGGCATAAACTTACCATTCCCAGTCATGGCTGGTAAAAACACCCTTGTGCTTTGTATTTGTTGACCACATAGGATTGTCATGGCATAGGATTGTCATGGCTGGGAATCCCATGGGGTCATGGCTATCACAGGATGTGGTGAATGAGACCCATATATAGCTAACCTCACTGGGATATATATATATATTTATAATTATATATAATATTTGTAATATATATATATATAAAATTACATATATACTTATTTATTTAATTATAAAAATATATATATATGTATATATATATATGTTTATAATTGTAAAACAATAAATTAAACAAATCGATAATTATATATATAACTCACTAATCTCACTGAGGTAAATACTCTATCACTGATCTACCTATGGTCATTACCCATTTACTGGGTTGCTGATGGTCCCATCCCTATGGAAATCCTGGCGGACTCCCTTTGAGAGGAAACCGCACTACTTCGTCGCTGTCGCAACTTTTCCCCAAAGAATAATGGCGCCTGCGATGAAAATCACCCCGTGTATATGTAGCAATGTAGTGTTCAGGTAGTAACCCGCAATCCAGGATAGAAACATAATTATAACCTATCACTGAATCTCAGTAGGATGTTTCTTTCCTTTTTCATTGGAGGTTGTAGAAACCGTAGACAGATTCAGCATCATCCTCACAGGGATGGAATTGAAGTGATCTCCATGGTGGCCCTGGTGGCTAAATGATGGTTAAGCAACCCTGAACAAAGCCTCTGAACATTGTCCAAATATGTCCAAATCAATCTGTCAAGTCAAAGACCACATATTTAAAAATAGTGGAAAGGCCATGTTTCGATGCAAGTGTTTTCCGTAAAAAAAAAAAGTAATTACCGTTTTTTCGAACCGCTTTCCGCAGCCGTTCGGCCCCCCAAGTGCTTTGGCACCTGCTTCGCCCGCAGCATTTGGTCTCGCCCTCTCGAACAAACCGCGTCCGTTGGGGGTGCCTAGAAGTCGGAGGGCGGCGGAAGTTTGAGAGTCTGGATTCATGTTTTGGAAATTCAATGGTGTTTGAACATAGCATATACCCCCATGTTATAGAGAATCTTCATCAAAAGTATGGTATATGGTATGCAACAATTGATTGCTTCTGGGATTTTGAAACCATTATTCCTCCAGTAGCATAGTGGAAACCGAGGGGTCGGAAGATTCTTGTCCTAGCCATTGGCTCAACTGGATCAACCTGCCACTGGCTGGGCAGGGTCAAACATGTCATGGTGAGGTTTCTGATGTTTCTGGTAGTCTATCATCACTTACAGTACCAATCTTAACATAACGTGACCCATTGACCCATATGAATGGCAATGAATTGACTCATTTTCAGTCATTCAAAATAATCCTTCCATTCCATGGGATTCCATGGTTGAAGTATGCCACAATGAAGTAAAGAAATCAGCAGCTGAATCAGCTGAATCCCATTCCCATCATTCCCATCATCACTTCCATATGGAGGTTTCCATAAATGGGGGTGATGGCTTAGAATGGAAAATCCGAAAATCAAATGGATGATTTAGGGGTCCTCCCATTTCAGGAAACCTCCATACATCATCATATATCTCGTTTTCCCAGCATCTCACTCCATCCGGCTTGCCATCAACACCCGCGGGCGCGAAGTATCTTTCGTTGTTGCAGCATGCCGGTGACGCCGATGACGGAGGATGAACGAATGATTCAGGTGCCAGCTCCACCATGGCTTAGCGGCTTAGCCACGGGACCAGTGGTTCCTTTAAAAAAGGCCATATGATACGGGTATGTCTAAGAAATATGTGAAACCAGAATCCGAAATCGTGTTTCAAACTTCCTGCTTAAGGTGATAAAATGATAAGAGTTTTTGAGGGATCACACACCAAGGGGTCAGACGAAGTTCAAGCAATCGGGCGAAGCAGCACAGGCATTGTGGACTGGAGTGACCAACTTGTCCTTGCTGCCAGCCTGCATCCTGACTTTTCAGGCAAGGACGTGATGGATTCATGATACGAAGATCTCATTGATCCAGTTATCCATATGATAGATGTTAATCACTGTTCGATACGATGATTGATATGTATGTTTTATATCATTTGATATATGACACATACAATGTGAGGCCCCCAAGATAGCTAAGTTGGTTTATAACTCCAATAACTATGGTTTATGGTACTTATAACTATAGTTTCTGGGGCTTATAAACCAACTTATAACTGGGGGGCCTCACATTGTACATATTTGGATAAATCCTAGTGACCTCACGTCGTGACCGAAGCCTGGTTTATCATGGGTTTATCTATGGTTGAATCACCCCCGAAACGGCCCTGCCGTCAGGTCAGTGAAAGACTATGATTCACCCAGATATATGATAGATAGATAGTTTTTGATGAATATTGATTCACCTAGATAAATGATTCACCTAGATAAACTATGATAGATATATGATTCACCTATATAATAGATAAATAGAATTGAAACATATTTGTCCATCATGTATGGAGCAAGAGGGTGGCTAACAGACCACATGTCGTGAACCCTGGAGAATTTCTTCATCCTGTAGGGGGCACAATCTTGGAACTTCTGTTCCATACAGAGTATATAAGTTGGCATGTCCTCTGATGAACAGTTTCCCATGATTCATGAGTTTGCAACTTGGACTACATTGATCATCTGAGGAATCATGGCCATGGTTCCAAAAACTTGTTGTCACTTGGGCTCCTCATAGTATCGTAAATGGACAGAGATTCAAAAACGCGGTTGCCACACTTTCGTGGGTGAGAGTGGTTCTTACCCCACAGTTGCACATGGCTTGCTCATCACTCAGTCATGACCATTCAGCGATGACATTTTCATGGAAGGTGACCTCACCCATCATTATCTACCCTTTGGTAATCACGCAACATGGCATAACATGGCTAGCTGGGAACTCCCCTGTAAACATGGAGGTTTTTTCCATGTGTGTGAATGGGAACATCAACTATAAATGGAAGGCTTACCCGGGCTTACCCTCTGGTTATTTAACATAGCCATGGAAAATCACCATGCTATTAATAGGTAAACCATCTATTTCTATGGGCCATCTATACCATGGCTATGTTAAATAACCAGAGGGTAATGGGAAAATCATATTGTGTAAATGGCGCGTTTGAGGGGACCGTAGGGATCCGCTGCTTCAAGCTTTCGAAATGGCTGGTGGCGACCCAAACCCCAACGGCCCAAGGGCTTGCAGTCCATGGCCGGAAGGAATATAAAATGTCAAAGAAAGATATACAGCAGCTGTGTATGTCCTTTCCGACATGTGATTAAGCCGAATTGACTGCTCTTTTTGGGATGATTTGAAGCCAACAACATCCACCAACCCAGGATAGAACCAGCCACCGGCAGGAAGGCATGCACTACGAGTGCATCATGGGTTTCGTGGTGAGAAAGGGGGGGTACAAGGTGGGCCCAAAAATTCGATAGTTAAGGTGGTTATTCACTATGTCAGGCTTATGGTGTTATGGTCTATTTATCTATCGTGAATGTGGTTCATAGTTTATAAACAACCTTACAAATGGGGGACATCCGGGGACACCATCTTTCATGTGTCTGAATATATGCACCTGGGACTCTTGAAGCTGAGCAAAATCTATCGAAGGTTATCAGCTCCAAGTAGGTCATGCGATATTGATCATTTCAAGGAAAGCATATGAATTGGCAAATCGTTTCCAGCAGTCTACATAGATATGGAGGTTTCCTAAAATTACCCGATTTTATGAAACCCCCATATAAAACATATCTTTTTATGGATTCTTTTTGTATAGTTCAATCCTCTCTTAAGCAGAAAACAATGTTTGCTCGCCAGACCTGACACTGTATCCCAGGCACTGGTTGACTATTTTTTCAGAAGGATCAAAATGAGATTGTCTAACAGCGTAAAGCACAACTCTTCTTTGTCGGAAAATTGGGCTGGTGTCAGTAAAGATCCACAAGAAACCATTGTGTTTCTCACTAAAAGTCCAAAAGTTAAACTATCGGATTTTCCGCCAGATTTTCCAAGGCTCCAAAAAGGGACGCCCAGGTTTTTTCGCCATGGTGACCTCCAGTATTTACCACGTGGCGGAGAGTTTGCAGGTGAACTTTCTAGGCCGGGACCCCTGGGAAACGGTGAGGATCAACGTTGTGGTACCTTGTTGGACCCACTAAATTGCAGAGTTCCTTAATGACAACCCCGGATTTTGCTAAACCGTGGTTTATTGATTAGGGTATTCCCCCAATAGTCATGATTTGATACTTAAAAATGGTACCTTTCCATGTAAACAGCCGTTTGGGGTTTATGAAAATCCAGGGTTGACATTATTTTAAAACCGACCATGTTTGGAAATGATGATTGAGCAATTAAGCCCTACAATTTTTAAATTGCAGTTTTTTTGCAGTTTTTTAGTGGTGACATTCTTTTGACCGGATGAATATCAAGTCCGCAACGGATTTGGAGGCCACCAGGGCCCTTTAAAATGGACATGGAATCTGACATGGAATGACATATGAGATGACTATGCTCCGAGAAGCAACTATGACTGCAGAACATCACATCTTTGGATGATCTATCAATTAAAATGTGTGATTGATATGTCATCCCCCCGTTGAAAGTAAACAAATCGCCAAGGTCAAACCAAGGTGGGCACAGGTGGGCGTTGTTGTTGTTGTTGTTTTGGGGGATGGAATTATACGTATTATATATCCATTTATAGCTGCGTTTATAATTGGTTTACTTACTATTTAGCATGCATTGCATTTACCATAGATTTACCGATTTACTGTTGATTCAATTCTGATGGCTTGCTGCGAAACATCTTGTCGGCGCGGAGGCTACAACCACGGCCGCTGGCATCACATGGATAATGTCTTTGCGACGTGGCTGTACCAGGAGTTCGCTGTTTTTTTTGTGATCGAAATGGCGGAAAGGTCGCAACATAATATACATATATGTATAGTATAGTGTATATATATATATTTATTTTCATCTATTAATATATATATATTATTGTGTTATTGTATTATTGTTGATCTATTTTTGTGTTTGTATTATATATACCCTGTGCGTCGAAGACATTATGAAAAGGTCTTTGGAGAAAAGACATTATGCGTCGAATCATGGGACCCCTAAATCGGGAAGCGTGCCTTTTGCAGGGGTTCAAGATGTGCACAGCCAAGAGACATATCATTTTATTCGCTATTTTCACAAAATCTTGAAGTGAAACAGAGAATAACAAGATATTTTGATGCAAAAAAAAAATGCACAATTTCAGACCTGACCATGGACCAACCGTGGACAAACCGTGGAACGACCTATCTAGGGCGTGGAACGGCCTATCTAGAGCGTGGACAGGGGTATGAGAGTTTTCAACTAACTGATTTCATTTTTTCTGCTACAGCCAAATTTTGGATCCTCCACGAAAAAGGGCAACAATTTGGATTTCAATCTGGATACTCTTGATGGCGCAAGAATTCAAAAACATAGAGTTTTAAGGCTATGAAATATCCTTGGTCCTTATTCAGGTCTTTTCTTACAGTACATGTTTAGGTCTTTAGGTAGGAACCTATTGTTTTTAATAGGACTTATGACTTATGACGGGATTGACAGGCTTTGAACATGTGTCTTTTGTCCTGCAACTGCGTGATGTTTTTTGATGTTCCACTTGAGACCGATCGGAAATTCAAAAACGAACCACAAAGATTTGAAATTTGTAACATCTACCATCTGGTTATTTAATATAGCTATAGAAAATCCATTATAAATGGAGGTTTATATAGCTGGGAAAATCATCTGTAAATGGACCATTTTCCATAGCTATGTTAAATAACCAGAGTGTATTGGACATGATCTGCTTTCATGGTGGATTTTCCCTATCGCAATAGTTCTTGGAGGGTGATCCAAAAACTATTTTCGCAGCTTCCATAAATGGATGGTTAATAAACCCTTATTGATGGTTGTTGGTGGCGAACAGAAGCTGAAAAGAACACCATGTCGAAATGTTACAATCACAGAATTGGATGATGGGAACATCTACAGGAGACCCTATATATGGTAAAAACAATGGTTTCGTCTGTAGGTTACCCTCTGGTAAACTAACATAGCGAACTGGAAAATCACCATTTTTGATGGGAAAATCCACTATTTCTATGGCCATTTTCAATAGCTATTTTGACATAACCAGAGGGTATAGCCCTTCAACTGCCATCAAGCTGCCAGCTTTTCGAGGCCATCACCGCCTTGCTTTTGAACATCGCCAATTTCGCGCAGGCCGAGACGTTCCGAGAACTCGGGTTCCGATGTTCCGAGAATGGCCGATGATCTGAGTGATCTGAGTGGTTGGAGTGGTTGTTGAGGATCCTGAAATCTGGTTGGTGGTTTCAAACATGGCTTTTATGTTCCATAATATATGGATATATATGGGATGTCATCCTTCCCATTGACTAATATTTTTCAGAGGGGTAGATGAACCGCCAACCAGAAATGTAGATTGTAGATTATTATGGGACAATTGGATGAATTTGAACTGGGGTATTGTAGACAATTGGATGAATCAATTATTATGGGACAATTGGATGTACTTATCTCGGGTATTTTATGAATTTGAACTGTGACAAATTATTTCGGCTGACTATGAGAACGATCTGAGGAATTGCAACGTTGTGACTATCTGACCGTATCAGCGGCTCATGATGATCCTTCTTTGTTTTCACGTTTATGTCTGTATCTCGTTAAGCTCACCATTTGTACTAATTATGGGTTTTTGAGGAGGTTTGACATCTGACATCAGGCTGTTTTCACCGTGTGAGTAACTGATATTTCACAGTGACAAAAGAAAGCAGGCAGGCAGTCTCAGAAAACCTGGAGGTATCATGCAATGTGGTGCCCCATAGTTAGCTATGTTGATTTCTAACTAGCCAGACGAAGGTTTATGCTAGATATATGTTATATCTATATAATTCTATATATATATAGTTAATGGGGGTTATAATCCAACAATAATACATCAATGAACTGCGCATGCATCAGTATGTATTTTTCTACATAGAGTATTTACATATGCCAGTACTATGATTCCAGTTGTTGGATCAATACAATGATCTCCTTCGAATTTCCCCAGCAATTTATTGAACTAGTGGGCTGTGAAATTCATGGTTCACATGGTTCATCAAGTACATGGTGGTGCCCCCCAGGTATGTTTGCTGGTTTTTACAAGCCCTTGAACTAAGGATATACCCACGACAAAAACCCATTGATACCCTAGTTATAAACCAACTTAGCTATCATACATCAACTAGAAATTCCCACCAAGTTCTTGATTAAGTCCCCACAATCAGCCAAGATCTTTCTAGTTGTAGCCATAATATCCCAATGAAATACCATCATTCTTATTGGTGAAATCCCATTAAATCCCCATTCAACCTCATTAAATCATGTTCAATCATAAAAGAAAAAACTATAAATGTCCATAATTCTAATCTGAAGTTCTTGGTTGAATCACCATTTTGTTCTACCCTCTGGTAAATTAACATAGCTATGGATAACCACCATTTTTTAATAGGTAAATCAACTGTTTCTATGGGCCATTTCCAATAGCAAACTGTAAAAAATGTGATTTTCCCATTAAAAATGCATTGTCCCTTATAAACCAACCATTTTGCGGATCCCCCATTGATGGAAACCCCCATCTTTGGTTAAAAGAAAGTGAACGAAGCGCCAGGGTCCGCGGCCCAGCGCTTTCCGTGAACTCCGGAGCCTTGGCCGAAGGTTTTCAGCGGTATTTTTTATGGTTTGTGAATGGATAGAAACCAGCAGGATTTCTATAATCATATAACTATACTATAAACCAAAAAAAAACACGTGTCAAAAAAAAAACACGTGTTTTTTTAAATTTTGTTTTTTTAAATGAATGGGTCTAGAATGGGATATGAATGGGTCTATAATGGGATATGATGGAATATGAATGGAATATGCGGAATATTGATCAATGGATAGTTCATTGAGGGGACTACAAGATCATAAATGGGATTTACAGTAAGGGAATTGTGGCTATACATGAAATAGAATATTTCATATGATACTGGCTAATACCCTCTGGTAATCAGCTCCATGGCTTGCTTGAAAATCCCCAATGGAGATGAATAGCTGGGAACATGAATAAATGGGTGATTTCCTGGCAAGCCATGTTTGATTATCAGAGACGAGGAAAAAGCACGAAGTGTTCGGACCCTGTAAAGGCATGGACCACCAAATAGGGCTATGTAGCCTTCCTAATGGGACATAGCCATTTGGGCCTTTGTAGCCTCTGGTAAACTAACAGTTTGCTATTGGAAATGGCCATAGAAATAGTTGATTTACCCATGAAACATGGTGATTGTGAGCAAGTAGCCCCGGAGCGAAAAGATTGCAGTCGTACTGTCAAATCCTCCAGATTGGACCTCCGAATTCCACTGGTGCATCACTTTTGGAACTTGAATTTGTCAGAAATCAGGGATAACATGGTACAATGTGGTGCCCCCCAGTTATAAATTGGTTTATAAACATCATTGACTATGGTTATAAGTACCATAAACCACAGTTATTGGAGTTATAAACCAACTTAACTATCTAGGGGGCACCACATTGTATAAGCGTATAGTATAACAGTATAACAGTATAACCCAACTTTGAGACACCTTCCAAGTATCATCTCAAGTTGGAAACAAGTTTCGTAACACCTGGTGATCACAAGACCCCATACAGTATGTGATTAAAAAAAAGGCTTATCATGGCTTATCCCAACTTTATCTGACTTACTAAGCCCAGTATATAGATGGCTTATCCAAAAACTGACTAACAACGCCTATCGCCAGTGGCTCCCGTTGTGACTCTGGGATTCTGCCGCCAGGAATTCCCTGGCCACGGCCGTGGTGGTTTGTTTCCAGGTCGCTGCTCCCTGGAATTTGATGCACAGCATCCTGCCGCTGGCGCCTCGGCGCATGGCGCAGCCATGGGGAAGCAAGGACTTGATGAGAAATTATATTATATACTATAAAATATATATATATAATAAATTACTATTTTTTTGGTGTATAATAAGATTAATAAGCCATATATTGGTGAATTTGGTTGGTGGTTCGGAACATTTGGATGATTTTTCCCATCATATTGGGAATAATGATCCCAACTGACTTTCATATTTGTCAAGATGGTTAAAACCACCAACCAGATTAATATACATATACATGAACTTATAATTGATTGATTGTCAGCGAAGTTGGTGTATAACTCCAAGAACTACTGTTTATAGTAGAGATCTCTTTGTAGTTAATGAAAGTTATAATTAATAAACAAACTTGAAGCCAAACTTATAACTGGGGACACCACATTGTCGGAGTGCCACGAAAACGGTCGGTTTTACCCAAAGCAAATTGTGATAATTGTGATGTAGCCTAGGAAATTCAATGGATTGGCTTAAGGGAAAATCTACAGGAAACCATGGTTTTTACCATCAAATATAGGGGTTTCCTGTAAATTGTCCCATCATCCAGTTCTATGAGAAATGGGTCTTGAATTGACTGTTGAATATTTTGTTTGCTGGATTATGTTTTTGTTCCCAGAAGTGGGAGAGGAGAGCAACTACTGTATCCTGCCAAACATCACATTATGCAGGCTATCTCAGGTCCGCAATCAGCTTGGATGAGCCGAGGATGGCCAAAGGACGTTCCCAGTTTCTGCCATCGACCCATTGTCAGTACGTTACGAGCATTGCTACCAACCAGATATCTATACTATGTACGTCTCTTGCTTATGTTCCCATGGTTCCCATGGGAAAAGAAACAGCGGGTGGCAAATATTTCGATGCCTCAAATTGGGCGGCTGGCCATCCCATTGGGGTGGTCCCGAAGTCTGAAACGTTCATCGACGTTGATCGATTGAGGTTTTCGGTGTCTTCTTGCTACTTCTGGAGCTGATCTACCGAAGAAGGCGCATGGACCTGACGCTGGCCCACATCCCCGCAGTCCCCGCAGTCCCATGTTGTTTACTATTGTGGACATATGCAGGGAATAAATCAGGAACCATTGTGGAAACGACATGATTCGTTTGATTTCGTTTGGTTCATTGGTAACAATACAGTATGTACTAACATCCTCCTTTCCAAGCCAGCTCATTTTGACATCCTGTGAATCTTGAGGATCAGACACTGGCAGCTTCACACATTATCACTGGTTGGTGGATTCAGTTTCTCAAACGTTCAATATGTTGCTTGTATACTCCCATTAAAGGATATATACAATTACTGTAGCAGCAATACAGAAACTGAGAGGCGACAATACACATTGTACGTATAGAAATCAATAAATGAGCCACCACTCCAGCAATAGGAAAGCTGTAAGGAATACACATTGGTTTCCAGAATGCGGCAAGCGATGGGACTTTCCCAAATCGCGATACCCTTTTTGAAGGTTATGTCATGCCTGTGCACGTACATCATTTTCCTTTGAGCGACACCCCCAATTTGCCATACATCATTTTTGTACAGGTACAAACGTGGGGAATTGATGAGACTTTCCCAACTTTGCTGCAACGTCCTTTTCACGTAACGTCGAGTTTCCGAGATTGCTCAAACATTAATATAAATAAATAGAATATATATATATATTATATTATATATTCCAATACATTCAATTTGATTCCATTGGGCTGATATTTGTGGCATAGGTTGAAGCCGCCACGAGACAGTGCTGGGGATAAACATGGCTGGTTTCGATGACAGAGCATCAACTCAGAGATGGTGTCAACTGTTCCTGTTTTCCGCCACTCGGTGTGTCCCACTTCGTCAAGCAACAAGTGTATATATCAGTAAAGATCGTTACTAACTCCGATATTCCAAGTATGTTCAACTGTTTGGCATTTTTACGATCGCACCATTTGATCATATTTTCTTCTACAGCTTAAACAGGGCAAATATGTACAAATACCACAAGAATCAGGACGAAAAGTAGGTGAATCTCCCGAAAATGTCTTGCAGGTCATTTAGGTCGTGCAGGTTTAGTTTGTGGCTTCAGAAGTTTTCCTGGTCGATGCCCTCAACATTGGAATGGGCACTCCATTCCACTGCTGAATCATTGATATCATATGATATCATCATTTAGTTTCCTCATGAAGATGGCTATTGAGAGTCCAATCTCCATGTTTCGGAGGTGTTTTTCCCCCCTTGGATGTGGCTGGAGATGAGACAGGTGCCCCAGCTTCGGAAAGAATGACATGTTCAAGGCAGGAGAAGCTGGTGCACAAAGGGGTGTTTTAACTACCGTTTGTTAATCTGTATAGCATGTGTATATATATATACACATACAGTATACATATATATATATATATATATGGAAATGGATGAAAATGGCCCGTTGATGATTTACAAAAAATAATGGTGTTGGTTTGGTTTTTCATAGCTATATCAGGTTCCCAGGGGAGAACAAATGCAAGAAGAATGGGTCCTTGGCCCATGAAATGCTATGAATAGCCTATCAATATAAACCAGTGGATAGAATCAACATGTCTAAGAGGCGGAGTATGAGCTAAGCTGCTGCCTTGGGAAGAGTTGTTCATTGTCTCAGGGGTTTGGATCAAGATTCTTCAGACTCAACAAGCCCTCAAAATGGATGGTTCGATGCTAAAAACGACCAGCCTGTTTTGGGTCAATAGCTACACCAATGGCTTGACCAATTGACCAATTGACCTGCTTGCGAAAAAGTCCAGACTGATTCGTGATGCAGATCTGGGGACACTCCCCAAATTGGGCTACTCCATTACTCCAAAATCATGGGTTTCCTCATGAAAAATGACCATTTCAAGAGGATTTGCTCTAGAAAATCCATGAAAATCCCAAATTTTTCGGCGGCATTTCATCACTTCACAGACTTCACAGCAACCTGAGGCCTTCCTGTCCAGCTGCAGTGCGGCTTGTTGCTTCTACAAAGGTTTGGATGAATCCAAGGAGATTTGGGTCATGTTTTTTTGGAGCCCCAGTATGGTACAAATGGGGGGTTTCCATACCCATAGGATCCATGTATGGTAATATGCTAACATTTGGGGTATATTGATGGTAAATGTCACCATATATAGCAGCACCATGGATCCTATGGGATAGTCATGGGGCTACCCCAATAGCGAGCTGGCTGGATGGTTTATTTATGTTGATTTCATGGAAAATTCGGAAAATCCATCTATTTTTATGGATGATAACTATAGGGGTACCCCTATGACGAAACGGAAACCTCCAAATGTGCACTTTTTCGAGACAGCAAGAAACAAGTGGTAGATGTAAAACAATGTAACACCATCCATGACTAACGGAGATCTTTGATGAGACATTATATATTGGGATTCAGAACCAACAATGTTGGGGTTTGTCCGAAAATAGGGATTGGACCTGCATTTGTTGCTATCCACTTCGGGAACATGATGATTAAGCATCAGATGGACTGGGGTACCATGTTTTCAGACAAACTATATCAAAGTATATAATATGTTGACCTCACTGGCCGAAGACAAATCTGCAAGTAATGCTTAGGATGTAATGCTCACTATCTCCAAATAGATGGGATGACTATCATCCACGGATCCAGTGGGTAGGGATCTTGCAATCTTCATGCTGATTCGATATGGGTCAAATAGCCCTGGATTTGGGCAGAATTTGCAAGGTACCAGAAATACCCAATGATTGGATTTCTAAATGCCCCCCAAAAAATAGACCCATCTTATCCTATATTCATATATAACAACAGTTATCAACAGTTCCTGTTGATTCCATAGCATCACAGCACCATGTGGTGGCAGGACTATCTCCGCCTTTGGCACGGCGGCTGGCACATCTTCGTGGGTGCGGTGACATACTTCTCGGACGCCCGGCAAAAAAATTTACCCTGACTGATGGTAGATGCAGGGAGCCTATGGTGTTCTATACAGCATACACATATGGTGGTTTCCATAAATGGAGGTACCCCAATTATAATGGAAAATCCCATTAAAATTGATGATTTGGGGGTACCCCTATTTTAGGTAGCCCCATATATTAGACTTGGCAACTCATTTTGGATTGTTGTCGCCTGAACATGCCTGAACGGGAATCGGTACATACACATCGAGCAGAAAAATGTGGAACGAATTGCGAATTACGGGATAATGTGGCTTTCTTTGCTTTCCAATTTCTTACACCTTACCTCCACCAGTTTTACACCCTTCCTAAATCCAAACCCATCCCTTAGTTTTTCTGTTCTGCTTGCATCCCCTGTTGTTTTTTCGGGTTTGTCGGAAAACTTTCCTTTAGATTCACTGGTTTATTGGTTACTATCAGCATTTTCTCATATACGTCCAATTATGTTCACATTAAAAGATGCTATATCCATGTACATCCTCCACGATTCCTCCATTTTCCAATGAACATGCTCCAGTTTCATGCATTTTTGTCATATGCTAAATCCATCTACTGTAAGTCCTCCATAACCACAGACATACCTTGCGACGTCTTCCCCTGTCAGCTTCTGAAGGTGAAATGCCAGAACCCCCACGAGAAGCTATCGGATGTGGCGGCCAAAGACGCGTAAAGGAAAAATGCCAAAAGCGAGCGCCGTGCTGTCCGTTTGGTGTTGGTTTCACTTCGCCATGGAAACTAATGGAAATGATGTGGCTCTTAAACATTGGTGCACAAAAGCATGAATATATTAATGGTAAGTTGACATAATAAGTCTAAACGGTTTTAAACTTAATATTAAAATCAAAGGTAAGAATATTATGAAGTTCACTATCAAAACATAGGTTTAAAAACTCCAAATATATGAGTGCGTCCAAGAATGATGGGAAACAACCTGGCACATAACATGATTGATTATCATGTTGATGATAGTTCCCAATGAACATTGCTGTATTCCCCAATTCTTCAACCAAACCTTTTTTGAGCTAAGACTGCGCTTGGGGTTGGGGCTATTGATTGAACTGCTTGAGACCATCAGAAATCAACATATATTCCGAAGAAGATATTATTGTGACTGATTTCTTAATCAAACCCTCATAATCCCAGACCTCGAATCTAGAGGTTTTCATAGTCATGGAGGTACCCCAATAGCTCGCATTGGATGTTTTATATTATGGAAAATTCGGAAAATCCATCTATAAATGGATGATACCCTCTGGTAATTTAACGTAGCTATTGAAAATGGCCATAGAAATAGTGGATTTTCCCAGCTGTAAAATGGTGGATCTTTCCATCGTTTTTTGTATGTTTACCAGGCCGGGTAACTGGGGCTACACCTATGACGAAACGGAAACCTCCAGATGTACCCCGACCATTGGGATGCCATGAGATCAAAAAACGCCACATGTTCAGCGCGAATGAAAAAACTGTCCGGGCGTTGCCGACACCTTCCGTAGGCTCCGGGGAAAAACAAAATCGTTCTTTTAACGGTGTGTGTTTTTTTTTAGTACCTATACAGAGTATGATAGTCCATATATATATAATATATTATATATATACTATATATATAACATACTTATTAGTTTTTTTTTGCGGCCCCTGTCGATCTAGTGTACCACAAATCCGCCATCACTGTTTCCAGATGTTTCGAGCCGAGGCCGCAATACGCATCATGCATCCATTCCTGAAAGGTGCCACTGTGACTGAAAGATGGGTTGACTCCCTGAAGTTTTAGATGAGTATGGGTCAAAATAATATGAAACGATTCAAAATGATCAATATATTTTGACTGATGACTATATTCATTATGATACACTCAAATTCAAAATAAATATCAGTATGGTTTTTATGACTCAAAATGATAAAATGATTCAAAATGATATTGGCCCCCAAAAAAATGGAAGCTTTGACCCTGAAAATGACACAGTGTATGTGGCTCCATTGCTACCCATAGCTCGAACTGGTGGTTGGATAGCAGGATTCCAGCCATTTTTCAATGGATTGGCGGGAAAATCCTAACCGGAAACCATCGATTTTCCCATGAAGATCATGAGGCTTTCCGGGACAACAATTTTCCCTTAAACCAATCGACTTGTTCAATGGTTTTTGTAACCCAGCTGAGAGTGAAGCTTTGTCAGAATAGATAGTCGCGATTCGTCATGCGATTTTGCAGATGCAGTATTCAAGATGAGTTAAAATATTGTAAGTGCTCCAGGTACTCTATGTTCAGAGCACAAGTCCTGCAAGTGAATGGAGGTCCCTGATGTCGTTACCACGTGAATTCTGAAGGTTGATCACATGATGTGGTTCTATATTCTTTGCCGGAGATAATTTAAGGTTCACAAAATGTTGGATTTTGGTGATTTGGGCATTTTTTTTATGTTTTCTGTTTTGTTTTTGTTTGTTGTTGTTTGGTTTAATGAAAGTTTAATGATTTTGTTTGGATGTGTTTTGTTCATGGCCCGTTCCAGGAGAACGTCACCAGCGGTCCCACGTTTCCGCAGGCCCTATTGGTCACAACGCTCAGCTCTATGCTACTCCAGCGGCTGTCGCCCAGACGGGGAAATTGGTGAAGGGCGCTGTGAAATCCTTGGTTTGTAATGTTGGCAATGATCGTATACAATAACAACACATTAAAAAAAAACTTATACATACATAATATATATATAATTATATATAATAACATATACATATTGCTATATAATTTGGGCAACCCAATGCCATAAACAGTAAACAACTCTCATTTGGGGATGTTTGAAATACCCATTAACATGGTGATGACTTGGGGACGGTTTATGGCATTGGCTTTACCATATTAAGGTTTTGTTAAGCCAACAACGGGATATTGTTTTTGTACTTGAAGTATTGCATAGTATTGCGATGAATGAGGATTTTTAGCAATCATCAGGGGCAATTATCTAAGTACTCGTACTGAATTTAGAACAACCAGAACATGGATTGATACCCTGACTGGATGCATAGCAACCATCAGTTTTTTGTTTGGTGTCTATAAGCCTGGCCACGATGATTTTTGGTATCACTGTGGCAATGAAGGGAATATCCACCTTTCCATTTTCCAAGTTCTGCATCAAATCTATGAATCTTATTTAGACGACCTCAATTAGATGGTGATCACATGTGATAAAGTTATAATTTTCTACATATCTCATTAATCTAATATTCATCTATATTAATATTCATCTAAATATTCATCATATGGGTTTGTCTGAAAATAGTGTACCAAAAATCCATTGGATTATCATCATTTTCCCCATTATTCCCCATTATTAATGGGCCATTTGGAGATATACCCCATTTTCAGACCCATAGATTCATATATATATATATACATATATATAACCCGTAGGATCCATGTATGGTATATATGCTAACATTTGGGGTATATTGATGGTAAATGTCACCATACATAGCATACATGGATCCTATGGGTAATTATATATATATATATAACATCTATTCAACACCACAGTGTGGTTTCAATGTCAGGCCTTGGGAAGCCCATTCAATGCGATGTCCCCAACCAGTTCGCCTGTCTCACCGCACCTCAGCTGCAGCCATGTCCCACGGTGGGTTTTTATGGTGCGAAAACGATGAGAATCGCTGTGACCAGCTTGCTAGATGGTGTAGATTTTTCATGAATGGGAGGTTGGGTACTTGAATATCTTGAATTTTCAGACAAACCCAAACTCTGTTGTGACCATGCCCTCGCCAATTCCCATGATGATTAGTTTGGAGGGAAAACATCCCTAAAACTAAAAGGGTTACATTTTTGGTGGAATTACTCCAATTTGCTCGGATGTGGTGGGCCTTCATTGAATTTGGATGGGTACGATGTGGTCAAAGTGGAGTAGTTTTAGTTTTTTTGTTTGGACCAAAATAACCAGCAATCAGTGAAGACACAGAACAACCAAACAAAGATGGGGAATGGTTGCTCTCGAAACTGAAGCGCATATATATATATATATATACATGGATATATATATATACTAGTATATATACATAGTCATACATGTGTATTAAATATATACATTCCTAGTTGGTGGATCTGAATCTAAGATTTGGATCTGTTTCACACGTCCCCATTTTCTTGGTCCATGACCACGCGGTCCGGACCGCAGAGGTAAAAAGAATTGGTAAGGTAGATCATCCCAAAATGGTTCATTTCACAGTTTTGGAAATCTGGTTGGTGGATTTACCCTCTGGTAAACATACGAAAAGCTATTGAACATGGCCCAGTCGAAATAGTGGATTTACCCATGAAAAATGCTAGATCTTTCCAGTTCGCTATGTGAATTTACCGGAGGGTATGATGATTTATGTCTGTGCTATTTCTCCGGCCTCGATCCGAAATGACCGATTTCTGGGATCACCCGTGGTCACCCTGCTGTTGATGCTTCGCGATTGTCGTGCATTGCTTTCGATGACTTTAAGTGCTTTGCACAAGTGATATCAACTGATCATAAATCACCTAGCATTACTGCCTTGAACAAACAAGAAGGCGCATTGTGGAGTCATGTTTGCAAATGACATTCATGTATGCAATATAAGTAAATACGATTTCGCATATTCCTCTCATGACTCTGTTCTTTGTTTTGTAATGTGACTCTCTTGTGACGCGGTTTTCTCATGGGAAGTACCAAAACACCAAAACGCCAAAACGCCGTGAGGCAATCGCTTTTTGACGCCATTCCGTCTGGCAACAATCATTGGGTGTGATGCCCCGGTCAGCCTTAGTGGTCCTGCACCACTGGATGAAGCTGAAACAATGGCCAGCAATAAACATATGGTGCCAACGGATAGGCTGGACATGTTATTCAACATCAAACAACGTGTTTGTGTATATATATATATACATACAAACACGTAATTACATACAGTATTGTATGTATAGGACAATATTACAATGATATATAATTAAATCTCATGTTTCTTCTTATTGTGATTGCGAGTCAATGATTTCTGATATCACCATGTTGTCCGACTCCACGGGGCTTGCCCTGTGGGGAACCCCACTGTCGTCATGTGCCAAAAAGATCCACACGTCGTTGGGTGGTTCAATTAATATACATTAATATTAACATTAATATATAGATCAATATACTATAGTGATCTATAATGCAATATTCAACGACTATCATTTTATACTTATAGATCTGTATAATATCAATTTACATGTTCCCAGGGCTTGGGATAAAAAAAACACGATCGATCGGTTGGGTGAACACGAACGAGGTGAACACTGTCATGGAGACTGCTCCATTCCTGGATGAACAAGGCATCTTTCAGGCGAGATGTGTCGATGTGTCCCGAGGCCAAGCCAATCCTTGGAAGATTCTTGCTAATTTTGGTTAATCTTTGGTTAATCTATGGTTAATCTATGGCTGTAAACGTAGGGAATGATTATTGATAGTTCGCCAGTGGATCATTCCCGAAATTCCCTAGGTTAAGCACAAGTAAGTAGAATATTCGATGTCGCCAAATCACCAAGTTAGTGAAGTTGCCCCATTTTTCTTGCTATCTTGACAGTGGATGCAAAATCCTGCACCACCTTGAATGGCTGAAAGCCTATAGATAATGGGATGTTTACCATCTATCAACTGGTGATTCGGATTTCTTCCATCCACAGTATACCAGAAGATGTTGGTTTCTTGATCCATTGATAGATGGTTTGTCCATTAAAAACATTTATAAACCATTTCCGGGGAAACCACCATCTCTTGATTTGCTGAAGCCCACCGGGGCCGCCGCTGAGACGTTTTTCGCCAGGCTGTTGGTATCCTTGATGAAGCTCTTACGAGTGCAGCTTGGCGATCGACGAACGGACCCTCCAATTTGTTGTTGGGTCAAGTTGTGCCAATTTCTACGGATTCTACGGTCTAGAAAAGCATATTTATTGATGCACAATTTGAGAGTCTAGGGAGATGTTCATGGATTTTGGATGATTTTGTTGATGTATATATACACATACAGTAATATATATATATAATTGTATTATGTATATACATATAGAGAGAGAGAGAAAGACAGATTGACAGATTGAGTATTTCTAGATGCTGACGTTCCCTGATAATCGCAAGATTCGTTGCATCAGATTTTTAAAATGTTCCAAGGGATGCAGATTCATGGCAATAACCGGACAGCCCACCATTCAGCTGCTGAATGGTACCATGATGATTCCATAAAGGTCCTAAAGGTCCTAAAGTTGTAAATTCTAGTCGTAGCTAGTTCAATAAAGTTAGCCAGGTTTAATATGTTTTATATAATGTACTGTGGTAAAATCTGTGGAGTACCAAACCTTTGGGCATGGTCATACACCCAGTAGTAGAGTCTGTTTATCTATACCCAGTAAAAGAAAACCCACATCATGGTAGGATATGCAAGGAGCCTTGGCCAGTTTTCGCGGCGGAAAATCCCCTATGTTAATTGGAAATCTGACATTGCGTTGTTGAAGATCCACCATCTTTAGTGGACATGTTGGATGTGGCTGAAAATGGTGAATTACCCATAAATGGCCACTTAATCAGGAACATGATTATATAATACATATTAATAAGCCATTGGGTGTTCCGGGTATCCAAAAAAGTCAGACACAAAAAAAAAACAAAGTTCAGTAACATACTGTGGATGGTAGCGAAATCAGCAGTTCATGGTAAACATCCCATTATATGGGGATGTATCAAAACCAATCTTGCTATATTTGGGGGGATGAACATCCATAAATCCCAGCTATTTTGGGGTTCACTAGGTACCAGGGTTTTGACCCATCCCCATATCCCATTATTTATAGGGGTTTCAACATCCAATTCTGTGTTTCCAAGGTCCGGCACAGGAAGGCAATCGATGCATTGATGGCAAATGTCAATCAGGTGATGTTCTCGGTGACCTCCCTGGCGCCGAAAAACCACTCCGCAGGGTGAATCTTTGTTTAAGATATATGGATAACTATGGGATTTAATGGGATTTAATGGGACTTTATAGTGATTTAATGGATTATGAATGGGATATACCCTCTGGTAAACGTTAACATAACTATGGAAAGATCCACCATTTTTAATGGAAAAACTCACTATAAATGGGCCATTTTCAATAGCTATGTCAAATTACCAGAGGGTATATGGATACCCTCTGGTAAACAGTTCGCTATTGAAAATGGCCCATTCAAATAGTTGATTTGCCCATGAAAAAATGTGATTTTCCCATAGTTATGTAAATGTTTACCAGAGGGTAACCCAAAGTCACCAAAGTTTTTTTAAACCTTGACAATATGACAATGCGGACGATATTTTTGCCTTATGATGATACGATGTTCATGTTCGAAGTGTGCAACTCTTTAATCAGTCTTCAATTTAGCGTTTGAGTCGCGATTCGTTTGGGCATTTTGCAGGCCGCGACCTGAGCAGTGACCGAGAGCCGTAGAGGATACTTCGAACTATATACCCTCCCAAACTTGTACATGTTTGCTCATCTTAGTGAAAAAGATCCCCATATATCATCAGTTGGTGGTTTCAAATATGTCAAAAGAGCTTCTATCATACTTGCGATAATCATCTTACCACCAACCAGATCCTGTTGTTCGCAGCAACAGCAAAACCCAAAGGAACCTGAAGGAGAGTCATAAGAACAAGGATGCCATCAGGAAAATGAAACATGCCCAGCAACAAATGCCATACAAGACTGACAGCAGAAACCAGATCAAGTAGACAAGAAGATGATAAAAACAAATTGAAGCAACTTCTACAATCTTGAATAGAGGCAGCAACAAACAAAGCAGCAAGTAGAAACACTACCAAATTCATTTATTGCTTCCTGCCTGGAGATTGCCATATTCCCGGGGCAGCCGTCCTTTTTGCTCTTTTATAGCTATCGAGCTATTTGGGAAATCCCCACCGTTAAACAGGTTTTATTTCAATGGACAAGACATAAAACTCAATGGAGATGTTCCACTGCCATTTTCGGAAAATGCCAATTACCACCTGGTAAAGTATCTCTAGATGTGGTTCTACTGCGACTTCAATCCATCAAGTATGCCATCAAGTGTATCGGATTCCGTTCAAGTGATCTAGATCATTCTAGATCCCAAGGTTGCAAGCCGCCTGAGGTTCAATGAACCTTACCTGGGTATGGGTCAAAATTAGGTACCCCAAGATTATGGATGGTTAATACTAAACTAGACATTCACATCTGTGGTTCCCTTAACGGTCTTCCATTTTGACCCACATCCACCTTAGTAGATCATGAATGTCACAAGAAAGGATCATATCAAGGTGTGCATCCCCACCGTACTGATCGTACTGGGTCACTGCTTGATAGCCCAGCAACTGTTATCAAGCAGTGACTTGGTTCAATTCGCATATGTTGCGTTTGTGAATCTTCACACTTTGTCCCATTTCATCCCATGTTTCGAAAAAAAAAAACATGTTCCCCATATTTGCCCATATAATTTGCAAACTCATTTGGAATTTTCCACTTTTGGAAGAAGGCATGTATCATATCAGAACCATATCAAAACCATATAATAACGACATCATAACTATAACCCTATCGTAATCACAACATAACCATATTCCAGCCATATCATAATACAGTAACTATACTCATGATATTCATCTCGAATTTACTGACCGTTTTCCAATCACAGGTCAATATTATAGTTATTACCCATCTTGACTTAATAGTGACCCATTACTGACCATACACCATTGTTATGATCTTTAAAGTTTATCTTATCAACATCTCTTTCCTTGGCACTCTTCACTTTATTCACTGACCACCCCTCACCAGCTATAGCTATGTCTACCACACTAGCATAGTTCGTTTACCTAGTTATGAGATGTTATGAGCCAGTTTTTTGCGACAACGAAACTGTGCACATCGCCAGGCACAGGTCGGCATGATGAACTTGGGTGCCGCGGAATCCTTGCGCCAGCAGGTGAATCATGGCGTTTTTTTCGGGTGAGTTCGCTATGAACGTAGCCGGTTAGAAGTTGTGGATGATCAATGATGGGACAAGCATGGACAAGCAAAATAAACCTGGGGATCGAAAGCTCCAGAGATTTTGTGACTTTTAAAGTCTGCTCCTAAAATAGTCATCATTGACTTGTCTTAATCTTTTTGGGGTTTCAGTCTATCAGACTATCATGAATGATCCCATGAGGAATACAGTACATGTTTGGAGGTGTATGATGGTTGATGTTGTTTGCTGGTGAGCTAATCACATATAATAACAATCATAACAGTCATAATAACAATAACAATAATAGTCATAAGAAACTGTTTAGTAATTAATAATAATTGTATATATATATATATGTTTGTTACCCAAACCGAGAAAATCACGACTAACCTCCGGTAATCAAACATGGCAATGGACAATCCCCCATTTACAGATGGTTTTCATATGGTTTTCATATTAAACCTCCATTTATAGTAGATTGTCCATTGCCATGGTTGGTTAGCGGCGGGTATATTAGAAACGGATAGAACTGGAAGTTGTGCAGGCTGGTTCTTGTATGGGCTGAGATGGGGATAGAATAGTTTGAAGCTAAGAGTTTCAGCAACTAATTTGACGATGAGATAAACTGTATAGAAATGTTCCAACAACAAGTTTACCGGAAAAACCGTTGAGATTCCAGGGATAGACTTCAAAAGTGAGAGTCTCACCAACTAACATGCAAATAGATGGTGAGTACACTGACTTTTTTGGATGGTTGGTGAATGCGAAATGGCGTCAACCATTGGTTGCCAGCTCTCAGGTGCAGAATGGAAGGCATCAGGATAGTTGTTCAATGATCCATATGTCAATACAGGTTTCTGATTTCCGTATTAGATCCAAATGAAAGATGCCCAACCCACGTTTTGGAGACTTTGCGAGCTTTGGCCAGCCATATATCACTGTCTTTCACTTTCAAGCTCTATTTGCCATGACTATCCCCAGTAGCCTGTATGATTTTTGAGGGATGGTTCAGGAGTTTAAACAGCCATAGCTCAGGCAGGTGGTTTCGAGCAATGGTCCCAGTTCACTGATTCCTTGGGGGGTTACAACTAAGTTAAAACCACCAACTGGCATTGAAACTGGCACTTTCTTGCGAAGAAACTCCAGGTGCAAACGGAGCAGCTGATGCTTCTGCAGCGTCTGCAACTGCTTCACAACAAGTACCCCAATCTTGGGGGACAGGTGCAGCGACCACATTGGCGAGTTGTGGTACCGTGGTACATCGTGGTACCCACAACTGGGGTTAAACTCTCCTAATGAACTGGGATTCATACCTCACTTCCAAGTATGTCAATCTGGCATCTTTGGCACAATTTCCTGACTAGTTATTGCGCTTGTTGATCCGCTCTAGTTACTCTAGTTTGCCTCTGTGATATCTGCATATCTGTGTAATGAGATGCAGCTCGGAACAGCGGCTGAACATTGTAACAAGTCTTTGACTGACAGGAGGATGGATTCCATAGAACAAGGGGTGGCAAAGGAACCGCAGGATCAGCAAGTTTGAGCAATTTTCTGCTTGTTGGTGTCATTTTTTTTTGGTATTTTCAACCATCGTTGGGATGATATCCAATGACGAACATACGTTCAACTTGAAAGGATCCCCTGTATCTTCACCATGGCACATGGCATGAGCAGTGGCTGCTTGCGACACCCCGCCGTATCCGCCGTCGCTTCGTGAGTCTTTTTGGGGCCTATACTACCCTTGAAAATAGCGGAGATTATCACGGAATCACCCACCAGGATTGTCCCATAGGATCCATGTATGGTATATATGCTAACATTTGGGGTATATTGATGGGATCCATGTTACCAAGCATACATGGATCCTATGGTATTACACTTCAGGTAAATCCATGAGAATCCCCATCTTGTTGCTGGAATATTCTGAGATCCCGATTTCCCTGTCATATCCCCAGTGATCTTGGTGCCGTCCACAGGTGAACAGCTTTGGAATGCAAGGACATTGGGACCTGGAAGAAACCACCTAGAATGGTTTTCTAGCTTTGAGATCATGATTTACCCTCTGGTTATTTTACGTAGCCAATTCCAGTGGGAATAATCATCATACATCATCTATAAATCAGAAATGTTGTGTCATTTTCATCGATTTTCCATAGCTAATTTTATATACCCAGAGGGTATCGGTGAATTTAGGTCTGTTTTTTTTTCCCATCCCCAGAAAAATGTGATGAGCCAATGATTCCGCCCTTTCTGGTGGCTGAACCAATGGTATGGTCCCCCAAGCCGGCCCAAGCCGCGTATTTCGATGCTTAATAGATCTGAATGATATTGGCCCTTTAACGTAGCTATGGGAAATCACAATTGTTCATGGGTAAATCATCATAAAGCATCTATAAACTAAAGGGGCCATGTTCATTCCATTTTCCTTAGTTGTTTTAAATAGGAGGGTATCTCCCTTCATGATACCTGTATACTACCTTTTTGTTCTATCCATATTGTCCTTCTGTATCACTTTGCACACCCATACGCTACCCTCGTAATATTGATAATCATTTGTATATATACATATACACATATATATATATATATACGTAAGATGTATAACACCTGTAGCGTACATGATATTCCTACAACTGCATATGTTCTTACATAATAATCATGCTACCTGATATACTGTATTATATTTGATACCTCTTTACCAGTAAAATACTGATACTACCTTGAAAATACACATATACTTCCTGTACACTGAAACGTAGCTATATTATGTTGTACTCCAGTGATAGCCTACACACCAATAGGTAATCCATTAGATTTCTGTAGTCCAGTGGCATCCCAAGCAACATGTTGAGGACTTCCTGTTGCCCCGGGCTTGAATATGCCGCCAGAAGGGCCGTCCGAGGGCCAAGAAATCTGCAGATCTAATGGTGCTTAAACTTGAGAAGTGAATATGTACATGTATATATAACATTATGGTAACTTATAACAATTTACAACATTATACAACCATAGTATATAGGTGTTGTTGGTGCTTCCGTATTATTGTATTTGTTGTTTGCCACTTCTAAATATTGGATTATGCGCGGTCTCCCCAGAAATGGATGGTGAAACGCCATGTTGAGTCTTTTGATCTGGTGAACTACCCTGTGGTAAACAAACAGTTTGCTATGGAAAATGGCCATAGAAATAGTGAATTTTCCAATGAAAAATGGTGATTTTCCATAGTTATGTTAGTTTACCAGAGGGTAACTCCCCAGAAAAATCGAACATGGAACCCCGATGCATCGCCATTCAACAAGACGGACGAATGGATGTCACAATGCCAGTTAGATCACCAGGACTTATAACGTTTGAAACCTCCAACTGTAACTTGTAAGCCACCAAAAGCCATGGGTCCCATCATGTGCACCCCTCCGCCCCCGTTAAGGAGATTTTTACGAGTTGGTTTATAAACAATCCACATATATGTGTATACGTTTGTAAGTTTATATGTATATTATGTATATTATGTATATTGTGTATATTGTGTATATTATGTATATTATGTATATTATGTATATTATGTATATATATGTGTATATGTATATTATGTATATTATGTATATTATGTATATTATGTATATTATGTATATTATGTATATTATGTATATTATGTATATTATGTATATTATGTATATTATGTATGTATATTATGTATACTATGTATATTATGCATGTTATGTATATTTTGTAATTTATGTATATTATGCATGTTATGTATATTATGTATATAGTATATATGACTACATATAGATATACATCATTACATATATATATATATGAACATATATGTATGATATATCCACATTATATCCACCATGCATCATAGTACTTACTGACCCTTTCACTTCGTTTTTCAGGGTTCGCCACGCCATATGCCACGTATGCCACGCTCAGGGATGGATCCAACTTCAATTTCATGCCCATGATGGGCGCACAGCAACGCACGGACACTGCCTGCAAGGCGCTTTGAGGGGATGTCGGATGTCTGGGGATGACTGGGAATGACTCTGGATGCTTCCAACTGGATGGTTTGAACATGTTACCCTCTGGTCAACGTTAACAAAAAACTATGGAAAATCACCATTGTTCATGGGAAAACTCACTATAACTGGGGTATGTTCAATAGCTATGTTAGTCATTACCAGAGGGTAGAACACGAATTTTCGGTGGTGGATGCCACCCCAGTGAAATAAACATCGCCCAATTTTCTGGCCGAGAACGGGGTGAAGATCAATTCGTAGCTGGCCCTGGACCAGCTACAGCTGGGATCCAACTGCCAGAGTTGATGGTTGATCATCATCATAATTATAGAAAATCACCATTTTCAATGGGAAATTCCACTATAAATGATCATTTTCAAATAGCTATGTTAAATTACCAGAGGGGTAGGTATACCACCAACCAGTTAAACGCTCATTAACCATCATTTACCATCATAATAACCATCATAATAACCATCATATTAACCATCATATTAACCATATTATGTTCCCCATGAAAAATATGGCCATTGGGAGTTCCCGACTTCAAACCCACCCATCAAGACCCTACATAGGTCCAATCGGCCGCCATCCCCTCGCCCATACATAGGCGCTGGCAGATGCGATGGGTCAACAGGCGTCAGGAAGCCTGGGCTGGACGGCTGGACGTTGTTTTTGTTGGGGGACCTCGTGGATAACATGACCAGAACAATCACTGGTTGGTGGATGTTGGTGGTTTGGAACATGACTTTTATGTTCCATTTCATATATGGGATGTCATCATATGTCATCCTAACCCCTTTGACGAACTCCATCATTTTTCAAGATGGTTATAACCACCAACCAGATAAAGGCAGATATATGGAATTTTGCAATGATACAACACGGAGATGTAAACTGCAAACTGTACTTTATATGATGTATTTATGATATTTTCTTTTTAGGACTTCGGGTTGGTGGTTTCAAAAGCTCTCATGTTTCTTGTTTGCGAGGAAAAATGAATCACCATTTGTTGATGGTCCAGGTTGGCCTTCCACAACAGCCCATCAAATTAATGGTTTATATTCAAGAAATTCCACTAAGTTTGTTTGTATGATTGAACAGTGTTTCCAAAAATCAGGCGAAAATCAGGGGCCTGAGCTGGTTAGGTCTCAGCTCTCGAAACCAAGATGTTCACAGAGGATGATGCGAAACATGGGTCATTTGAATTGGTATCCTTTGCCCAACAGGAAATGGCACTCTCGCGACTCCACTGGTGTCACGGTGAAGGGGTCGAAGCTGCCCCCCAATTACTAGATAAATCATCCCCCCCTGGATTTTCAAGTCATTGCTGGGAGTCCCTTGGAAAATTCTCCCTGGACTGCTGGTTTTTCCCATGGACCGAACTGGTGAGGTCTATAGTTCTTGGGGGAGGCCAAGGCCTTGCATCTGAAAATCTATGACACGGCGATTTCCACAAGCCAGTTGCACTGAGGGCCTGTCAAGCTCAACAAGAATTGCTGAATGTGGGTGTCCTGAGGGCGAGAGTGTAGCGAGCGGCCGGCTGGATAGCTTTGGCGATTGAACCAAGTAATACCAAGTATTATACCATATAAAAAGGCCATATTATGCCCTATGGATCCTATGGATCCAAATATCTTCGGAGTCTTTTGAGTTGTTTTTTTACAGATGTGGCCAGTCGTAGCTTCGTATTTGGATCCATAGGGCCGATTACTAGTGTCCAACAAGCATGGGTATATTGACAAACTGATGATGGAAGCCCATATTTGGTTTATATCCATATTCATGGGGCTGATGTCCTGTTTATTTCTGTTTGATGCAAATTTATGAGTCCCTTCCCTGGTTTTTTGGATCATCGACAGATGTTCCCATGGCACGTCCATCTTAAAACTGCACCAGTTTTTGTACAGTGATGCACGTGAATGTTGCCAAATGATGTTTGCGACAATCAACATTTTCTGTAATATCTGGTAATTATATTTATTATCAAATATTATCAATTACTTCTCCAAAAGCAAACAAAATGGCTAAGTCTATGGCTCTATCCCCACATCTTAACCTCGAAGTTCCTGAAGCATCCAACCGAAGCGTTCTAAGGCTCTCTCGCGAGAGATTGAGCTGATCAAGCAAGTCATGGCGTTTGCGGAGACCACGTCGGGAAGTCCCGGAGATTCCGGAGATGATTAAGGGTTGATAGCCTGGATGGGGCTAATGGTTGGTGAATGGTTGGTTATATGAGCCATATATCAGCCGTACACAAGCCATATATATATATATGTGTATATATATATGTATATATATATATGTATATATATATATAAATAATATGCCAATATACTAGTAGTACCGCACAAGGCGGTGGCGGAAGTTTCAAAAATAGGAAACTTATAGGAGAGGTTGGTTGTTGTGAATCACGGATGGCAGGGCGAATCCACTGATGGACCCAACGGTGGCTGGAGTTGTGTTTTCTGGAGTGGCTGCAATGGTTGCAGTGGTCACCTCAGCACAACTGCTGGATGTAGTGGGACACCGACCGCTGCACGGCCGTGGCACGAAGTGGCTTTTTTTGCGTTTTGAAAGTATTTGAAAGGTTAGGGTGGGGTGGGGCATGTTAACTGTTAACGTTCCTTGCGCGTTGCACATGTTGGATGCTACGCAACTGAAGGGTTGGGGTGGGGTGGGGCATGTGAACGTTCCTTGCACGTTGCACACATGTTGGATGCTACGCAACGGAAGGGTTGGGGTGGGGTGGGGCATGTTAACATTCCTTGCACGTTGCACACATGTTGGACTCTACGCAACTGAAGGGTTGGGGTGGGGTGGGGCATGTTAACGTTCCTTGCACGTTGCACACATGTGGGACGCTACGCAACTGAAGGGTTGGGGGGGGGGCATGTTAACTGTTAACGTTCCTTGCGCGTTGCACATGTTGGATGCTACGCAACTGAAGGGTTGGGGTGGGGTGGGGCATGTGAACGTTCCTTGCACGTTGCACACATGTTGGATGCTACGCAACGGAAGGGTTGGGGTGGGGTGGGGCATGTTAACATTCCTTGCACGTTGCACACATGTTGGACTCTACGCAACTGAAGGGTTGGGGTGGGGTGGGGCATGTTAACGTTCCTTGCACGTTGCACACATGTGGGACGCTACGCAACTGAAGGGTTGGAAAGGGGGGGATCGTGTTTCCATATTTTCTGTTGCAATGTTGTGATCTCGACAGCACTGTTTGTATATATGTCACTGTGGACTGTCCAATGGCGCAGGTCCATCGGATCAGTCTCTAGTGCTAAGTTCTTGCAAGAACTGTCGCGTGTGTTCGCGGAGCGAGGACGCAGCTGAAGGAAGAAACTGACGCTGCAGCTGCTGACGGTCTATATGATCCTGAGGATGCTAGTGATGATGCTGAAGATGATGATGCTGTGATGATGATGATGGTGATGATGATGATGGTGATGATGATGATGATGTGATGATGTGATGATGTGATGATGTGATGACGTGATGATGTGATGATGATCATGATGATGTTCATTATGATGATGATAGTGCAAACAAAACAAGTAGTTTTCTGAAACGACAATGATGCATTTTCACATGCTGGATGTGCAAAATCATTGTTTCGCTATAGCGGCGTGCTTATTTTCTATTCACATCATGGACATTTTTACCACGGCCGCGAAATGGTCGTAAGCCATGTAGTGTGGTGTAGTGCAGTTGTAGTTGTAGGTGTAGTTGTAGTTGTAGTGTAGTGGAGTTGTAGTTTTAAGTGGTAGCTGTAATGTAGTGTAATTAGTGTAGTGTAGTTGCAGTTGCAGTTGTAGTTGTGGTGTGGTGTAACCAGTGTACTGTAGTGTACTGTAGTGTTGTGTACTGTAGCGTGGTATAGTGTAGTCTAGTGCATTGTAGTGTAAAGTAGTGTAGTTGTAGTTGTAGTGTAGTGTCGTGTAGTGCAATGTAGTGGTAGTTGCAGCTGTAGTGTAATGTAATGTAATTAGTGTAGTGTTGTGTTTTGTAATGTAGTGTAGCTGTAGTTGTAGCTATAATGTGCTGCAGTTTAATTGGTGTGTTGTAGTAGTGTAGCTGTAATTGTAGTTGTAGTTGTAGTAGTAGTAGTAGTAGTCGTCGTGGTGGTGGTTGTAGTAGTTGTTGTTGTTGCTGTTGTAGTAGTTGTAGTGTAATTTGTTTAGTGTAGTGTAATTAGATGTAATTAGTGTAGCGTAGTGTATTTAGTGTTGTGTAATGTAACGTAGTATATTTGTACTTGTAGTAGTAGTGTAGTGTAATGGTACTTGTAGTTGCAGTTGTAGCTGTCTCTCTATCTATCTATCTACCTATCTATCTATCTATCTACCTACCTATCTATCTATCTGTCTGTCTGTCTGTCTAGCTATCTATCTATCTATCTATCTATCTGCAAGCTTTTCTGGTAGACTTCCTCCATTTTTGCACTTGACAACGTCAAAAACGAAGCAATTCTGCGAGACTTCCTCATTTTCTGAAGTTGACAACGTCAAAAACAAAGCAATTCTGCAAGCCTGCCTCATTTTTTGAAGTTGGCAACATGAAAAACGAAGCAATTCTGCGAGACGTCCTTCCAAAATGGAAGTTGATTGCAGAGCTGACGGCCTCGTACCAATGCGTTTTGCGATTTTTCCAATCCATCTGTCTAAACTACTGCGCCTGCCACGAAAAGTGATGCCAGGTCATACGAAGTGCTGCACCTGTCACGCAAAATCATCTCAGCAAACCTGAAGATCTGATGCTCCAAAATGCAACCCCTCTCAGGAAATCAGCGCCCGGACCTCCTCACAGATCTGATGAACATGTCTCTTGTACTGCGCCTGCCACGGAAAAGGCATCTTTGCAGATCCTCTGCAAATGTCCCACGCCTGCCATGGTTTTTGGAAATGCTCCAAAACCCTCACGTTTTACTCACTTTTGACAAGGTGCGCAATCCCTTGCACCTGCCACGCGAAACGACATCTGAACGTCCAAAAGTGGTCCGAACCCCTGGTGTTTTTTAACATTTTGACTTCGAAATGTGCTTCGCACCACAACGGCGTGCACTTTTTCGACATCTCAACTTCCAAAAGTGGTCCGAGCATGGTGTGTTTTGTACATTTTGACTTCGAAATGTGCTTCGCGCCATACGGCGTGCACTTTTTCGACATCTCAACTTCCAAAATTGCTCCGAACGTGAAGTGTTTTTTGCTTTTTCACTTGCAAATGTGCTTCGCGCCACAACGGCGTGCACTTTTCCATCTCTCATCTGGCCAGATGGCTCCGCACCCGCCGCTTTAGCGAGCCTACTTTTCGACCTTCCGGAGCCACAAATCATGGGAAAAACGCAGTGTTTCGCGACTTTCCTACCTTTTCGCGCATCTGAGCTTCTTTCTTCTGACTTTCTCTTCTCTGATCTTCTCTCTTCTACTCTTCTCTTCTCTCTGACTCTTCCCGTCTCTGCTTTTCATCTGTCCATATTGTCGGAAGTTTGACTTCTAAACTTCCTTCGATAACTGGGTACATTCCATGTGTACCAAAACAAAATCACTGGTTTTGTGTTGTCAAAGAGTACGATTGAGATGGAGAGATGTCCAGTTGTGTAGTCTGCCAACTGGGATTAAAAGCGGTCAGATTCCCTTGTTTGATGGTTCCAAAGATCTACCGAGGCTTCATTTGCCTTTAAGAAACGACCTATAAGATCCTAATCCTATCTGGGTAAATTATAATGACCTCACGTCGTGACCGAGCCCTGGAAACTCGGATTCAAAGAATCATCCCCATATGCCATAGTGAAAGGTTAGTGAAATATTGTAATTTACCCAGATCTTATACCTATAATTATGAGTTGAAATAATTAGCATCTGACTCCATCGTTTTGATATTTTTAGGGACCATATGGGTCATTGCCTTTTCATCTGGGACCATTGCGATCCGAATGTGCTCTACTTTGAGATTGATTGGAGACACCAAGCAGCAATGTCCGTTGAATCGAAGGATCAACAATTACAATCCCCACATATCCCCACATGATTTATTGATATTTATTGTGGGTTCCTCCTCCAAAAACGTGATACTCTCCAGTAATTAGTCCAACCTAGCAAAAAAAACAGAACAGATTTACATGTCTTATACCCTCTGGTAAACTAAAAAAAAACCTATGGAAGATCACCTTGAAATTGGATGAAATTGGGGCATTTGTTTATGTGCCATGATCTATAGCATTTCTATAACTCTCTGAGTGGATCCACTGCGAGGTTGCCTGAACCCCCCGTGCAGACCGCCCAAGAGCCGTGGCCTCGGTCCACCGATAAATATGATGGACGGGAATCATCCCATGGCCCCGTGGGTTAATAGGGAACCTCCAATAAAACAACAATTTCCTACTTTTTTTTAAAACAAATAATGTTGATTTATGTTGAGTTACGTAAGTCCAAACATTTTGGGGGCCATAATGGGCTATATGTCTTAATGTTTAGGACTTATTTATTGTATATAATTTGACCAAAAATTTGTCTTGGTTGTTGCCACATATTGTCGATATTTAGTGATGTTTAGAGTACAGCCGGCGAAATGGAAAGTTGCCAGCTAAAAAACCTGGGCAGCTGACCGTGATGAGCGACTATTCTCGTATAGCAGAACGATGGTTTGAATCATGTGCACTTTGCAGCTCTTCTTTGCAAAATTGAGCAGTGCTCTGTCGCTTGATGATTATGGAATCATGTACTGTCCAATGTATTGGGAATAAAACCATTATTGGAATAATAACTTAATAACTCCATAATGGGAATACTCATATACTCCATGATATTTACATCATAATTCCATATAATTCCTATGGGAATATCATAAACCATTATTGGAATCCCCATGAACCAACCAGTAGAATGAAACGATGCTCAATTTGGATGATCCATCCATATATATCCAGATGACACACGGCGTGAGCCACTGAACCCATCAACTTGTAGCTGGAACATGTTCCCCATGTGTAAAACCCCCCTGGTTTTCCTAAAAAATCGTTTTCTTTCGTGGAAAACCAAACCATCCTCGGGGAGTATCTGATGTTTTTATCAATCTCCTCAAATCCATCACACAATAGTTATATATACATATATATATTACAATATTACAAATATACATATATACATATATATATATACACATATACATATATATATATATATATACAGACCAGTTTGAGTTGCTCACATATCCATAAAATATCCTTCCTATAACGATCATTCTCAAGATATTTCGAATCTTCTGTGATCTTCCATCCCTATGGGGATTTCTCCGAAGCGCCCAGGTCTCGAATGAAAGTGGCGTTCGCCGCTGCCCCAGTGACGATGGAACAAAAGCTCAGGTCACCGCAGACCGAATCATGCATGACTCGTTAGTTTCTTTATAGCTTTTTATCGTTTGTTTATAACTTTCTTTTCATAGGTTTTTTCCTATAATTTGTTTATAGCATTTTATAGTTTGTTTATAGCTCTGTATATAGCTTTTTTATCGTTTGTTTATAGCGTTTTATGTAGCTTTTTATAGTTTTTTAGCGACCCCAAAAAAAAATAGAGCGGTTTGAAACCTGGGAAACCATGGTGCACATACCATCTAGAATGTGTAAACAAATACTGTAAAAAAAACTGAATTCTATTTTATGGAAATTCCCTATGAGGGCAGGTTGGTGCAGGACTACAGATAGACATGCGTGAAGAGTGCACGACATAGAGTTTTGTTATACAGTTTTGTTTGTTTAATTCGTGAGCAATTCATGACCTGTTTTATTTTCTTGGGGGGAGGGCGATGGATGACAAATGATGACAATGTACTTTCCAGACTCCTTTTCAGCAGTTCAGCCCCAACGGTTTACTTATGCTTGTTTGTTGGCTGTATTTCGGAATTCGATGGTGAAAGTAGCAATGAATTTTTGCCAGGAGACCTAGTGACTAGATTCTTTAGATGTGACTAGTATCACCGAAGTCCATATGTACAAGATCTTAAAGAACTGAATACATCATTTTAAAAGGCGTATTTGTTGGTTCTACCCAGGACATGGGGGCTGACTACAAGAATGACAAGTCGTGGAAGGTTCCGCGCCAGGCCCTGTCCTGAAGCCGGCTTTTTTGAAGTTGAGAATGGGATACTTGGCGGTTATGTATGTATAGTTAAACAATGTTAAACATAGATGGACAGATCGGGATATATCATGAATTATGATGATATATGATGATATTTTCATGCATATCATTGTAGAGTTTGGTATGGAAGCCATGCAAATGATCGGCGGGTTTTCTAGAAATGACCAGAGCGTGACCTGCCTGTGCTGGATGGGCTTGAACAGCAGAGATGATCAGTGGGGGTTGAGGGCCGCAACAACGAGGGCCGCTCAAACGATCGCCGAGTTGGTTGAAATAACTAGCCTCTCTCTCTCTACATATATATATATACATATATATATATATAAACCCTCTGGTTATTTAACATAGCTATGGAAAATCACCACTTTTAATAGGTAAATCAATTATAATTGGGCCATCTTTCATAGCTATGTTAAATAACCAGAGGGTATAATATATATGAATGGGTTATAGTAGATACATCGAACTAGTTACTTGGGTTTATAAGCCAACAAACATAAGTCTGGGGTTCCAAACACAACCGGCATTTCTTTTGCGGGTTCATGGAATAAGGAATATCATCATCGATCTTTGGGATCATAGGAATGGGGAAAAATCACATCTACCAGGCAGGTATGAGGAGAAGGGTACCAGGGTCACTAGTTTGCCAAATCGGCAAGTTTTTTCAGGGGATCAAGTGTGACGAAAGCTTTGGCCATTGGAAACAGTTCATTTTTCTGGTTCACTTGGGGAATTTTGAATGACTAGTGAGACAGTCGCTGGAGGTAGATTGTGGGGATCCAGATAGAGCATTCCCAATATTTTTGGGGCCAAAAAAGGTCATGATCAGATCAGTTGTGGGGATCATGCCTACGAGAAATCCCAACTATATATGGTTTCTATCCCAGTTCGATAGATATCCACTTACAAGTTGGTTATCCCAATGATTGAAACTGAGTTGGATCTATTCGCACTATGCTTTCCAGTAAGCGGTTAACCCAATTATCCCAGTTCCACTTACGAAGTTTGTTGCAGTTGCCACAATCAGTTGGGGTTTCTACCCCAACCCAGCTGGTGGTTACCATAGCCATAGCCATCAAAAGCCCAAGTCGATGAGCCCCCAAGTCGTTGGTATCCTCTACCCAATTGCAAAGGGTTTGCATGCCAAACAATCAGTGGTTATATCCATGTTAAATCTATATAATTCATACATACAGAAGGATAGGAAAACTTCAAATGACCCAGAAAAAAATAAGCAGTACATACTGTACGTTCTTTGGATTTCTCCAACATCGTCAGGCCAACACCGTACAGACGCTCTCCACGAGCCTCCAATTGCTCTCCAAAGAGGACGTCGGGGCGACGCCACATCCGACAGGTGATGTTTCTGGAAGATTTCACCGCCTGGCTTTGCGAGAATACGACTTGGGGTTATTAAGGGCTTGCTAAGCACCAAGCACGAAATAAAGGTTTTACAGGCTTTATAAGCATGTATAAACTATCTATATCTATCATAGTAAGGAGTCACCTGACTATGGGGCTGGTTGAATGCCCATGTGACTCAAAGGTTGCAAGCTGGGGCTCCCAAACGATAGCTAATTAAGTTGGTTGAAATGACCTGCCGTTTCACTCTGTGTTTTTTGTTTGTAGAGACATCAAAGTACTTCATGAGAAGTTGGTTTGAATTATCATCATTTTATAAAGTTTATAACAAACTGGCTTCAAAAATCCACATCCATTACTGGTTGATGGTTTGGAACATTTTTTATTTGTCCATCATATTGGGAATAATCATCCCAACTGACTTTCATATTTTTCAGAGGGGTAGGTATACCACCAACCAGATTAACAAACATTAACGGGGCACCGGGCACCGTGATCAGCAGCGAAATCGCGGCAGGATCCTGACAAGTTGATCATTGTACGTCGCATCAACAAACTGGGCTTTAAGGTGTGGACTCTACGCGCAGGCGTTTTTTGTTTAATACATAACCTTTGTATAATAGATACTATATATATATATACACGTATATATGTGTAAATATATGTAAGTATATGTATACATATACATATATATATACACAATATGTATGTACATATAAATATATATATATGTAATCTAATGCAATGCAATGTAATGCAACACAATGTAATGTATGTATGGTATGGTATGATATGGTCTGGTCTGGTCTGGTATGTATATATACATATATGCATAAAAGTCCTAGAATCGTATATATACATACTGAGGGACAATGATTGTATATATATATTTACATTTGTGTATATTATAAGTGTATACCTAGAATAAATAACTCACAGAAATGTGTCTTAACATCTATGTGTAATATGTATATACATACATATGAGTTTTACTACTGACCTTACTACATGTTTGCAATGTTATTTGCAGTGGGTGATTGCAAGTCTTAATCCAATAATGGCACGGCACCACACAGCAGGGCCGTGAGATGCAAAGGTGGATGGTGCTTATCATATAATTCATAGACCGTATGTATATTATATATGGTCATGATTATAGGTATATGTACACATACACACTCGCATACACACTGCTATGTGTATTATGTGTATACTATACATACGTGTATATTTATCTACATTGATACATATATATATATAATAGTTTTATAATAACATATATATATATTATATTTAATAATAATAATATATATATATACACGGGTATGATATTGTATGTACACATGTTAGACATTGTTTTTCTATTTAACATCGCGGGAAAGGTTGAGCTGCTCTCCGGGGATCCCTGGCGTCTCCAGGCATCACGCAAGTTGAAGCAATACTTTGGAGAGTCCTTGCCTCAGGACGCAGCTGGACGTGGACACGCAAGTGGACCATTAGAAAAAAAATATGTGTCATCCACAAAAAAGAATCTACCGTAATGTTCCGCCAAGTTATCCAAAATAGCAAGGATTAGAATGATATGATTCTGATGTATCTTTTTGTTAAAGCGGGTGCGTACCAATGGTTAGAACGCGCGAATCCATTAGAGACTCGAGAGATTGCCCCAACCGTGACCCTGACGCCTGCGGGGTCACAAGCAAAACACAAAATCGGAGATGTTCGGCAGGAATGTGTAGAAATGTACAGTATCCAGGTGTAAACAATTGGAACATGTGAATAAACCATACCTAGCCACCTAGCTGGTTTGTATAACATGTTGACACAGTTTCTCCTGAATTTTACACCGTTCAAGGGCAATTAACTTTCTCCCTGCGGATGACTACAGAGCTGAGCAATCAACTAGCCAAGTCAAGCAGAGTGAGGTTTGGAAATGTCGTTCGTGTGCTCATTGCGTCCGGGAGCCCATGGCGGACTCCACAGAACCAGCGAGAAATCTTCGAATTGTCCATGGTTAGCAAGAAGAATTAATTTGCTGAAAACCGGGATTTATATATGGATCTGGGTATTCATGGCTATGCCAAATAAAAACATGTGTATACATTTGTGTAATAAAAACACCAGGTGAAAGCTCTAACTTTCTGGGCCTTATTAAAGCGTGTGACCTAGATCGATATCTTCGTTTCCAGTTCACCTCAGAAGTGGCTTCGTTCGACACCCCTGTTGATCAAAAAGTCATTTAATAGGTATGTTGACCATCAAATATGGGGATATAGTTCGGACAAGCGATGGTTGGTTGATGATTATATATAAAATATTATACGATCCAATAATAATCAGTTATACTATATATATATAATTATATATATATATTGATTGGATGACCTTGGGGATAATCACAATCCCAGGAGAATCCCGTTCTCAACCAGCCTAGCTCAAATAGTAAGTTTTTGTTCACCGGTCCCCGACACCGGTCCGGCAATGTATCAAAATGTCCCCAGACATCTCGAAAAAACTTCCCAGCAGATGTGGGTTACATGAAGCGCACCATCCCATATTTTATCTTGCGCGCTGCGGAGGGGTCTCCACGTCAATTGGCTCGGACGCAGATGGTCAGAATCGAATTGGCTAAAACAAGGCCAAAGGCCGGCGAAGCCGACATCACCAGACAGGTGAAGAAGATTACCTCCACCTAACTTCCAACAAGGTCCGCTAAACGCCGGAACATTGACTTTGACAACAGATTGTGCCATCTGTTCAGACAGTGTATGTCATGGACAGGATCAATACAGTGTGCTAGGGTTGTTCACTAGACACTGGACCAACAAAATCAAAACAGAAACCGATCACCTGCAAATCCGTCTCTGCAAGCACCTGACACTTTGTGCATGCCCGGCACATAGAAAAAAGGCGGCCATTGGATTCAAACCGATCACACTTTTGGCAAGAAGCAGACAGCGGGTGGGCCATTGAGTCACGGCGCAAGGTTGCATCTTTGCTTTATGCCCTGAGCCACACCAGAAGTCACAAGCACATCTTTACTCCTTGTTCTCGTTTGGGATTGGAAAGTTTGCCCGCAGCCAAGCCATCCGTAGCACGATCTCCCAAGCAGCCTGCCGCATCCCGAAATGTTAGTTTCAAAGCCCCTTCGCCTTTTGCCACTGAAGGTTGCTAAGAGTCCACAAGGAACAACAAGCAAGTGATGCAAGCCAACAGGAAAACAACTCCAGGACTGCAAGTGCCAGTTTGTAAAGATGTGAGTTTCCAAACTCAGCAAGGACTGGCAGTTTGCCGCTGGTAGCGGAAGCAAGCCGGCACCGAACAGAGTGAATAGCAAAAAGTGCAGCGGGTCAATCAAACTGTGGCTCATCCTAGAAAATTCGTCCCATGTCAGCTGGATCTCACCAGGCATCATCGCTAGTGGAAACAACTCCTTGAGATTGCCACGGAGGCATCTGCCAATCATCCCAATCCAACCGCAAATCCCATAACTGAGGCGGGAAGCCACACGGGCACGGGTAGAATCAGAAATAGTAAGACCAGGAGGTCCACAAAGAAGATTGTCCATGGCGTTGCGACAAGCTCCCGAGGTTCCGCTGACACAGCCGCACTACTCGTAAGACTCGGGCCCACGGCTCGCACCATCCCATACCCATAGGATCCATGTATGGTATATATGCTAACATTTGGGGTATATTAATGGTAAATGTTACCATATATAGCATACATGGATCCTATGGGATATGCTCCATGTATGGGTGATTTTTAGAAAACTTGGTGATTTTTAGGGCAAATGTTGGTCAATATTCCAGCATCTTCCGGCACAGTGGTTCGCATTTGGGCATTTCGACCTTTTCCAAACGGGGCGTCAGGCACTCCACATGCCGCGACTTGAAGGACTCCGAAGGGAAGGCCCAGGGCGGGCCACCGGGGCCACCGACCCGGCGGATCCGTGGGGTTACCCACGAAGGTTCAAGGAATGAACATCATTCCATGGCAAACATGGTGGTTGATGTCAACCCCGGATTAATGAACCATGGTTTTTTAATTAGGGGGGTACTCCTCCAATAGTCATAATTTGATACTTAAATGGTACCGTCCCATTTAAACAGCCTAGGGGTTTATTAATCCAGGGTTGACATTACAGGAGATAGACCACCCCTTTTTGTTGGACAAAGGATGACAATGGCATATTGTTTGAAGCTTTGAAGCAGTGTAGTGCAACTTTGGAGTAGACAATGGCCGCAAATGTATGACAGATCTGGTGCATGGGAACAAGGAAATTCTAGAACCACTCCACAGGAGCAACGCTCACTCGAACCCTTCCATGGTTGTATGAGTTTGTACTACATTGTTTAACGAGGAGCATCTCACTCTAATGTTGGCATCTTTGGGGAACGTAGACATTTGCGAGTCCGGTTGGAAGATGAAGATCTCAAACTCAAAAAGATGGTCATGTTAAGTTTTGCACCTTGATAATTGCTATCCAATTGCAAAACCTTAGTAACTTAGCATAACTTATATGATCTTTTAGCTACAAATTGGGACACATGTGCTTCCAAAAAGATAGTCTAATAGACATTAATAGTTCACCACTCCAAAAAAAACGTCGGATTTGACTTCATTTTATCATTCAATGGATGATTGGTTTTTCCTATGGTTTTTGCCAATCTATGGTTGTTCCTATGGTTTTTCCATCCATGTTCATCAACTTTCTATGGGTTCAGAACGCCAGGTCCGTCAACGTCCCAGCAGCTTGGGCTTCGTGCAAATGGCATCCGCGGAGGCGGTGCGCAAGGTGCAACCGGATGCAACCGGTGGCATGGATGTTCTGGGAATATCTGGCAGATAATATATATAGATATATATACATAATATATATATGTATGTATGTATGTATGGATGTATATATATATATATGTACGTATGTATGTATGTATGTAGTAGTAGATACGGATATGTATGGGCCATTTCTAGATGATTTTCCCATGAAACCTTCCATTTATCCGGGCAAATTATGACGACCTCACGTGACCTCACTGGAATGATGGTTAGCAAGGGGAATTATCCCAATATAGTGAATTATTGTAATTTGCCCATATTATGTATATATATTATATATATATTTATTTGCCAATATATATGTATATATATATATACATATACGTATATGTATATATATGGTATTTACAGAAGAATAACATCTAAGAATTAGAATACGATCATAATATATGATAATCAGATAATATGGAAATATAATAATGTTAATATACATATATACGTATACATGAGTATCTATGATTATATATTTGTATATATATATATACATAATGCATGGATGCATATATTTATATACATGCATGCAATATGGTAGATTGATATCGTAAGTATATTAACAGCAAAATCATGTGCCATTTAATTTTCCATATGATATGATGTTTTACATACATGTATCATATTCCACGGACAATGATGATGAAACTGATGATATGCGGAATTACGTTTGATACGCAATGTATGGGTCAGTTCGAACATGAGGTATAAGCCAAGTTTCGGCAATTTGATATGGGACATTATCAGTAACTGTCAGTAACTGCTGGATGTTGGGGTTCCTGTGTTCAGACATACCTACATGGAGAATGGGAATAAACTGATCTGGTATGCTAATCAAATTGTGGCGAATTACGGGGCCAATAAACTGAGGGGATCATCCTTGACCCATGCCCAGTGACAGGATGCAGAATCCTTCATGAAGCGTCTCCATGAACAGCTGAGGAATTTGATTTATCGTTGGGTTTACAAATAGAAAGCCACTAGATTTAGAATGATTTATATGGATGGTATTTTTGTGAAGCATTGAATGCTGATAGTACAGGGCACCCTCACAGTTACATACAATGTACAAATTGGGTTGCAACACCGTCTAAATACAGATACATCCACCATTAGCTGCTGATGCCTCGTTATACTTAGTTATAAACTTAGATACCACAAATCAAATATACACGTTCATCAGTTGTTGCTTAATTCCCCAATGGTCCTTTCGAAACTCAGGGGTTGTGGGCCATGGGAAACAGCACCAGGCTTTGGCACTTGGTACAGAGCAAGAGGCGCGCGTACGGAGTTCAAAATCACGGCGTGTTTCTTGGAGTAGGCTGGCGATGTATGAGTACATATGTATATATATATATTATATATATATATATTATATATATTATATATATACATGTATGTATGCAAATGCATATATATATATACACATTCACAGACATATATATATACATATATATATATATATATACATACATAGTGACATCAATATGGTGAATTATGTTTATTTGTGTGTAATATGACATCTATGGCATGTATTGATATATTAACATCACGGTTTACCGTTATATTTATATACATGGTGGCAAAAAGGGAATTACATAATGAATTTTACAATTAAATATGATACATATGTTTGGTTTAGTTGGCTCACAAGTTGAATATTGCGCATATTTAGTCGAGCAGATTGACATGGGTTACAGCTAGATATCCCGTCCGTGGTTGGTTTTGTCTTGACATTTATTAAGCACCCAATCCCAAGGGATCAAAACATGATTGTTCTCATGAGATAATGCAATCTTGGGGAAGTATATATCCATCGTTTTTGAAAACCGTAGATGAAGTCGATAGTCCGACAACTGATCAGCACAGAGCTCTTTATTTGAGAAATTGTTGTATGTTAGCAAACGGAACATGGATTTAGCAAACAATCAAAATACTGCAGTTCTTCAACCAACCAGACGTCGGTAGTTACAGTCTATTGAATAACCCATCAAGACATGGAAATGAAGCCTCGAATGATAGAGTTGTTCACCACTATTTAGAGTATTTCGATTGTGGAGGAATTTCACGATAATTACCACTCACGTTTGTCGGATTTTGTGTTTTTTCTTCTAGCCCATCAGCATCGAATCTTCCCAAAGAAAATATCAACAAAATATCAACATATTGAAAATGAGTATATTTTCCCATCAAAATATGTATAGAGTATCTGGTTAACCATTCCTTCAATCACCTGAAAACGTGGCCGTTTTGGCGTTTTTTGAGGTGGAAGGAGCGACCATCCTGGTGCAGAAGTTTGAACGTCAAGCCAATGCCGGGGACCGCACTTTCAATGGGTTTTTGGTGGACCAATGGTTGGTTGGCCTGAAACCAGTCACTTTTTTTCCGGAAAAAGTCGGAAAAAGGATGAAAAACTAAGGCCAAGGGTGACCTCGCAACTCCAGAGGTGCTTGGGGACTCCGTCTGACATGAACGGGACATCATCTGCAGTTGGGGATGTTGGGTTAATAGATGTTAATATGATGGTTTACTTATGTTTACTTTTTCATGAAGATTATATGGGAGGGTTTTATATTGTGGATGATCATAGTTGTATTATGTTTCTTTTCATTGTGAATACTTAATAATATATTAATGTGGTAACCAATCATTCTATCATCGTTTACAGTAATAACCTTTAGTTGTTTTGCTGGAATGATCCAACCTTTTGAAAGAATGGTGTGTCGGTGTGTCTCACCATCACAGGTGACGCAGCTGCACATGATATATTCATATGTGTTTTTGTTTGTGAGATAGAACCTTTGACTCCCATATGTCATCCGCAAATTGAGGGCACTGTGACATCTAATAATTTTACATATACATGACATATATATATGTACATCTAATAATTAGATAATTACTATAATTATTAGATGTATCTATCTGTGGCATGTACATCTAATAATTATACATATATATATATAATGCCACCTGGTTGGTTTCAAATCTCCGGTCTGTCGGTAGCCATTTAAAGAGCCACATTTCTGGATGGAACCGGGTTTGATGATGGTCCCAACTGATCCATTTTTTGGTCGACTCCCCTAAGTCTCCCATTTTTTCTTTTGCGAAATCCCATTCTTATTTGGTTTCACCACACTGGGTTATATATATATATATACAGGTTGATCCCACTTTTTTGTTGGTTCAATCAAAGAAAATCCAAGTTCGCAGCGGCCAGGCTGCGAACATGCCAGATGTGAAATCGGGCGAAGCATTCTGGTCGGAGAACTCAGGGCAGAGCATGAAGATGGCTTGGCGAGCTGAGCTCGTTGATTGGTTTTTGAAACCGGGGGGGTGCTAACATTTGCTAACTAACTCATTATTGGATATTGTTGGCATATTCTGATAAGCATTGATAAGCCACAATCAGGATACCAACCACGTTTAAGTGTAGTTGTTGTTCCTGGTTCAACTGTGTTTGCTTCAAAAATGTGTTACCCCACCATAGAAATATTGATAGAAACCATGAATGGATCATCCAAAGAAATGTCGCTGGTGGATTCAAAGATCGTTGAGTGTATCGATTTGTGACATAACTTTGGTTATAATGTTATAACATCTGGGTAAATTGTAGTGACCTATTATAGTGACCTCCCTGGATTAAAGGATATTGAAGGTCAATTGTAACGGGAATCGTTCCAAAATGGCCCAACATTTCAGGGCAGGGCAGCAGGGCCGGGAAAGGGAAGATGAGTGGCCCAACATTTCAGGTTGGTTAAATTTTACAATTTTCCCAGATAAGGTTTTTCACTGGCTGAAACCAATTTTTTGGGTAAGATGTTACATCTTATAATTGGGTAACCCATTTTTTATCTGGCTGAAACCCATTTATATCTTAAGATAAGATGTACCATGATGTAACCAATTTTTCACTGGCTGGCAGTTTCAGTTAACTGAGTTCCTGAGTTAAAACTATCGCTGGAAAGACGGTCGGTTGTGAAAAAAAACACCTTCATGTTGGCTTGGACCAGGGGGCTCTGTCATGTTCATGTATATAAGTGTATATATATATATGTATAACTATATATATAATTATGTATATCTATATATATATATATGATAAATTATGATTATATATATATATATATACACTATACATGATTTAATATATGTATTTATTTGTGTATTTGGTTGGTGCAAAATTTTCCCTTCCTGAGATATGATGCTCAGCGGCGCAAGTGACTCCACAACATCCAAGGTCAACAGAAGGGTCAGCGTCCCATCAGCCCTTTTGTTCAGACCGTTAGTACGATAAGAAAATACTCTATTACAGTATCGTTATTACTAGTAATACCCAGTATATTATAGTATTATTCATACCCATATGCTCCATGTATATCCATGTATGTCATATCTACCTACTTTTTGGCCATTTATGGGGTAAATTTTGGTAAATATTCCATACATGGAGCATATGGGATATGTTTAGTTATATTCCAATATGTGTATGTATGTATATATATATATATATGTTATGTATGCATATATAATCATATATACAATTAGTAAGTTGTTCGTTGCCCACAAAAATATTTGGGCTATATCCGACGTAAAAGGCTGATGCTATGATTGCTGTTATGGGGCTGATTTCCCGCTTCAGCTGGATACACCTACGAGTAGGCTGAGTAGGCCATGTTATACCCCTGAAATCTACACACGATACTCGGGCAACGTTCATAGTAAAAAATAAAAACAGAGGTTGACATACATTTCTGTCTTATCCTTAAAAAAAACCATAATAAGATATGATATAATCTGTATTGGTATATATATATATATAATATGTATACGTAAATTATACTGGGATCTTCGTTTTCGGTTGCATATGTTCTACTGATTTTTGCGCTCAAAGTCCACCTTATTCCACCTTTTTCCAGGCGCCAAGACACGACAAAATCCAATGCTTCCACTGCCGAAACGTCTTCGGCCACAACTGAATCCGCCGGGGCCAGAGACGGCTGCGATCCAGCCTGGTTGGGATTTCGGATGGGATTCATCATCCATAGAATAGGGATGAATAGGGGTTTTTTATGGTTTTTATAGGAGTTGAATGGGATTCAAAGCCAGTTGAATGGGATTTTGGAGATTCAACCATCATTGATAGGGTGTTTTAACGAGAATACAGGTATCATGATGGGATTTCATGAGATTGAAGCATCATTTTGTGGTATCATCTACGGCATTTCATGACCCGTTGATCTGAGATGATGGGTTTTTGGTTGGTTTATGATTCAATCTAAGGGGGTGAAAAAAATCCACTGATATCCAATGTTTTTTTGGTGAAGATCATGATCCATCATGGAAATCCCGATGTTGCGCAAGCACTTTCCCATGGAATCATAGAGGGTTTTGAACACTGCGAAACCATGGCTTCAGGCGGGTTGAAACTTGAAATCACCAACTAGTACATCTATATAGTGATATATAGTTTTATACAGTTATATTTATATATACATATGTACATACACATAAATATAGATGTCATAGATATCCATGACACAAATGCTACTGCAAATGTGCGACTCCCAAAATATCGCCATGAGGACTCGTGAATCGGCAGCGAGGCGCTTGCGGTAGGCCGGGGGGCTTGTGGGTATCCTCAATAGGGGGAAATAGCCTGGAGTAAAAATACCAAAGGATGTGGAAAAGCCATGATTTTCGCGGAGAACAATCAACTTAAATGGTGGCTTTTCCACATCTATGTTAGTTTGCAGAAGGGTAACTGAGTTTTCAACTCAATTTTCAACCGGGGGATTTCTGCTTGGTTTTCTTCTTATAGGTGGATTCTTTCACTGATGAAATCCATCAATACAACCATCCCCTGTCTGTGTCAGACAGGGTTCATCCCCCTGGGGATGATGTAAAATGACCCCAGCCATGGTCCAGTCTGGTTGGTCAGCCAGGGCTGGTTTTTCTAATTGGCAAAAACCACATTACCAAGAAAGGAGGTTCTACGACATACAAAAAAATCAAGAGGACAACCAAACAGGTTTCTTGTTCGGAACATGATCTACATACGAATGGCGGATTTTCTATGAATTGCCATATCTATGCTCATTCACTGCAGGGTGATCAGGTCTCAACGATCAAATGGGTTTGTTTGAAAATTGTACATAATTGTACATAGCAACTAAAAGGTAAAAAATATATTTTCAGACAGATTCAAATACCATCTAGAATGCGATAATAATGGCAAGATACCAACTATAATGGTGTTTTTTGCTTAATGGTCAAGTACCAACTATTTAATGGTAATTAATTATATGTAATTATACATGATTATACATCATTTCGTGGCTGAGGGGGTCCACCTTGTGTTTGATTGTCTAGTGTCCTCGAAGGGTTCCGAAGGGTTTACACCATTTTGATATTTTGCAAAGCCAGTCGTTTCAGTCGTTGGGAGTTCTACGTTGATTTTGCAAAACAAGGATTGCCCTTAAAAATAGGATCACCAATAAAAACCTCATTGATCTTCGGATCTTTGCTTTCCCCATTCTTTCTATGGCCATATAAAATGCAAACCTAAATCCGTTTCGGGGAAACCACACGCCTCGTTGTTTCTACTAAGTCCCCATTGGTTGATGGTTGGCACTCGGTGCTTAGACAACCTCATATATATATACATATTGTATGTTTTCGATATTTTGTTAATATAATTCTGTATTTTGTATATATATATATATACGTACACATATATATATATACACTGTATATATATATACAATGTATATATATATATACTGTATATATATATTTACACTGTATATATATATACGTATTTGTAAACAGTATATATATATATATACACCTATTACATTACAGTCCCAGCATGTATACCCCAATGTATATATGTTGATTAAATCCCTAGTTATGTTAGTTGCTATCCTTTTTGCCATAAGTTGGCTGGTTCAATCCCATGAATAAACATGGTGGTATCACCCCTATGATTATATATATATATGTATACATACATCATGCATATATCTATACATGATGTACATACATACATACATACATGCATACATACATACATACATATATATATACATATACATGCATATTGCATATATATATATACCTGCGTCTTCCAATGTATGCAAAATTATTGCCTTTTCAGGAATTATTGCTGGCGGCATTTTTTTGTGCCTCCGAACAGATTTTGCATTTTTCTCATGTTGCATATGTTTGCCGGTTTTGAAACGGCGAAAAAACCCAACGAAACGGCGAAAAAACCCGACGAAGCGGCGAAAAAAATCAAGAGCCCAAAATGTGGAAACTGAAACGGCGAAAAAAACTGGAAACAGCGAAAAAATTGGCAACCGCGGCGATAATTATTGCTGTATCGGATTTCGAGCGATAATTTTGCACAGATGGGTTATCCAGGTATATGTACACATATCCCTGTCATATCCCCAGTATATCCGCGTGTGGTGAAGCAACATGCCACTTGTACAACCGCTCCGGTCCCAGGTGATTGGCTCCTCACACCCTGCATAGCAGGCCGTTCCCAAACTCGTCGATGTGGACTCTTGACATAATCCACGGCAGCAACCTTTGGACAGTGATATATTGCCATGTAAACTGAAGTATGGCCAGTTTTACACTGACATATAGTCATGTACTGTGTATATATATATATATAGACCACAAAAAGACCTGTTCACGTATAGTCACATATAGTCACATAAAGCGACAACTCGCATAATGTCACATATAGTCACACATAGTGACGTAAAAACTCGTTCCATAGAAACTCGTTTGAGTTTGTCCCCGAATGGCAGTGATCATGAAGATGTCCTTCTGAAGCCAAAATTTTCCCATCAGACCAGGTCTTTTTGGGAAATCATCCCGGGTCCACGGGGTCCAGTGAACTGGATTCAGGAACGCTCACAGCAATAGTGCTTGGATGAAGTTCAGTGAAAAGGGTTCTAAGGCTGTTCAATGCCATGTAGAATTGATTAGGGTCTAGACTATCTACCGATGAGCTGATTTGTTGGGTTCGTTTCATCTCTACAGATCAGGTTGAACACTCTAAGGATAGTATGAAAAAAAGGCCGATATCATGAGCGAGTTTTTTCTTTTTCATCGAGTCATTCACAGTTGGGCTCATTCAATGCTTGGTCTCTACAGTGTGCGTGAAAGGACGTTTATGCAGATCGTCGGCAAAAAGAACGGCTAGATAAAACATGTAGGACTGACCAAAAATGGCACAATGATGATACAATGTGAGGCCCCCAAGATAGCTAAGTTGGTTTATAACTCCAATAACTATGGTTTATGGTACTTATAACTATAGTTACTGGGGCTTATAAACCAACTTATAACTGGGGGGCCTCACATTGTAGTGGACACTATTTTCCAACCCACTGGATTTCGGGGTAGCCTACCCCCGGGAAAAAAAAACACGGTGGCACCTGCAGCTCCAGGTTTTCATAACACATTGATACGAAAATTGATCAAAACATCTAGGATGCCCATGTGTTTCTTTGAGTCTTTATTTGATATAATAGTGTGTATAATTGTGTATATATATATATACATACATGGATATGCAGGGGATAATGTATGTGACGTTGTGATGATTTGTTATGATATATTGTCCAGCTATGAGTTGTGTTCTCCTGTTTTTTTATGACCTAAGGACCTAGCCGGTTAGCCAAATTTCAGAAATTTCAGCTCACCCAAAACACTCGGCCATTTTTATATGAAAACAACAATGCCAGATGTTGGATCCTTTCCCACATGATATGCTACTTTCAATTTAAAATAATGGCAAACCCTGCAGCTAACATAGACCCTGCTAAATAGGGGGCGATTGGAAGGCTATTTTCCTCGCGGTTTTCAGGGTCCGTGTTAGTTACTTGGGTCGATGGTCGATGGTACAACATCTTGAAACAATCGAATGACCATCAAAATCAATTGAACACAACATCTTGAAACAAATTATAACATATTATAACCATTAACATCACTGGAAGAATCCTGAAACCAACAATCAACATCCATGTTGCGTTACGGTTTTTCGCGTGCCGTGCTGTGCGTTATCAGAGTCTGCGTCATCTTCGTGATGCCAACTCACCGCTACCCGCCCTCGTTCCGAATCGGGGTGCTGGATTCGGGTCATTCAAAGGCCGCCGGGGAGCCCGGAACGCACTGAGTAAAGCGGGGTGAGAATTGGGCCAAGGGAACCCATGGGAACCCCCTTGGGCCTTATTAAGAGGTACATGTTAAGGGTGCTATTAGTGTTGATCTTGAATGCTGATCTCAGGGCTTGTTGTGATGTTAAAGCCTTTTGTTTCGGTGTCCTTAATCCCCATTCACCCTGACTTTGCTGGCTTCTCAAACACCTCTTGTCGCGGGGGTGCGTTTGTTGGGGATGATTTGAGAAACTGAAAAGGAATCGCATCCTTGATTCTCTGTGGTGTGTGGTGCTGGGATATGATCATCGCATGAATTTGTCTATATGTATACACACTCTAGAAAAAGTATCGTGGTATGTATAATATGTATACATGTGTATACATATGTATATATACATATGTATGTATGTATGTATGTATGTATGTACATGTATGTATGTACATATGTATGTATGTACATATGTATGTATGTACATATGTATGTACATACATACATGTAGCGTATGCTCCGCACTGGCTGGTCATTTGCCAGCTTTGGTTTCATCATTTGAGCAATTGTAAAGTTTCTGGAAGAGCCTCTCGTACTCTTGGAATTGCTGGTGGATCGCAGCTATTTATTTAACAGTTTGCAAAGGAAAATGGCCCATCTATAAGATGTTTTTTTATATTATTTGCCTATTAAGAACGGTGGTTTTCCATAGCTATGTTAGTTTATCAGAAGGTACCTCATCATACCCTGCTGTTTTATCCTACATTGTCGCTAGCTGATCAGTCTGTAGCTTCTGGTTTGTTCAAAATCTGGGACCAGAATTCGTGATCCAAAACGGTCAACTTGAATGACTTTAATGGTTCAAAAGGTGTAGCCCCAATGACTGCAGAAAACACCTAAAGGTGGATCCATTTGTTTTTTTTTTGGGGGATTCCATGAGGCAGAATCCAACGATTGCCAGTGTGAGTTTGCCAGTATTTTCCCGCTTGTTCAGACACACCCATTTGGCCATGGCCCAAAATCATTGCACCCCCAACAAAAAATGACCCATCTGGCTATAATGCAACCAAGATGCTAGCCATTTCGGGTTGCCATAACCAGTTATTGTTGCCATTTCTTGATTTACTCCTTGGGGAAGGACCCTGTGAGGCTCTGAAGTCGCGATTCCTCAGGTTAACCCCATTGATCGGTGGATTGACTCTGCTTACATAACTTAGTAACAGGTGTATGCATATATCATCCATACCTAATAGGTCCTCACTCAATTCACCCATATCAAAATAATATATATATATAATATTATATATAATATTATATATAATAATAATAATATATATATATATATACATTTAATAAAATATAACCTATTATAATACAATTTAACATTATATATTATATATAATATAATATAATATAATATAAT